GCTCCTACGTCACCGGTGGAAATCCGCCCATACTTACAACAAGGACAGTGACCCGAGGAACTTTCCGCTTCATAAGATGGCTTCGGCTTCGACGTCTGTTGCGTGAGACTAGTTATCTGTATATCAGAACACTTCAATATATGTATGTAGTCTAGGGGGATACATACTATGCGGCAATGACAATGATGATCTTTCCACTTATACTAGCTCTACTACGTATCCACTTCATTATACTGTACCACACCACATCATAGTAAAACCCAGATTGAATGTAGAACTACCCAACTTATTACCAAATACTTCTCTCGTAACAAGAAATTAGGTAGACTGCAACATGCTACACATCGCAATGATTAGATATGCAAATTAAGCAAGCTGACTAACACACCATAAAATCCTCTGGTTATGCACCTCGCAAAGTACTACCAAATGCGGAAGCTAGCGCCGGAGCGCTAAGGTATGCAAGAATAGTGTTGAGGTGAAGATCAAAAGGATTAGGAGGATAATGCTGCAATGCCTCATCGTTTCCTGGGAGAATAGAATGATATATAAGTGATTTAAAGCAAGGTGACGCTGGTCTTAATTAGGTCACCCCCGATCGATCAATTTCTTCTTAAGACAGTCAGTCTTGCTCCCAGCATCTAGAGAGGGAAGCAACCGTTCAGATTCCTGGTCAGTGACACGATGTAAACTAACTAGCTAGAAGAGACATTCAGACTCCGGTCAACGTGATCATTGCCCATTTCCGCTATGGAGGGAAAGAAAATGGAATCAGCGTGAGACTCGGCTCGTCAGTCGTTCAAGACAAGGCGACCAAACATTTGCGGCGCATAATTCCAGCGAATATACTGCATAACACGGTTCAGGGTGATGACAAGTTCAAGCATGCGTTTTCGGCTTGTGGCATCCCCCTCAAGTTCGGGAATGGGACCCCAGATATACTGCAGATGTTAGTTCAAAAATTAATACAAAGCGATAAGCATGAATTAGCGTACCACATCTCTTAACTTCCCAGAAGAACAACCCATCGCATATATTATGTAGAATCTCCAAACAGATCCCACTACTGTGCATCCGATAACAGGTGGAGGGGGAATATCTGGACAGACATGTCGATAAGAATCGTGAGCCCAAGACATTAGACCAGCCATCCATACTCCCAATTGTACGCGAGCTTCAGCACGAGTACCATCGAATCCTTTGACTTTGACACCGAGGCCAAGTAGTCTTTTCCCTGTGTGCGCATGCTCGATGTGACTCAGCTCTCGATCGGGGATATCTATCCCGGCGAGCGTATAACTTTCTTTCCAAGGCTCTTTCGGTAGACCAACGACTAAGTCAACTTTATGATTGAACATGCCTCTCGCACTATTAGCAGGCAGATACTTGTCCCTCACAGGCTCCGCTTGCCTGCAACCGAGTCTATTAGCTTCTATATCCTTGCTACGACTTGTGCACGGTGGCTTACACGCTCCACGAATCCAATGGCAGATCATCGATGGCCAAGTCTAAGAGCGGTCGGACATAGTCCATAACCCATGAACCTTTACTTCGTTCCTCCTTAACACAGCGATAACATGCAGATATTACCTTGCTCATTTCAAGTTCAAAACCATCAGAAGTCCAAGCAGGTTCGCCATGTTTCAAAAAGTGTATGAGACCATAGACGTGATTGGAATCAGGCGCCTTGCTGTCTAAGAGCGGAAGGGCGTTTTCAAATCCAGGCACTATGTAGTGTGCCCGAAATACAATCCTGGGTCTAGCTTCTATGAGTCTGTGGATCAAGTCCGTGACGATGCGGAATCGTCTCCTTATCCCAGGACTGGACTCGGATAATGGTAATGACTCGTCGCTTTCACAAAACTCCGTTCTAGATGCTTGAAATGGCTTTAGCCCGCTGCTTCAGATGGGTGATATCGGGTAACTCACCTCCAATGCTCTCATCTTCGGTGCGAACTTGTCCTGCTTCCTCGCGATCATTTGCCTCGATATTCTCCCGGGCAGGGGTCCGGCGAAACCACTCGCCTGCCATCTCGAGCAGGTTTGGGCTTGAACCGTCCGTTGAGGAGACAACGATGATCTGGATATATGACGAAAGAGTCGCTAATAATAAGCTATGAAGATAATGAAAACGATGGTCATATTCGCGATAGATGATTGATAGGAATGTGGTGGGATCAAGGGATGTTGAAGAACTATTATCATCCCAGCAGGACATTTGGAAGGAAGGCCTCACCCTCTAACCCCAACCTGCCAAATCGGGTTTTATTTCTCGGATGGCCTAACAACTTTCAGGTTCTTTTTGTTATATATATATATATAAACTGAGATCTAACGAGACAAACGAGGCCAGAGTGTGCAGCAACCGAACCGATAACCTCTATTTCCTACGGAAAAGTTCCGACATCAAGCTCTATGCATATACACACCTCGCTCCCTATGCACCCAAAGATACCTGAGACTAATGACGATAGAATAAAGAAGCACTGAGCTGGTATACCTGGACCTACTACAACATGCTCTAAAATTGAGGTAAGTCGGCTAACTAAAACCCATCTGCTCAACTGCGGTACTTCTGTAGTCTTCGCTGCAGCTAATCTCGAACACAATGGGAGTAAGAGCGTCATCGCAAAGTGAAACTAAGACACACCAGAATCCACCTTACCATAAGTATATCAGTACCTTGAGCTATGTTTCTACGGAAGGTGGCCCAATACGATGTGGTTGCATCGGTTCAATTCAGTAAAACTTATGGACAGATCAAGTCTGCTTCTGCGCCCTCAGTCGTGGAGAAGCCTCACTAGAAGCCGTGAAACACCAATAATATTTCAGACATTCACTGCGGCCAGGCAGCTGTCAGCTAATCCTTCGTCTCTTCTCCCCGCGTGGTATCTGACCACCATCTCTTTCAGCCAACCAACTATCCAACCCAAGCTTTTTAGATCAGATAGACCAAATCCATTTGCCCCCCTGCCTTGACATCAGATACTATGTTTTTTTTGCACAGAATACAGGATTCCGTGTACTTTTATGTCTGTCTATTTTAGGAGTATACTATTACCAATGCCAATACTACCTTTCTAAAGCCTTTTACCCGCTCTATCCGAGTAAGCATCCGCTTCTTCTCAATCCTACAAATCGGTGACATCACTAGAATACGTAAATAGCAACGTGAATACACCGATCCCTAATCTGACACGGACAGACGGACCTGGTACTCCACGAAATGCAAGAATGATCACGCATGATAGCCAGTGTCCTCCTCACGTAGACGGCAAAGCCGAAGAACGAAGGCCCTCCGAGCCATGGATCCAATAACCACACTATGTATGCACGCGAAGTCACAAGAGGAGGCATCCCCGAGAAATAGCGCATGATACGTGGGGGTTAGCAGGGAAGCGAGGACATTCACGGTTTCGGACATGGCTCAAATGACCCGAGGAGCTGATGATCCGTCGCGGAGACGGTGACAACTGTGCTGCAGGCTTGAGGGTATCACACCGTAAGTTAGAATTAGTCGTGCAATGGCTGCAGAAGTGAGACTGACTCCGCTATTTGGGGAAGCTACTTAGAGAAAGCGGAATGTGCCGCTGATGATGTCTGAGAGCCCGTCCTATACATGATAAGAGGGTTGCATTCGGGCCAAAGACGGCCGTTGCGGGAATAGACGTACTATTAGCACAGACTCTGTTTTGATTTATGGGTCAGTAGGTGCCTAGGCGAACTTCTGGTCAGGACAACTCATCTGTGGTAGGGCAGAATTGCTTTTGATAGAGAGGGGATCTCCAGGCATCAACAAGCCGTGGGGTTGGCCTTCCGGTGGAGCTTACAAAAACGAGTATCAATGTGCTTTATCAAGAGCTTGGTTATCTCTGCACGCCCCGATGCCATAATTGGCTGTACCTTTCGAGTTTGGAGGGAATTAGGATCGGCAGTAGCTTCCATGAGACTCACAATAGAGATCTTGTGACGTGAGATGCTTCGAGATTGCGACTAGTAACCTTACTTAGCCGGTATAGAGTCTACCGTTCCTATTTTTATGCCGTTTAATCTATAATCCCTGTCGACAGGATTGACCCTACTATCTCAGAATGGGAATGGGCCATCCTGCGTCTGGCATGTGCTGTATGGGGGTGCGGGTGGTATCTCCACGAGGTTGTCTAGTACTTCAATTTTAATGAGTATCTGCTTAATTCCAGGAACAACACTGACCAAGCAGTATATCGCATCACATATTCAATTAGCCTTGGCAATAATAAACCTCAGTTCAACTTCAACAATTGTCAAGTCCAAGATAACAGCCGTTGCCCTACACTAGAAGCGTAGCTAAGCGTCGAGCACAGGCCTCTCTTATAATAAACCCAGATAATCCCTATTGTGAAAGGATCTTCCAAAAATAACCAGCCCCTACAGCGATCGCCGATTTGCCAAATCATACTGTGGATACACACACCCTGGGGGTGGGATAGATAGACTAAGTCTCCGTAGTAGTCAAGTTGTTCATGGGGGAGTGTGGACGGGAATCTGCAGGCTAACCGGCATTGGCAAGCTTCTAGTAAGCTAAGCGCCGACCCCTCACGGTGAGATATTAGGGCTGCTCTATTAATAGCCGGTGAAGGGCGATCGGAAATTTTTTAAACAGTCGGCGCCAATGAAACCTTGTCACTAGACAGGGTTAGTGAAAAAGGCTTCGATCGTTCGATATACCAATCATGGCGCGCCAACGACTCTATCTTCTGCAGAAATAGTCGCCAGGATAGACGACCGTGTTTCGCGTGGCCCACCCTCGTATACCGTTACTTTCGGCACTTTTGGAGGCGTGAAGGATTCATGCCTGGCGCCCATTCTTGCACCAATGGGAGTGTCATATTGCTTGTGCGTGCTGTGGGCGCCTTCAGGCTTGCTGTGAGTCGAGGCTGTTTATAGATACAACATTATGGGTTTCAAGAGGCCGGTGTGGTACTGCGTTTGATTGCACATGCAAGCCTTCTTCTTGTGGCTGTCGGTCTGTTCGAAATAATTCTTATATAGCCCTTCGTCCAGCTGGGTGCACCCTTCTCTTCTTTTCCTCAGGTCCCCAGCCATCCAATAGTTAGTTCATCTCAGGGGAGAGAGCTCATCTCTTCCTTTCCTCTCCTTCAACTCTTCACGGTTGCTATTCATCTTCAGAGATACCCGTCAGCATTAGAACCTCCCTCCGCTCAACTTCTCCATCCTTAAACTTCGTTCTATCCTCGCATACAGTGTATGCTATTTTGATCCTGCCACCCTCTTCGAAATAGAATATCACGTTTGTACCAAGCATCCGGAATGCGTGCAAACCTCTTCCTCCTGGGCTGCCTGACAGCAGGCTCCATGGCAGCGCCGACTCTCCTAAACGACGTATACGACTACTCGTCAGACTTAGCCACCTACCTCGGAAAAGTGAGCAAGTACATCGAGAGCACGGGAGAAGAGCTTATCAAGAGCGTCAACTCATGCGACACATCCAAAATCTCCCTCCCGTCATACGCGTCCAGCCTGCCCTCACCGTCCGGAATGAGCCCAATTTATGTGGCAGTGGGCCGTGGCACCCAGGTAAGCAGAAACTGACCCGCCTACTGTCACACAAACAATGCAGGGGGAGAACCGTTCAAACTGACAAGCCCTCTCCTTAGAACTACACCTGTGCCACTTCGACCTCGAGCTCAACACCCCAAGCCATAGGTGCAGTGGCGCGTCTTTACAATGCAACCTGCATCGCGGCCAATTACCCAGACATGTTATCGTTACTCCCGGGTATAGTGTACAAGGAACAGCTGCCCAGTAACGAGGAGGAACCTCTCCCGCCGGCAAACCTTGAACTCTTGGGTCATCATTTCTTTAGAGATACGACCACACCAGTTTTTAACCTGGATACTCTGGCGTCTCGGCAGTATGGGATTGCGATCACGAAGAAACAAGACTCGATCGATGCTCCGTCGAGTGCTATTCAGGGTAGCAATGGGGCTGTCCAATGGCTGTACCTGACCACTATCAACGGTACCGTCGGTGAGTATGAAGCGGTCTATCGAGTAGACACGGTTGCCGGTTCAGCCCCGAAGACCTGTCAGGGAATGCAGTCGGTGTTTACTGTGCAGTATGCGGCCAACTATTATTTCTATGGCGCATGATGGAGGGTGGGGTACAGAGCAGTTGCACTGTAAATAGACAGAACTGAAGGAATGTTTACATGACAGGTACACTATACATCATGTTAGAGTAATCAGTAGGGCGTAATCCTGGCCCATTAGGTAGCGTAGCTGTCAATTCTGCAACTGTTGAGGGTCAGTCTTAAGCGCCGAGTTGTCAGAGAAGAGCGATGCGCCTTCCGATTGGCAGGGCTGGCCAGCGTCAGGTGACCTCGCTATCCAGCGTTGTCACGTGCCTTAAGTGCCCACAGCAGCAAGCCGCGCTAGCACCCAACGGGGCCTAGTGCCGACTGAATTTCGAAAGAATCCAAGGCTCCGTCTGAAAAATCTCGACCGCAACAACGACGAACAGCACGGCCTCGACCGAACACTGAACGCCAGTGCGGGTGCATTTTTTCTGCAAAAGCTTCTCTTCAAGGTCCTCGAGACTCGACAATTTCGGATTTTCCTTCTCCCGAACGGGCCTTCCTTGCCAATTTTTCTTTTTCCTATTCTCCGGTTATACCGCAACCGAAGAATTGAAGCATCAGTCCGATAACTTTTCTGGACTGACAGCATTTGACTTAACGTCTTTATCGACATTTTTCCGATTTAAATCACATATATCACAATGGCATTCGGTGGCCCTCGTGGTGGACGTGGCGGTGGCCGTGGTGCTCCTCGTGGAGGTGGTGGTGGCCGTGGTGGTAGAGGTTTGTTCACCATCGATTGATTTCATCTTGGGAGAAACGTGGAAGGCATGCGGGTCTATGTGATCTGTTCGCATTGCTGTCGTCGAATCAGTTTGATCTTGCATGTTGCGATGGAAAAGTTCTGTCTTCTCCAAGAGCATATCAGGTTTTCAGATGGTCGACTCGAATCGCGTGCCGGATCTGCGCTTCTCCCTTTAATAAGGGAAAAAAGAACGTGTCGCTAATCTTTTCACGTTCTATAGGCGGTCTTGGTGCCGGTGGTCGTGGCCGTGGCGGTGGTGGCCGTGGTGCTCCCCGCGGTGGTCGTGGTGCCCCCCGTGGCCGTGGTGGTCCTCGCGGCGGTGGTCGCGGCGGTGCTAAGGGTGCTAAGGGTGGTGCTAAGGTCATCATTGTAGGTTTTCCCTGATTATCCAATCGAGAAGAAAGAAATTGGATGGAATCTAACAGGAATTCGCATAGGAACCCCACCGTCACGCTGGTGTCTTCGTCGCCCGTGGTGGCAAGGAAGATTTGCTCGTCACCAAGAACCTTACTCCCGGAGAGGCCGTCTACGGTGAGAAGCGCATTTCTGTCGAGTCCCCCGCTGAGGAGGATGGCACTGTCACCAAGACCGAATACCGTGTCTGGAACCCCTTCCGTTCCAAGTTGGCTGCCGGTATCCTGGGTGGTCTGGATGACATCTACATGCGCCCTGGCTCCAAGGTCCTGTATCTCGGTTCCGCCAGCGGTACCTCCGTCAGTCACGTTGCCGATATCGTCGGACCTACTGGTAACGTCTACGCCGTTGAGTTCTCCCACCGTTCCGGTCGTGACTTGATCGGCATGGCTACCCACCGCACCAACGTTATCCCCATTGTCGAGGACGCCAGACACCCTCTCCGCTACCGCATGCTCGTCCCCATGGTCGATGTCATCTTTGCCGATGTTGCCCAGCCCGACCAGGCCCGTATTGTCGGCCTGAACGCCCATATGTTCCTCAAGGAGGGCGGTGGTGTCATTGTCTCCGTCAAGGCCAACTGTATCGACAGTACCGCCAAGCCCGAGGTTGTGTTCGCTCGTGAAGTCCAGAAGATGAGAGAGGAGAGGATCAAGCCCAGGGAACAGCTGACCCTGGAGCCTTTCGAACGTGACCACTGTATAGTGTCTGGTATCTACAAGCGCTCTGCATGAATTTAAGAAACAAAAAGAATCCGGTGGTTTTTGCTCTTTTGTCTCTCTCATGTCATAATTATGCTTCCCCTTTTTACGGCGTCGAGTGTTCCGTGATCTGTTGCAATTTTTCTCGAATTTTTTCCTTGTGTGTCCTCATGTCCAGGTTTCTTAGATGTACTTCTTGAGTCAGAAAATTTCGAGGTTTACGGTTTCTGGTCGTTCAAGAGTTTAGCTGCTAATTAAGCTGGTCAATGATTCACCATTCTTTTCTGTAATACAATGTGTAGTGTCGCTAGATAATACCCATAGCCCATCGTGCGTTGATCCGTCTCGGACTTCCCCCGGCCATCCGCTTTCTGCCCACATTTCGGCACTCGGACCGTTCAGCGGAGAACAGACCGAAATGCCTCAATAAATTCCACAAATCGGACTTGCTGCGTGGATCCATGATGCTGGACTAATGAGAGGCCTCATTTTGAGCGATTTCAAGATGAGTGAGGGACTTTGGTTTGGAGATGAGGCAATTGAATGACTGCATTCGCAGTAGCGGTTTCCAAGTCTCCGCTCAACCCCGCAATAGGCTGACTGCCTTTACCATATAAGAAGTCATATAATGCGACATCACTATCACTTACCCAAAAAGCCAATCTGCAGCAATCCACATATCTGGCAACTCCCAACACACCTACCGATTTCAACTACAAGTGCAACTACAACATGTCCATACTCATCACCGGAGCCAGCGGCTACGTTGGACAAGAACTCGCCGCAGCACTCCTCACCACACTCCCATCATCGACAGTAACACTTACAGATGTCGTTCTTCCCACGGTCCCCAAGAGCGCAACCCAACACGCCTCCCGCGCACAATGCATCGAAGCAGACCTCACGAACCCAAGCGTAGTCGACAGCCTCATCACCTCCACCAACCCCTACGACACCATCTACCTCCTCCACGGTATCATGTCCAGCGGATCTGAAGCAAACTTCGAACTAGGCATGCGCGTCAACCTCGACGCAACCCGCTACATCCTTGACCGCCTCCGCATCGTCACACCCGGCGTCAAAGTCGTCTTCACCTCCAGTCTAGCAGTATACGGCCTCGCACCACCCGGCTACATCATCAACGAGAGTAACTTCCCCGCCGTGCCGTCCTCGTCGTACGGATCTCAGAAACTCATCATCGAGACGCTGCTGAATGATTACTCCCGTCGTGGGTTCCTGGATGGTCGTGCCGTCCGTCTCCCTACTGTTACTGTGAGAGCGGGAAAGCCGACACAGGCGGCGAGTAGCTTCGCGAGTGATATTATCCGGGAGCCGTTTAATGGTCGGCCTGCGGTGCTGCCGGTTGCTAAGGAGACGGAGATGTGGATTTGTTCGCCGGCGACGGTGGTGAAGAATTTGGTCAAGGCGAGGGAGATTCCGGCGGAGAAGTTTGGGGATTCGAGATCGGTCAACTTGCCTGGGTTGAAGGTTAGTATTGCGGAGATGTTGGATGCGTTGGAGAGTATTGGGGGGAAGGAGAGGAGAGGGTTGGTGGAGGAGAGGTATGATGCGGATATTGATCGGATTGTGCAGACGTGGACGCCCAATTTTGATACGAAGAGGGCGTTGGAGTTGGGGTTTGTGGGGGATGTGTCAATGAGGGAGAATGTGGAGATGTATGCGAAGAGTTTGGGAAATGAGTAGTTTGTATTCAGTGGTGATGATGGTAGTAATGGAAGTGATTGATTCATATGTTATTGGGACTCATTGTATGGAGGTTAACTGCTTTGGGTATAGTGGAGTCATGTGATATGTAGTATTTATGGTGAGGAAGATCAAAGTAGGAGATTGGTATTTAATTGTTGATGTCATTTGATGAGTATAGACCCTGTTTGGATTTAACTGATGTTGTAGACTTTTGAATGGCGGTCTCCAGACCGTGCTAGTAGAGCAACAACTGTCTAAGCAAAAGAAGCTAGGGAACAGTCGGAGCGAATGCGGTGGTTTGGAAAAGCGGGTCATGTGATTGGCTGGCGGATGGGCGAACAATTTGACTCCCGAACTTCAACCTCGCATCTCCAGGGCTGACCTGACCGTCTTGTTGCACCCTTCCTCATTCCTCCCTCCTTCCCCCCAACCCACCTCCATCTTCACACAATGGCTTCTCGGCGCCTAGCGTTCAACCTTAACCAGGCTCTCCGGAGCAAGGCCGCCCTGAAGGCCATCCAGCCCGTCAAGCGTGGCTTCGCTTCCCCGGTCACCTTGCCTTCCACCACCCAGTCCACCACTCTCTCCAACGGTTTCACGGTACGCCGAATGGGTTATCTCAATGGCTCAAGGAACTCACTGACTTGCCTCAGATCGCTACTGAGTACTCCCCATGGGCTCAGACCTCCACTGTTGGCGTGTGGATCGATGCCGGTAGCCGGGCAGAGACTGACAAGACCAACGGAACCGCGCACTTCCTGGAGCACCTTGCTTTCAAGGTATGGATAGACTGCAAATTGAAGGCTGGAAAATGCGATTGCTGACATCCTCTAGGGCACCAACAAGCGTTCCCAGCACCAATTGGAGCTCGAGATCGAGAACATGGGCGCTCACCTGAACGCCTACACATCGGTACGGCCCGGAAACATGGAAGAATCAATTCCCTTGGATCGCAACTAACGCCGCATGATTACAGCGCGAGAACACCGTCTACTACGCCAAGTCCTTCAACAACGATGTCCCCAAGGCCGTCGACATCCTCGCCGATATTCTTCAGAACTCCAAGCTGGAGCCCACTGCCATTGAGCGTGAGCGCGACGTCATCCTCCGTGAGCAGGAGGAGGTCGACAAGCAGCTCGAGGAGGTTGTTTTCGACCACCTCCACGCCACTGCTTTCCAGAACCAGCCCCTCGGTCGCACCATCCTCGGCCCCAAGCAGAACATCCAGACCATCTCCCGTGACAACCTGGTCGACTACATCAAGACCAACTACACTGCTGACCGCATGGTCCTCGTTGGTGCCGGTGGTATCCCCCACGAGCAGCTCGTGAGACTCGCTGAGGAGCACTTCGGTGGCCTCCCCAGCAAGCCCCCGACCTCTGCTGCCCTGGCCCTCACCGCCGAGCAGAAGCGTATCCCCGAGTTCATCGGTTCCGAGGTCAGAATCCGTGACGACACTCTCCCCACTGCCCACATTGCTCTTGCCGTCGAGGGTGTCAGCTGGAAGGACGATGACTACTTCACCGCTCTCGTTACCCAGGCCATCGTCGGTAACTGGGACCGTGCCATGGGTAACTCCTCCTACCTTGGCAGCAAGCTCAGCTCTTTCGTTGAGTACCACGGCCTTGCCAACAGCTTCATGAGTTTCTCCACCAGCTACAGCGACACTGGGTAGGTTATTTGCTGTTTGTTCTCAAGTGTTTTCGCTAATTGATTGGTATACAGTCTGTGGGGTATCTACCTGACCTCCGAGAACGTCACCCGCCTCGAGGACCTCATCCACTTCACCCTCCGTGAATGGTCCCGCCTGAGCTACAACGTCACCTCCGCTGAGGTTGAGCGCGCCAAGGCTCAGCTGAAGGCCTCCATCCTCCTCTCCCTTGACGGCACCACCGCCGTTGCCGAAGACATTGGTCGCCAGATCATCACCACCGGCCGCCGCCTCAGCCCCGAGGACATCGAGCGCACGATTGGCCAGATCACCGAGAAGGATGTCATGGACTTCGCCTCCCGCAAGCTGTGGGATCAGGACATTGCCATGAGCGCTGTCGGCAGCATCGAGGCCGTCCTCGACTACAACCGTATCCGTGCGGACATGAGCCGCAACTCTCTGTAAAAAGGGAGAGCTCATGAATGTGGATTGAGAGTGTGCGAGTGAGAGAAGAAGAAGCAGAAGAAGATTTATGGCCCGTGTTTTCTTGTTTTGGTGATTTTCTAATAGATAGAAGCGGTGGTCGTGCCCGAAGGAGCGTGTCATGTACAGTACACAACTGTCGCTATATCAAAATGTATTTGTTTAGTTTCAGTTTTGCACCGTTACACCGTAGGAGATCAACACCAGCCAGTTTATCAGTTCACCTCTCATATATTTTCACCTCAAGAGAAATATAATCAAACAACAAGACACCAACAAACACCAATCCCGGAAAGAAAAACCATGATCCAAAATCCCAATGCCTTCGACGACACAAACACAAAATCACCCAAAGATTATTTCCTAAGTTGAAATTTAAGCATACTGCATCCCCCCAGGAGCCTTATACCCCTGCTGCCCAGCAGCACCCGCACCGCCCTCCAACAACGCCGCCCGACTCTCCAACTCCTTTTCATGCTGCATGAGCGTGCAGCACGGGCAGCAGCACGCCCGCATACAATCCCCGCATCCGGACCCCTCCAGGCCGAATTTCTCTCGGATTTGGCCGCGCTTCATCATCAGGGGGATGAAGTGGAAGCCGCAGTAGCTGAGGAGGAAGTAGAGGCAGCACTGAATTACATTATTAGTATTGAATTGGTCGTATGGGAGGAGAGATAGATCGGGAGAGATTGGGGGGTGGGGGGTAAGGGTACGTACACCACCGTTCATCATGCTATCGTCTTTCAGGGTGGGGTCTTCGAGACGAGAGCTGGTGCGGCCGTGCAGGCAGCAAGGACAGCAGCAGCCGAGGAAGCCTGTTCATTGTATTAATAAATTTTGTTATTTTTGGGGGTTGGGGGCTTGTTGTTGAGGTTGGAGGAGGGAGAGGAAAGACGTACAGGTGCCGCAGGGGGAGCAGCAGTCCCAGAAACCGGAGGACCATTCTTGACCTTCGCCCATTTTGATTTATTACTTTGCTTGGATGTGGTGGTGAGGTAATTGGGTTTATGGTGTGGTGAGCGAGAAGGTGTTTTATATGGGTATCTCAAAGGTGATGTAGATAAGTAGGAAAGAGAAAAGAAACAATTGAACGAATGTATGTATTGATTCAAAGGAATCGAGTATATTTAGAATAGTAGAAAATAAAAGAAAGTGATACTGGAAACCCCCGTCAGCAAAGCATACCTCCTCGGGTCTTATAACTCTTGTCCAACCCACCACACCCCCTATCACTAAACTAACTTCTGTCTCTGGTTACAATTACGCCCGATCTTGCATGGGGGCGATGCAAATCGCACGGCACTGACAGTGACTAGAGGGAGAAAAACTAGAAGGAAAAAAAAGTCACACATCAAACAAAGAGACAAAACGAAAATCAGCCCCAGGACAGACTCCACATACGAACACAGCCTTGCATTAGTGTTGGTTGGCGTTCAAGGAAACCAAAACAGACAGCCGTTGATCGCTATCCATCCGCCTTAGACTAGTATAGAGTAAGTAAGGGCAGGAATCTTAGGGGCCGCTCGCTGGCTGCTGCTGATTTGGGTAGATGAATAGGATCGGGCCAAGGGATTAGTTTCGACGAGTTTAGTAGTGGCTGTCTATCTCTACCTACTATCTAGCTGTTTCGGCCCTTTAGTTTGGGGGCCAACAGGAACCTCAAACATGGGTGTCAGTCAGGGTTGTTGTCAGGGCGTAAGCGAGGGCTTGCAGCAGTCAGAATGGTGAAGGGGTGGGGGGTTGTTTTAGGTTTTCTTGGTTTCTTGGTCTTAAGGTAGACAAGAGTATTATATGAGGATGCGCGGTGATTAATTCCGAAAGAAGAGATGGCAGTTCGTATTGAAGGTTGAGACATGAAGGTTGAAGGGTGGATGTTTAGGTAACGAGATCGTGTTTAGGGGCATCGCGGGAGGGAAAACACGGGCGTGGATCGCGATCAGGGCTCGCTCGCGGATTGACTGATTGACCGCGATTTTTGGGCGTCGGTTCTGCCTAGTGTGCCTAGATAGATAGGGTCCGTCTATCCATGTGAACAAACTTAGCAACAATACACGACACTAATAATGCAATCTAAGCTTTTCTAGGGCCCGTGTTTTTCGGGTCGAAATGGTTTCATTTTCAGCCACTGCCTCAATGGCATAGGGTGCATTGCTTGGCCATTCCATTAGTTAGATTGTGTTCAGCTGCGGCTTCTACTTTTGGGGCTGGGATGATGGTGACTAGTAGGTATTGATGCTCCCATTTCTTGGTCTAAAACACTAATGACGGACTAGGTAGTTTGATTGTGCGGCTGATCAGGCCAGAGTGAATTCTTTGGCGGATTGTGACTGCTATTCACACTGTAATGGAGGCTCAACGACCAAACCGCTGAGTTCACAAAGCTGAGTTCGACAGGGATGCTAGGCACTAGTTAGGGAACTAACGGGCTGGTCTGCTCCTTGGACACACTGTCACCCAGAAGGGTGATTTTGCTTCGGTTATACGGAACCTTCCACCTGTCAACAAAAGCAAAGAACGGCAAGAGAGGCTGTTGCTTGAATTCCGCACTACCTGTTTTCATGTATACCACGCTGCTTATTGCAGTGGTGCTTCCACTCAGCCCTGCTAAGCCACGCACGGGGCAGGCCCGGGATGGCTGAGACTGGCTAAGCTCTTCTCCGAGCGAAGAACGCTGGTCAGAACCGGGTCTTCAACGACCAACCCCTGCAAATCCCCCGAGCTACGGCAAACACCGCTGCTGCCGCGAGATACAGCACACCGGCGAAGATGATGAGCCCGCCGTACTGCCCATGATCGCACTGGATGATTGCACCGGCGATCGGAATCCCCGTGAGTACGCCGAGACTGGCGATGGTATACGTTGTGCCCGTCCGCGCTCCGTAGTCCTCGGTTGCACAGATCTGTGAAATACAGACTGGGGACAGACTCATCGCAGCTCCGCTCCAGAAGCCAAACAGTACGGCATAACAGACAATTGCGCCCAAGCTACTGCCAGATTTGTACCACAATGCAAGGGTCAATATCGAGCATACGAGGGAGGTAACAATCATCATGTTGAACCTCCCTAAGCGATCAGCAGCTAGGCCCGGTAACAGACGGCCAGGGATCAGTCCGATGTTTAGGAAGACAAGCAGCAAGTATGAAACCGTGTTGCTCAACCCGACGTGGACTGCATATGAAGACAGGTATGTGTTTGGTACGAACACGGCAAAGTCAGCAAGAAATATTGCGGCTGTGGTGACGGCGTACTTGGGATCTTTCAATGCTTTGAAATCTGCTAGCGCACTGCCTCCGGTTTCTTTGCCGAGGGGTAGCCGGGTCCTGATCAGAAGACACGCGATAGCACAGAGGACGAGGCTCAGGAGTGCAATGATCCGGATCGACCAGCCAAATCCGATCTTCGGCGCGTTGAAGTAAATGATCGCAGGGAAGACCACACCTCCGAGTCCACCTGCTGTGCAAGCAAGTCCAGTGACAAATGCTCGACGGACGTTGAACCAATGGCCGATTGCTGCAACAGCCGGAGTAAACAGAGCACTAGCCGATATTCCTCCCAAGACGCTGAAAGACAGGAAGATCTGATAGTATTCTACACATAGTCAGTTGCGATACTGCTACTATTCTCTCGGAAAGCTTACCTTTACTAAAACTGAAGCATATCAACGATACTACCATGCCGATGGACCCTGGAAGAATGATGTAGGTTGGGCCCCATGCATCCAAGATTGGCCCTAGAACAGTCAATAAGATGATTAGCCTGTCATGCTCAAAGCTTGACGCTGATGTACGCACCACTTTGGGCTCCTGCAAAGTAAAGGAAGAACCCATATGCACCATAAATCCAGCCATAGCTCGATTCTGGGTAGTCTCTGAGCTGATGAGTGCTGGTCCAGATATGGAGCGTCCCCGCAGTGTTCATCAAGCCCAAGGCTGGGACCATAGCGCACCAAGCGCCGAAGACCACCAGCCATGCCTTGAGACCTCCTTCCGGGTAGTATATACTATCATCTTCTTGCTCGGTGGTTTCCTCGGAAAACGTTGAGTAAACCGACAACTCTGTATCCATTTTTTCCCCCCCAATATAATTGCACATTTGAACGAAATTGAGTTCCCACAAATTTGAGCTCTCCGGACAATGACCGCTTAAGAGGCACGCCCGCATCAGAGGCGGTGATTGCTTTGCTGGCATAGGAAATATTGACGCCAATCAATGCAAGGGCTACCTGCACTCATTATCTGGCCGACAGCATTTGATAAGGCCAAGGATCTTCGGAGCATAACGAAGTGAGCCTGGTTGGCCTAAGTGGCGTTTGAAATTGGTTCTATCCTGCTGTGCTCCTGGAGTACTACACAGACACTGCACCAGCTACATATTCCGTCCCGTTCGGTGGTTATAACCTAACCCTGGAAATTATTGTAGATATGTATATATTCGGAGTTCATTATTTCCTGTGCACATTGGCGTCCAATCTATGCAGCTGGTCATTTCCCCGGATACAACCTTGTGTCTGGTCGGGTCACTGTTTGCAAAGAGCGATCAGCAACTGGTGAATCTATTGAATGACGGCTAACTACATCCGGTTAGTGTACCGGCCCGAGGATGTTCCATGGCGGGACGGGCTTACATAATGGCGGGCGGATTGGAGGCGCGATTGGCGATGGTTTGATTTCTGCAGCGGAGAAATTGCGGAAGCTCGTCTGGTTCTTTCGCATCGCAATTAATCTTGATCATCATGGGTAAGCGTGGAAAGAAGGTATGTGAGACAATTTGCATGTCCGAGAGATCATAATTATCTCCCCAATTTCGCATTTGCTTTCCATCGAGGGTGGGGACTAACTTCATTATCTCGGCAGGGCGGCGGCGGTCGCGAACGCCAAAACTGGCAGCAAGTCGCCAGGGAAAATGCCAAGTTCGAAAGCTACTACAACGAGCAGGGATTTATCCCCGAGGAGGAGAGGGAGGCTTTCTGGGAGGCCATTAGGAGAGATCTTCCTAACAGCTTCCGTTTCACCGGGTCTCGAGGGTACGTTATCATCCTTGCGCTGGACTATAGCAGCTCCTGCGGTATCGTTCGAGTCAATGCGACTGACATTTGCTTCAAGCCATGCGCTAGCCGTTCAGGAGAAGCTCAAGAACTTCTACATCCCCGAAATCACTTCGATCAAATACGAGGGCAAAGATGTCGAGCCTCCCCGTCCCGTTCCCTGGTACCCCGACCAACTCGCCTGGTCCATGACCACCCCCAAGCAGGTTGTTCGGCGCTTCGCCCCCTTCGCTTCGTTCCAGAAATTCCTCGTCGCCGAGACCGAGGTCGGCAACATCAGCAGACAGGAGGTAGTTAGCATGATTCCCCCTCTTCTGCTTGATGTCAAGCCTGGCATGACCGTTCTGGATATGTGCGCTGCCCCTGGTAGCAAGTCTGCACAGCTCATGGAGATGATCCACGCTGGCGAGGAGGAATCCATGCAACAAGTGACCGCGAAGGTGGCTGAGGGAACCGCTTCCGCCGAACCTATGGGACCGGAAGGTCTGGGTGACGATGGCCGAACCACCGGCTTGCTGATCGCCAACGACGCCGACTACAAGCGCGCCCACATGTTGATCCACCAGATGAAGCGACTGAGCTCGCCCAACTTGATTGTGACGAACCACGACGCCACGATGTTCCCCTCGATCAAGTTGCCTCCGGAGCCCGCTCCCGAAGGAAAGCCCGTCAAGAACAAATACCTCAAGTTTGACCGCATCCTGGCTGATGTGCCTTGCACCGGTGACGGAACGGCGAGAAAGAACTGGGGTGTCTGGAAGGACTGGAACTACAACAACGCTCTGGGATTGTACGCCACTCAGGTCCGGATCCTCGTCCGCGCTCTGCAGATGTTGAAGGTCGGTGGCCGTGTGGTCTACTCCACTTGCAGTATGAACCCCATCGAGAACGAGGCCGTCATTGCCAGCGCTTTGGAGCGCTGCGGCTCGGCCAATGTCCGCATCCTCGACTGCAGCAATGAGCTTCCGGGTCTGAAGAGAGCCTCTGGCTTGAAGACATGGAAGGTCATGGACCGTGAGGGTCGCATGTACAACAGCTGGAAGGAGGTCGAAGAGCGCAAGGAGCGCGAGGGTATCAGTGGTCTTGGCCGGGTTGCGGAGGGCATGTTCCCCCCTACGGAGGACCTGCCCCTCGACAGGTGTATCCGTATCTACCCCCACATGCAAGACACTGGCGGATTCTTCATTACCGTTTTGGAGAAGGTGTCTGAAATTCGTGCCAAGCCTGAGGATTCCTCCAAGGTCATCCCCAAGGCTTCCATTGCTGCCCTGACGGAAGAGCTCGACTTCAAGCAGAAGAATGGAGACGGCCAGCCTCTGGAAAAGATCAGCGCGTTGGACGACTTGGTTGCTCCTGACCAGGAGGCTGAGAAGGAAGCCGAAAAGAACGCATCTGTTGCGCAGGCTACCCACCAGATCCCCTACTCTGCTACTGACCAGATCTCTCCCACCAAGAGGGATGCAGACAGCCTGGAAGACGAGCTTCCGGCGAAGAGGACGAAACTCGAGGACGGCTCCGAAGTTGTCTTGGGAGACCGCCCTGTTCATGCCCCTGCGCCCGTGGTCGAGTCCGATACTGTCGAGACCTCTGACGCGACTCCTGCCCCTGCTGAGTCCGCGAAACCCGCCCCCGCGGAGGCTCAGCCGCAAGCTGCCCCTCAGAAGCGCAAGAACGGCCAGCCTATCGAGGAGCCCTTCAAGTATCTGGATCCCAACCAGGAAGAGCTCGACCCGATCTACAAGTTCTACGAGATCTCTGAGCGGTTCCCTCGGGACCGCTTCATGGTGCGCAACGCGGAGGCAATCCCGGCTCGCACCATCTACTACACCAGCTCTCTGGCCCGCGACATCTTGACCGCGAACGAGAAGCAAGGCATGAAGTTCGTGCACTGTGGTGTCAAGATGTTCGTGCGCCAAGATGTGCAGCGTCCTGAGGTCTGCCGCTGGCGCATCCAGACTGACGGATTGAGGATTCTCAACCCCTGGTTGGGCCCTGCTAGAGCCGTCACCCTGACCAAGAAGGAGACTCTGCACAGACTTCTCGTGGAGATGTTCCCCAAGGTCGACGGTGATAGCTGGACGGAGCTTGGAGAGATCGGCGAGCGCGTCAGAGACATCCCCATGGGCTGCAGTATCCTGCACATCAAGCCGGATGCTGACGAGACTTTCCAGTAAGTGACTTGCATCAGTATCTTATAAATAGCTGCAGATAGACTAACGATTACTAGCGAGCGGATGACCCTGCCTCTCTGGCGGTCCCTGCACTCCGTCAACCTCATGCTTCCCAAGGAGGACCGTCGCGCCATGCTTCAGCGGCTGTTCAATGATGACACTCCCTTGGTGAACACCACACAGAAGCGAGCTGCCCAGTCGTCGACGCCGATTACTCCTGCCACCGAGGCTGTTAACGGAGAGGAGACCCCGGTCACGGCTCCTGTCGAGACGGAGGAAGAGGTGATCAAGCGTGAGAACCTGCAGCTTGGCGAGGATGAGCAGGAGCAGATGGACACGCGCGAGACGTATTCGAAGGCTGGTGACGAGGAGGATCGCTTTAACACGACTGTATAATTCTAGGTGTTTGTTTGCATATACGGCAGTTATTTGAATGAAAAGCATTGGCTGTTTTGGACTATCATTTTGGCATATACAGTTTATTTGATGTTTCTAGGGGAGCAATGGACCCTAACTTCGAGGGCTCACATGAAACAGGAATAACCAGGTTTCTTGCTTTGTCTTGCAGTACAAAAACCAACTAAAAAAATTTCGTGGACCAAGTGTTCCAAGCAACTGACCCCTTGATGCTGGACTCAGTTATCACTGCTCACCTGAAGGACAGTACGACCAGCCAGCTGGCCCTTGGCCATCTTATCGATCCATGAGTCCAAGTCCTCCAATTTACCCTTGGTCAGAACAGGCTATCCCCAGTTAGCATAACGTACTCCAACAATAGACCACAGCAAGACTCACATGAACAATGCCTCTCGCAGTAAACTCCAGCGCCTCCTGGGTGTCTTGCAAAGTACCAGTTATGGAACCCACGATATTCAGTTTCTTGAGTGCTATCAACATCGGCGGTGCACCAGCCAAGATCGAAGGATCTTGAGGCAATCCAATAGCCACCATCGTGCCATTTGGCCGAAGATACCCCGGTGCCGCTGCATAAACAGCCTTGGTGGCCGCTGTCACAATAATGCCATGAGCACCATACTTGGTGACCTTCATGACCTCTGCCGCCACATCGGGTGTCTGCTGGAAATCAATGAACACTTCTGCCCCAAGCCGCTGGCACAGCTCGCGCTTCTCCTCGCCACTATCAATAGCAATGATCCTCATGCCCATGGCCCGCGCAAACTGAATAGCCAAGTGACCGAGCCCACCCCCAGCACCAGGGAGGACAATCCACTGACCAGCCTTGACATTCGACCTGGAACATAATTCATCAGACCAAGCCCTCACTCAAGAGTAAGAGTAGAAATACTAACCTCTTACAAGCCACATAAACCGTCAACCCACCACACATCATCGGCCCAGCCTCCTCATCACTCACCCCATCCGGAATCCTAGACGCATACCGTCCATCGGCAAGACAATATTCCTGAAACGTCCCCGGCATCGTAAACCCACTATTCTTCTGATTGATGCAATTCACTTCATCCGTCCCCGTCAAACAGAACTCACACTCCCCACACACGCTCGCAATCCATTTAATCCCTGCTCGGTCGCCGATCTTCCATCGCTTCTCCATCCCCTCGCCTACGGCAACTACTCTCCCGACTCCCTCGTGGCCGGCGATCCCCTTGGCCTCGGGCTTCATACTTACCCCGAAACCGGCCCATTCATCGTGCAGGAGGCCCTTGTCAGAGCCGCAGAGACCCGTCCAGGTGATTTTCACAAGGATTTGGCCTGGACCGGGTCTCTCGACGGGGATGGTCGAGATGGTGGTTGTGGAGGTCGGGCCGGTGCCTTGTCGGATGGCGGCGCGTTGGTGGGTGGGGAGGGAGGTGGTGGGGTCGGTGATGGTCATTGTATTTATTTAGTTGAGGGTATATTCTCTCTGATTGAAAGGTATATGCCAGGTGACTAGGATGTTGTACAGGCGTGACACAAAAAGACAAGTGGTAGACGTAAGGGATGACGCCTGTTACTCGGGAGGTAATGGAGAAGTGAAGGAAAAAAGATTAGATAAATAGATAGATGGGGAGGGGGTTACCTTAGCTTTAAAATGGATCTCTTTGTAACTGCTTTCGCAGCTCCTCATTTCTTGTCCCTGCAACCCCCTCCTCCTCTCCCCGCACGCTACACGTGATAGATGGTTCATTCCTTATCCATCCTTTATGCGTTGAAACTATGCTTTTCCTACATACTAGTTTTATTCGGGATACTTGATGGTGCATCTAGATCTAGCTGCGTAGAAATATGCTTCTTAGGTGTTTCAGCTGTGTGGTGGTGGTGGTGGACCAATGCACGATTATGCAGTGGTAGTAGCACTGTTATTGAAGGTAACTATCTACTAGCGATGCAGGATGGTCAATTAGATACCTCCATTCGTCAGTTTATCTCTGGTATATGATAAAAGCAGTGTTGGAGACAGAGTGCGTGATCTTTCAATTTCTGTTTTCGTCATTTACTGTGTTACACAACCCCACCAGCCTGTTCATGACTAGACTAAGTTATGTGCTCTTTATCTTGACCCTTGCAGATCTACATTATAGTGGCATGCCATATAGATCGACTATTGCAGTTTCCCCTTCTATAGTGATTCCTCTTATTGGTCATTTTGTGTTTGCTTTGAACCTTCTCGCCCTCCTTCTATCAGTGAGAGAATCATGCAAGAATTATGAGTTTATGTCCCAAGATGGTTGCTTGTAGTGCGATATGCTGCCCAAGATGTTCAGCTATAGTAGAAAGGGATGTCATCTAAGAGAGAATTCTAAAGGCGCATATGTGTAACAGGCCAGAAGAATAAACTCTAGCCATCCTTCATGATTTCCCTTCCCGAGGTATAGTATGCTAGTCATGCACTGCACACGAAGAATTAGTCTTCCGGAGCGACCATCATATGATCCAACTTGCTTTTTACAAAGCCCGTTGGCTCGAATTTAGGGATTTGGTCTTATCAAGCCCCTCATTCATTGTCCAATTGCCTTATAGAGAGGCAATACTAGCCATCTATTCACAGCGTAAGTGCGGGGTATAGTAACATCCGTGATGCGGGTTAGCGTCTTAGCATTGGTCTGTTTTCCCTGATTGGATTCTTGAAAGAGGGCATGCTTCGCCACTACGGTTTTCGGTGGTCTGGATGCTGCAGCTTTGTAGGCTAACAGGGAGTATTGTGGGCCATGGTCAGGTAAGCTGCATGCATGGTGTCGGTCGGTCTTCGGTGTACCCGAAGTTTAGCCGTATGAGTGGTCTGCTGCACATTTGCTTGATGCTTCGGGGTAATGGCTGGCGAGCCGAGGCATTCTGTTGCATTAGTCAGTTCAGGATTTTGTTGTGTGCTCATGCAAGGTAGCGCGGATATCCGCTTTGTAGATTTATGGATTTTCTTGCATTCAATTCCTGGCTTACCTGTCGCTTTTCAGCATGATATCTGGTTACAAAGAACCATGCGACCAAGGTACCCGATCTTGATAGAAGATCAAGATCCTGATTTAAGCTTATCGGTCAGCTCTATTCTAAGGTTTCTGAAAGTGGAGCTGACGTGATCAACGGCTTGTAGTAGTGGGCTGTGAGAATTATGCCTGTCAAGCATCTCGCGTCGGAGTACCTTGGGTAGCACATATGTTGGCTGCATCATATGCCCGAAACATACTTAAGCAGGGAAGTTTGGTGTCTTTTTTATGCGATGGGGCAACGGTGTCAGATTTGAGAGCAGCATTGGGATGGGATCCTATTTAGGGCTGCTTATTGCCAGCTTAGTGAAACCTGTGGTTATAGGTGAGGGCAGAGTAGTGGTGTGATTGGTCTAAATGTCCAGCTTCGTGGTCTTCTCACAATGAAGCATCGTTCAGAAGCTCAAAGCTTACTTTCCCCAGCCGAAAGTATCGGCATACAGAAAGCTACATGTGTACTGAGAGGCAAATAAATAACATTAAGATGTAGGGGGGTTTTTAGCACAATAGGTAAGACCGAAGAGTTGGAGGCTGACAGTCCTGGATGACATGTTGATGTGTATTGCCTATTGAAAGTGTTTTGATGGTCTCGTTCATTCCGCTTGCTCTTATATTGAACATGTCAAGCTCTGGCTGGATACTACCATGTCAAGGCGAACCGACTCATGCATCTTAGAGGCTCTCGCTTGGTGCTTGGATGCAACTATAGAATATCCTGGTCGAAGACATCTCGGGGTCACAGCACCATGATTGCATGTAAAAGGACGTTGCAGTCGTTTGCTGCTTGACAGCCAGTAATATGGTATCGGATCAAAGTTGAGTCCTTTGAAGAGAGTAAGACGTCTGGAGACCCTCGCTTGGTCAACGAATATCCGCCGTGACTTAACCAAGCCACAGTCCAACTCTTATCTGATGGCTGCTGTGTGATTCATTGTCTGTGGGGCTCAGAGTCCTTGAGATCGTATGTCAGGGAAGCAAGCCAACTATCTGGAAGCCTAAATGGATGAGCATTTAGTGCTCAAAGACGAAGCCCATTCAAGAGACTGAACAATTCCACTCAAATAACTAGACTTCGGACGATTGTCGGAGATACTTGAGCAGAAACGTCAGAGCATGTATCGCCAGTTGGCCTGGACCCGTCGGAATAATTTAATCAAGCTCGGACAGCTAAACTGTGTTGTTTGCTTGAAGTTGGTGTCTTGCTACTTTACCTTTGGGGTGCGCACGTCCTCGGATGCAGATGTATACAAAAGTTGTTCCTCCAGTCATATTCTGGTGGCATGATTTCGGTTGGCGAGCGGCGAAGGATTTCGTCATATAGTTTGGAGGATGACTGACTAGACTTCCAGACAGGTCAGTGATCGCAATATCCACCACGGACAAGAAACCAAGATTTCTCCGGTGGCACCCCGCAGGTCAGCCATCCGGAAGCTTAGGCTGATTGGGGCTTCGGCTCCAGGGTCCTCCCGCAGTGGGTGGGCACTATGAAAGAGAACGCTCATCTATGAGATGGCCAACCGACATCTGATCGTCAGGAGAGATGGAGCATACCTTTGAACGTTCCTGCATGAGATAGTCACTGTCCCCTGAAAGACCAGCAGATAGGGAAGGGATATATGAGCAAGATGCAGACGAGAGGAGGGGAGCGGGAGAGTAGAGAAGCAATTAGCCGGCGCGGGAGAGCCAATGCGGAGAAACCGGGCCAGACTAACCGGATGAGGCGCCGTCCCTGTGGAGGATCGTCATTCCAATTGCCTGCTTCACCTTGCAATCTTACTGCTTCTTGCGAGCTTGCTTGAGCATCGTGGCCCTGTTCGGACCCTGCCCGCTACGCTATGCCCAACTAACCCCATGCTAGACACTCGAGACCACCAATTGACTCGACAGGTCCCACTTCCCCTCCTACGATGATGTCGGTGTTGCTAGGATCCGACTCATGGCTCGGCTAGTATGCTCACAGCTCCGTACATTATTCAGCGTCGAGACGGGCATTGAGGGGGTGGAATGAGGGCAATAAAGTGGCTCATTCCCCCGGAGCCTGTTGGCATGATGCTTCCCCGAGCTCTCGCGGAATTTGACACCCCCCGTGCCCTTCGACCCATTGGCGTCTACTTGCGCCCCGGGTGTGTTGCATCATGAAGCTTTCCTCCGCTTGTGCTATTGCCTTGCTGGCTGCACAGGCTGCTGGGGCGTCCATTAAGCATCGGATCAATGGCTTTACTCTCACGGAACATTCTGACCCGGCCAAGCGGGAATTGTTGCAGAAATACGTATGCACTTCTATGGATGGCAGCACTTCTGGCAACTGACATGGTGTCTACTAGGTCACTTGGGATGACAAGTCCCTCTTTATCAATGGCGAAAGAATCATGATCTTCAGTGGCGAGTTCCATCCATTCCGGTAATACTGCCCTTCCTTCTCTCTATACTCGTGTTGACTCGGGTTTCTTGATCGCTCTAGACTACCAGTAAAAGAACTCCAGCTTGACATCTTCCAAAAGGTCAAGGCGCTAGGATTCAACTGCGTATCCTTCTACGTCGACTGGGCCCTTGTTGAAGGAAAGCCGGGTGAGTACAGGGCAGACGGCATTTTTGACCTGGAGCCGTTCTTCGACGCGGCCTCGGAAGCAGGTATCTATCTGCTCGCTCGTCCAGGCCCCTATATCAACGCGGAGAGTTCCGGCGGTGGTTTTCCCGGATGGTTGCAGAGAGTCAATGGCACTCTTCGCACAAGTGACAAGGCCTACTTAGAAGCTACTGATAAGTACGGCAAAAATCGCCCTGGGGGCTTCTGGCGCCTGCTGACTTTGTCACAGCTACGTTTCTCACATCGCTGCAACGATTGCCAAGTACCAGATTACCAATGGCGGTCCAATTATCCTGTATCAGCCCGAGAATGAGTACACTGGTGGCTGCTGCGGTGTCGAGTTCCCCGATCCGGTGTACATGCAGTACGTTGAAGACCAGGCTCGTAATGCCGGTGTCGTGATACCGTTGATCAATAACGATGCCTCGGCTTCGGGGCACAATGCTCCTGGAACTGGGGAGGGAGCAGTCGACATTTACGGCCATGATAGCTACCCGTGAGTTTAGCATGCGTTTGATTATGAACACTGGCTGACAAATATAGGCTTGGATTCGACTGTGTATGTTTATCTTGAGTCTCGATGTGCTCGTAGCTAATTAGCCCAGGCCAACCCTACGGTATGGCCCTCGGGTGACCTGCCTACCAACTTCCGTACCCTTCATCTTGAGCAAAGCCCGACGACGCCATATGCGATAGTTGAGGTTAGTATACGTACCCTGGCTAGCATTTCGAGTTTAACACCTCGCAGTTCCAAGGTGGTTCGTACGACCCTTGGGGAGGACCCGGATTCGCTGCGTGCTCTGAACTCCTGAACAATGAGTTCGAGAGAGTGTTCTATAAGAACGACTTTAGCTTCCAGATTGCCATTATGAACCTGTACATGGTATGTGTGCTGGAAACCTAGGCTCGTATATGGCTAATCTGGGTAGATCTTCGGTGGAACTAACTGGGGCAACCTCGGTTATCCTAACGGATACACCTCCTACGACTATGGTTCGGCTGTGACTGAATCCCGCAACATCACCCGCGAGAAGTACAGTGAACTCAAGCTTCTTGGCAATTTCGCCAAAGTGTCTCCGGGTTATTTGACGGCCAGTCCTGGCAATCTGACAACTTCCGGATATGCTGATACCGCGGACCTGACTGTAACGCCTCTGCTCGGAAACAGCACTGGCTCTTTCTTCGTGGTTAGACATTCGGACTACAGCAGCGAGGATTCAACATCATACAAGCTTCGTCTTCCTACCAGTGCTGGTACCGTGACTATTCCTCAGCTTGGTGGCACGCTCACCCTTAATGGACGCGATTCAAAGATACACGTGACCGACTACAATGTCTCTGGAACCAACATTATCTACTCTACGGCCGAGGTCTTTACCTGGAAGAAGTTCGCCGACGGAAAGGTTCTCGTGCTTTACGGGGGTGCCGGTGAGCACCACGAGCTTGCCATTTCAACCAAGTCGAATGTCACGGTTATTGAAGGATCCGATTCTGGCATCTCGTCAGAGCAGACCTCCTCGTCTGTTGTGGTGGGCTGGGATGTGTCGACCACTCGCCGCATCATTCAAGTTGGCGACCTGAAGGTTCTTCTCCTTGGTAGGTTCACTTCACCCGGATGAATCACATGAAGCTAATCATTAGCAGATAGGAACTCTGCCTATAACTACTGGGTGCCTCAACTTGCCACAGATGGCACTTCACCAGGATTCAGCACATCGGAGACCGTCGCCTCATCCATCATCGTCAAAGCGGGCTACCTTGTTCGGACTGCTTACCTGAAGGGAAGCGGTCTTTACCTCACCGCAGACTTCAACGCAACCACTTCCGTTGAAGTCATTGGTGTACCGTCTGCGGCTAAGAATCTGTTCATCAATGGAGATAAGACGTCGCACACCGTTGACAAGAACGGCATCTGGTCAGCTACTGTCGAATACAATGCCCCTGATATCTCGCTTCCCAGCCTGAAGGACTTGGACTGGAAGTATGTGGACACTCTTCCTGAGATCCAGTCATCCTACGATGATTCGCTCTGGCCTGCCGCAGATCTCAAACAGACCAAGAATACGCTTCGTTCTCTGACGACTCCTACCTCTCTGTACTCATCCGATTACGGGTTTCACACCGGTTACTTGCTCTACCGCGGACACTTTACCGCCACAGGCAACGAAAGCACCTTTTCAATCGATACACAAGGTGGATCAGCATTCGGAAGCTCTGTCTGGCTGAACGGAACCTACCTCGGGTCTTGGACCGGTCTCTACGTAAACTCCGACTACAACGCCACCTACAAATTGCCTCAACTCCAGGCAGGCAAGTCTTATGTCATCACCGTCGTGATCGACAACATGGGCCTCGAGGAGAACTGGACTGTTGGTGAAGATCTGATGAAGACCCCGCGTGGTATCCTGAACTTCCTGCTTTCTGGGCGTCCGGGCAGTGCCATCAGCTGGAAGCTGACCGGAAACCTTGGCGGCGAGGACTATGAAGACAAGGTTCGCGGTCCCCTCAACGAGGGTGGTCTCTACGCTGAGCGCCAAGGCTTCCACCAGCCCGATCCTCCTAGTGGGAACTGGAAGTCTTCCAGCCCTCTTGAGGGACTTTCCGAGGCAGGCATTGGTTTCTACAGCGCCAAGTTTGACCTTGACCTTCCCAAGGGCTGGGATGTGCCACTGTTCCTCAACATCGGCAACAGCACTACGCCATCCCCGTACCGCGTGCAGGTCTACGTCAACGGATACCAGTATGCTAAATACATCAGCAACATCGGACCTCAAACCAGCTTCCCTGTCCCTGAGGGAATTCTGAACTACCGTGGAACGAACTGGTTGGCGGTGACCCTGTGGGCTCTCGACTCCGCCGGAGGCAAGTTGGAAAGTCTCGAGTTGAGCTACACCACTCCGGTGCTGACTGCCCTTGGGGAAGTCGAATCGGTCGATCAGCCCAAGTACAAGAAGCGGAAGGGTGCATACTAGGTTCTGTAAATAGCAGATTCTATCTAGTCTGGTATTATCATAGGATAGCCAGATATTCTCCTGTCGGGTCAGTCAAGTGGCCGGGAGGTCGAGGAATTCAAACAGATTTTGAGATGCCACATAAGGCTACGGCATTTTGACTAGCACTAGAGTCTATCAGAAAATCAAAAGTAGAACCCGAGGAGCAATTGGTATGGTATTAACGATACTAAGGAACGGGTAGTGAGATGGATAAGAAAGTAAAAAAGAAAAAAGTTAGTGCATCATCCGTGAATCGAACACGGGCCTCATCGATGGCAACGATGAATTCTACCACTAGACCAATGATGCTGGTTGATGTAAGAACATTCTAGTTAATGTTTTATGTTCCAGTGCTACTGCAGGGACGGTGATGGTAACGGCAACAAAGAATTGCATGATGGGGTGGCATCATTATTGTTGCTAATAAACTGAACTCCACTGTGTCCAATATCGGTATATTGCGGCTGAGCATTCGTATCAAATTTACGACTACAATCATCGAGATAACACGATCTCCTTTCTTGTTCAATCACTCATTCGTTGTTAGATTCCGCCAAGACTCTAATGGAGATATATATGTTTGGGATAGTAGTATGACTGTAGTCAATACTCCATAGCAAACTTTGGTCAATGTAGCGTGGAGCGACGATCTAATACCTAGTATCTGCTGAATTGATATGTTTACTCAAAATTATAGCCAAAATACAACGCCATTCGGGTCTTCCACACCGGCCATCCCGCTCTAGTTGGAAAGTCTCTTACTCTGCTTTGCTCTCAGCACGGGTGACTTTGCAAAATACCATTCTTCAGTAGAGAATTGAATCCTGAACAATGATGAGCTTACTGGCAGTATATATGACCTGCAGTAATTGATGGGCCTGGGGCTCTGCTTCATGGGTTCCTTACAGCCCTGTCGTGCGTGGGCCACATATCGAGAAAAATCCTACTTTATCCACAGTCACGGGAGTTGATAAGAAAATAGATGAGATTATGGCCAATTTGCCATTTGGATATCTGGATTTGGAGCAGATTAGTCTATGTCAAGATACAACAGACAGACACACTCGGTCCTTCCGCCTGGTTCATACTCACAGCTTAAAAGCACAGCTATACATGCCATTATTCTTGCAAAGAGCGCATGGCAACAAGCAGGAATATAGTTGGATGGCTTGTGTGAGGAGCGCAAGGTCTCTTCTAGAAGTGTACCTTCTCCTGCATGAGAGTAACCCTGCTGCAGCCCATGGACAGCGCAAGATGATTATGCAGGAGGGCTCGTTGACAATGCCGATGCAGCAGCAGATTTTATATGACTCGGAGACATACTCCATTGCTCACCCGGAGACTTTCCTGGTTATATACTGGAATTTGTCCGGTGCCTTATTCGCACCCCATATATTTGCAAAATCAAGTGCTGTGATTGGCTATTATAAGTGGACACGGCCGAGTATGCACAAAAGCGCTAATGTTTTGGGGACGATTGTTGATGATTTGTAAGTTATGAAGTCATGTACTAACTAATGGATTGCCCCACACCGAGCCAATTCAGCATTTAAACATCAACTTCACCAGGGTCTTTGTGCGTTAGCCAGCACCTCCCAATCCCTGAATACTTCCCAAGGATCATCGATATGCCTACCAAGCTTTTCATCACCGGTGTGACCGGCTACATTGGCGGCGATGCCTTCTATTACCTCTCTCAGCACCACCCCAACTTTGAATATGCCGCCTTGGTCCGCACAGAGGAGAAAGCGAACCGAGTTCGCGAGGCATATCCTAATATCCGCATTGTTAGTGGCAGTCTAGATGATTCGGAGATTCTTGTAAAAGAAGCTGCTTGGGCGGATATTGTTCTTCGTATGCACAGTGTCCCTTCTCCTCCTTTCCATTACCTTATCTCTCTTATTATGTATAAGCATCAAAGACCACAGAAGCTGACGGAATAGACACCGCCGACGCCTCCGACAACGTCGGCGCAGCAAATGCCATCGCCAAAGGAATGATTGAGGGCCATTCCTCCGAAAGACCGGGCTACTGGCTGCACACAGGCGGCACCGGAATCCTGACATATTTTGATTCCGAAGTGAAGAAAGTCCATGGAGAGCATGACGATAAAGAATTCGACGACGATGAGGGAGTAGGTGAACTTGTCAATCTTCCCGCGGATGCGTTCCACCGCAACGTCGACGAGATCGTTCTTAAGACGGGAACCGAGCATTCCGACGCAGTGAAGACAGTCATTGTTTGCCCACCCACTATCTACGGAAAAGGAAGAGGACCTGTTTCCTCTCGCGGTAGACAGGCTTATGAGCTTGCTAGCTTCATCTTGCAACAGCGCTACACCCCTCAAATCGGAAAGGGTCTGGCACGTTGGAATAATGTGCATATTTATGATTTGAGTACATTGTTTGGAGCTCTCGTTGATGCAGCGCTTGATCCTAGGAAGAAGGCTGACAAGGAGATCTGGGGCGAGATGGGGTACTTCCTCTGTGAGAATGGGGAGCATGTTTGGGGGGATCTGGCGAAGTTGGTTGGGGAGCAGGCACATGCTTTGGGGTTATTGAAAGAGAAGCCGGAAGTTAAGGAGCTCTCGCTTGAGGAGGCGATTAAGTCGCCGGCAGGCTTTGAGGCTGCGAGCTGGGGTTGGAATTCCCGCGGCAAGGCGCAGAGAGGACGGAGGGTTTTAGGGTGGAAGCCACAAGAGAATAGCCTGGAGAAGGAAGTGCCGGATATTTTGAAGGCGGAAGCAGCGAGGTTGTGAATCTGAGTATAGTCATTGCAGATCAAGAACTTGTTGGACAGGGTGGGTACCTTGGATGAACAGTTAAGTAGATGCAAGAAGATACCAAGTAATATTCGTTCCGCGAGCTTCAATTGCATGCCGTGAAGAGATCGATACACACACCCAACTCGATCAATCTTTGACTGTTATGAGACAACTACAACGAAAACACAAAAGATTCTAGCACATAAAATACTAAGACTTCCGAGGTAATAAACTCCAAATCACCTTGGCTTTTTGCCTGGTTTCCATGAGCAAAGCCCTTGATTTGCTGCACCAATCCCGACGGAAGAGGATCCCAGCCGCAAGTCCGTGGCTGTGCTTCTATCCAATCTACGCATATGTACTAAGTACTCTTAGCGTCTCCTTGTCCGAGAGGCTGAGCACGAGGCTAATAGCTAGCTGTGCCAGCCTCTTTTACCTGGACCTCTTTTGAACCACCAGCAGTAATCAGAACAGTCGCGATTTCTCTCCAGTATACACTGGACTAAGATTAATCATGTCGTCAAAAGATGCTGAGTGGAGCAAACACAAAGAAGAAGTCTCCTCCCTCTACCGCAAGAACCCACTAAATCGGGTGATGAAACACATGATCGCGAAGCATGGATTCCACAGGAAGTATGATTTACTGCCCGCATAACGGTCTGAGCTCATCGTGTACTAGGGAATCTGAGTACAAGAAGAAGCTCAAAGCTTGGGGGGTGAGGAAGAACGGTACGACCTCAGCATGGGTGTTTGTGCAGCGAGAGGTTGCCAAACGAAAATTACAGGGGAAAGAAGATTACGAGGTGCTTATGCATGGGAAGATCTACACGGCTAAGCAGGCAGAGAAGGAAATGGCGAGACATGTTACTTATACTACAAACTTTGCGTTGGAAGGTGAGCTTTCCCAGTCTTCATGGGCTGGTTGGGGATAGGCGGCGTGGCTGACACGAAGCTATCGGGCGAATAGGGGAGTATGACACCGCACCAGAGGGCGTGGAGGTTCGTACGCCTCGACTGATGCCGAGGTCGTTGGTCCCTACGAGGGAGGTCCGCACTGATAATCTCCCTTGGATATTATTCAAGTATCAAAGTCAGTTTGCGGTAGTGCGATCATTCAGCACACCAGCCGCAAATGTTGACATGCTTAACTTACCATTCAATCCGGTAGATGGACAATCATATAGCCAATCAGGCCCTTTGGCCCTCAACCATAGGGCTCTGGGAGGCGCTTGTGAGGTTTCATCCGTTAATCAAAGGAACGTCTTCGATCTTTTCTTGCAGGACTGGGTTCTCCAGGAATCCCCGAGTGACTCATCAATTGATAATGCTTGGTTGACTCCTCCCGCTGGTTTCAGTCATGATCCACAAAGCACCTTCGACCCAATACTACAGGACGGCGATCAAGATAACCGAATCTCTGGATCAGGGTTCGATAGTTCAATATTGTCAGCCCCTGAACCTGCCGGGGGACACTCTGCACTAACAGTCATTCAGAAATTATCTATACAACAGCGTATTAACACCGAGAATCAACAAATTGATTTGGACCAGTTGACTGGGTTCCTGAAACGGTACGAAGTCGAAAATCCTGGGATCGAGTCGAGTCTTCTCTCTCGCGACCTCGGCGGATTCGATGATCCCTCGCACCTGAGACAAGTATTCAACACGTTCGTATTCCTTATCACGAACAACCTCATGAATATGGAAGATATCGCACGTGTCTTTTGGTGGAGTGGGGCAAATAAATACAACTGGGTTTTCAAGGAGGTCTTCAAGCTGCAATGCCCAACGGTTAACGTCCTTGCGACCAAACTGATCCCAGCAGCCGTACAGGCGGGAGACGTGGAGCTTGTTTTGATGCTCCTATCGCGAGGTGTCAATGTTAACGTTTCATATTCACGGATGCCCTTTGTTGGATGGTCAAATCTTCTATCGATGGCTGTCGATTGCCGCAATATCCATATGGCGAGACTTCTCTGCGCCAAAGGAGCAACCCCTACAGTGTCGAGATTCGCCGTCTATAACAGAAATACCGAGTCCATTGATACACTGTGGTGTAGCCATAACCTTGATCTCCTTTCCTTGCTGTTAACATATCACGCGGATCCAGAAACCTTCGTTTCTGACGAAATGAGAGGATTCCCTCTGGTACATGCTGCTTCCAAGGGCCACTTTAACGCAGTTTCCCTCCTGCTCAAGGCTGGCGCCCGAACACATTGGTATACGCGAGAGCATGGCACCGCTCTCCAAGCCGCTGCCGCATATGGCCACGAAGGCGTCGTCCGCATACTGATTGAGGCCGGTGCTGATGTCAATGCCATACTGGATCACTGGCACCCCTCCTGGACACGTTCAAGAGAGCGATGTGCGACTCTGCTAAGTCCGCTTGATCTCGCAGCAAAATTCAACCATACCAGAGTCGCCCAGATGCTGCTACTGAGTGGTGCTCGCACAAACTTCTGTCCGAGTGTCGAACGGTTTGGCTTGCAGGTGTTGGAAACCGAGTTTGCACGCTGGGGTGAGCCTGGCCAGATGATGGGACACGACGTGCCCTGTGCGTATGCCATTCAGTATGCAGCCCTTAACGGAAACAATGAGCTCATGTCGCTGTTACTTGATTCTGGAGCAGATCTGGATTCAAGAATCAGCCACGACCTCGGAGATACCCCGCTGCAGATAGCGGCCGGCAGAGGAGATTTATCGATGACGTGTATGCTGCTCGATCGCGGAGCCTACATCAACGCTCCTCCGGGAAAGTACTCTGGCCGGACGGCGATCCAGGCGGCTGCGGCACAAGGAAACTTAACAGTGGTGGAGAAACTGCTGGAAGCAAAGGCAGATATCAACGCAGCTGCGGGCTGGCAAAACGGGAGAACCGCAATGCAAGCCGCCATTGAATCGTCGCAGGTGCTCACGGGATTGATTCTACTACAGATGGGAGCAAATATCAATGCCAAAGCAGGGTTCCGGGGCGGGATCACCACGTTGCAAGCGGCAGCGTTATCTGGTAATTTGGTCAGCCTCAAAGTAATCCTGGACAAGCAGGGAGATTTGCATGCGCCAGCCGGGCCAGAGGATGGACTCACAGCCCTCCATGCTGCGATTCAGAATAAAGACCTGGAAGCACTTCGTCTATTAGTCCAGGCAGGTGCAGACGTGAACGAGCGACCTTCAAAGCCCTTGTCGTCACCCTACATGAACAATTGCTTCCGTGCCGGAAACAAAACAGCCCTTCAGTATGCAGTGTACTTGGGATGGCCCGATGGTGTGCGATTTCTCGCACAAAATGGTGCAGATATCGACGCCCTGCCTCCCTTCCCCGGAGTTGTCGCATATACCGCCTTGGGTCATGCGATTGACGAGAGAGACCCCCAAATGATTGAGTTATTACTAAAGTGTGGCGCTAATCCCAACAGCGATTACATCCATGATGATGATTCATCAACTGCCTTCAGTTTCGCCCTTGCAAATACATGCTCACTTGATATCATCGATCTGCTGTTAAAATATGGTCCCAACTTCAACAATCTCATAGGAAAGGAATCGGCGCTCGAGACGGCGGTAGAAGTCGGTCAAGCGGACGTTGTCAAGAGAATCATGACATTGATGTCACAGCATTGCCCTGAACAGTACTCCCGATCACTCAAAACGATAATGTCTCATATTATGATAGACAATGACTGGGCACCCGACTTCGAGATGGTCCGACTATTGATTGACGCTGGGGCGGACATAAATGCTGCTTACATTGACGACGATAATCCGTTATACCATGGAACATTACTTCAGCGTTCAGTCAGGCGGTTTGTCAGTGGGCCCAGAATAAGCGTCGTCCAGTTATTGCTCGACAATGGAGCCGAAATAAATACTCCAGCAACGGAAAACCTAGGAACGCCATTGCAACTGGCCATTCTGAGCGAAGAAGTGGAGATCGCAAATCTACTACTCGACCACGGAGCCGACGTGAATGCCCTCCCAGCAAAGAATCGCGGAGCCACGGCATTGCAAGCCGCTGCTATGCACGGATACTGTGGTCTTGCCATGCGATTGTTAGCCAAGGGGGCGGATGTGGCGGCCCCAGCAGCGCCTATTGATGGAAGGTTGGCCATTGATGGAGCGGCGGAACACGGATATCTCGATATGGTCCAGTTACTTCTGAATGCGTATGGAGATCGACCGAACTTGTCATTTGTGTGTCGTAGAGCTGCCGCTGCTGCAGAACGAGAGGGCCATTTCGATGTGATGAGATGGTTGTTGGGTTATATACGATCATAGGCACTGGTGTAAACGCTTCATTTCACTAATAATATACAATTACCATTCAAAACCCACTACCTCTACCCACGCATATTACATACACCTTCACGGATCCACCTCCCTTTCCACAATCCTATAGCCCACACTTACCTCACTGATCACCCTCTGCGAAACAAACACCTCTGTTTCAACAGTCAGAATCAAACTATCAACCCCAACCCCAATTTCACTAGCATGTAACTCCAAAAAAGTAGGATAGAAAGACCCACTCACCTCTTGGGACATCATACCTAGAATCCCTCCTAGCCACCCATCCATTCGTTTCCCCATGCCCCGTGTCACACCCATCATTCTCCCGTTTAATTTTCCTCCGCCATCTGCACCGAAAAATAAGCAGTGATGGAGGTCCCGTTACAAGCAGAGTTACCAGCGCGATGATGGTTGCTTTGGACCAGCCCATTCTGGTATTGGTATATGGTTGGTGAAATGCAGCGAAGTTCACGTTTCTTGTTGGTTGAGTTGGTGTGGTATTTCGTAATATAGCTTTATTGATTGGAAGTTGCTTAAGGGTGTTAGACGAGAATATAGTATGGGATGATAGAGATGAGTTGAAATGTAAGGAGATGAGATGCTGGCTTAATAGATGAATGAATGCATTATATCTACTACACAGTATCAGATTCAGTGTAGATAGTAGGCTGTGAGGTGAATGGTAATGATTATTGGTTGATGGCGGGTGGGGTGATGGGGCTGAACTTTTGGTTTCGATCAATGAAATCGAGTATATGGGATGGGAACTAGACTGGATTTGGGGTAGTGCTGGATGTACCTACCTACCTGTATGTTTAAAGAGAGTGTATATGATCATTCTGCTGCGGCGACAAATACATCCTTTTTGGTCTACATGGTAGTACTACTAGCCTGGACGGGTTATTATATTGATATCTGTTTGACTTTGCAGCAACTGCAGTCACTACTAGAGGGCAAAAAATAACGAAAGTAAAGCCCTTTGGCCACCATCCCTCACACAGCGCCAGCACCACCAAACGCGTGGTCCAGTGGGTGGTTGGCCAAATGTCTCATTTGGCAATGGAGGGACTCAATGAGTTATGCACCATGTCCGATTTGTAGGTTGCGTTGCAGACGCTTTCTCTGGCTTTTATTACACTTGAGCGAACGCCGCATGAAGAAGAAAGCCCAAGACATTAGGTAGGCTATCAGTGCAAGTAACGTGACAGATGGCTAACCAATGATTGATTAGCCAATATTCCCTAAGCAGAATGATCACAGTCACCATATTACTCTACGGTCTCTACCATAATCAACAGAGCCACAGCATGGGGAAGAAAAGAAAAAAAAGCCAAACCAGGGTTGGAGGAGTGGGTCCCTCGCCAGAGAACTTCCTATTCGGGTGAGCGGGAACGACAGCCACGGATCACTAACTTGTTTGGTCCTATGCGGAGAGTCATACTATAAATGCAGCCCTATGCTCATTTTCCAACGAAGATGCACCAACGGTGAAATGAGACCGCCATTAACAACCGCAGGTATATTATTACAACGATGACCCGCATCGACTTCAGCTCACAATCTCCCATTATTCCCATCCCACCCCCAACGACCCTCCAAGAAATCCGCACCTCCAAACTCCGCTCCTTTGGCCCCGTCCTCTCCGGCATCGACAAGCAAACCCGCCCTGGCCAGCTTTACGTCTCAACCACCGGCCTAGAAGATGACGAACACGATCTGACCTTCCACGGGGGCATCGACAAAGCCATTCACCAGTACTGCTCAGACCACTACTCCTTCTGGGCCGATCGCTTTCCCGAGGCTCGTACACGCTTCGTACCCGGCGGCTTTGGCGAGAATCTCGTCGCAGATGGCTGGAACGAGCAGACCATATGCATCGGCGATAGGGTGCGCATCGGGCCACCGGGCTCCCTGAGCACTGGTGGTCGCAACGGTTGCGTGCTGGAGGTCAGTCTGCCGCGCCAGCCGTGCTTTAAGCTTAACCAGCGCTTCGGGATCAAGAACTTCGCTCCGCTCACTCACCAGGAGGCTAAGACGGGATGGTATTATCGTGTCATAGAGGAAGGGTGGATACAAGAAGGGTTGGAGATTAGCGTTATTCGTCGAAGTCATCCGCGATGGTCGATCGCCCGTTTGCACCATTACGTCCACCGCGACAAGACAGACTTGGCGGTGACGCAGCATCTCATGACAATGGAGGTCCTGGGGGATGAATGCAGGGATGTGTTCATCGAGCGCTGGCGAGCACATCAGGAGAAGGAGGCCGCGGCTAAGCGTCCGCCTGAGACTTGGAGGCAGTTCAGAGTTGCTAGTCATACGGCGGAGACTCCTCGCATAGTGCGCCTGGAGCTGGAGGCAGTTCGCCGAAGTACTTCGGCACCTGGTGCAATCCTACCTGGAAGTCATGCCCGACTCAAGCTTCCTAGCGGGTTACAACGCGCCTATTCCATCGTTCATGGCGACACGGATCGATTTACACTGGGGGTGGCCCTGGACGAACGCAGCCGCGGCGGGTCGAGCTTTATCCATCAAACACTCAAACTGGGGGACATAGTCTTAGTGGGGTCCGGGATAAGGCAGGGCTTAGCCATCGACAAGATGGCGTCTCATCACATCTTTATCGCAGGTGGGATAGGAATTACCGCCCTCCTCGCTATGATGAAACGCCTCAAGGACACAAACCAGGACTATTCCCTACATTATGCGGTGCGGAGCGCCACTGACGTTGCCTTTCAACCTCTGCTGGAGGACCTGCAGCCACATGTCACCATCTACGACAAGTCGCAGGGCCAACGAATGGACATTGCTGAGATCCTGCGAAATCGCATCTGGAACAGCCATGTTTACGTGTGTGGGCCGCAGCGCATGATCGACGCCGTGGTACAGACGGCCACCGCAGTGGATATGTCTCCTGATGAGGTACACTATGAGGCATTCGATGGTGATGATGCCGCCGGTGACCCCTTCACTGTGGATGTTGTTGGTCCAAGTCGAAAGTCAGAGGGACTTCAGGTAGGGGCTGAGCAGTCGCTTCTTGAAGTTGTGCGAGGTGCGGGCTTCGAGATTGGGAGTTCTTGTGAGGTGGGAAATTGTGGCGCTTGCAGGGTTTCTGTTCGCTGTGGGAGGGTGTTGCATCGGGGAACTGCCTTGATGGAATCGGAGCAGAAATCAGAGATGCTGGCTTGCGTTTCTAGGGGTGTCGGGCATATTGTTGTTGAGGTTGCTGAGTAGTTGAATTGAGGTGAGAGGTGGGTTTAACGGATGAGTTCTCACATTAATATATAGAGATGGTAAGTTGCCTTAGAACTGCATGTTATTGCATAACCCCAACGATCTAAATCATGGATCACATAACGTTCTGATCACAAAAATGTACGTTAATGAATATATAGCCCAATACCCCCTTCTACTATGGACACTCCTCAGATAGGCAAAGCCGACACCCTCCCACATATACCTCTTCTCTCCTCCTCCGTAAGGTCCACCCCGAAAACATCCCTCAAAGCCTCCACTCGTTCACTCTCAGTATTACAGACCCGAACCAACTCATTCTTCCCTCCTCGATTCTCCTTCAACTTATCCTGATCCAGAATCACTTTCCCGTAGACCTCCCCGTCAGCGTGTTGCAGGAACCGAATGACCAACAACCGCTGCGTCAGGAACGAGGTCGGGTTCTGACTTGTATAGAAATTCATGACCTCGAAATCACGCGGGAAAAATTCAAATTCATGAAAGGCATAACCCACGCGCCAGGCTTGCTCGCTGCCGTTGCGGAATTGGTAGGTCCAAGCATTAGTACTAGGATTGTTGGCGGAGTGTGACCGCTCTTCCGACGATTCTCCATTCTTCTGGAGGCGGATTTCCTGCGTGCCAATATTGGGGATAGAGGTGGAGGTCTGGACCAGGGGTAACGGGGTGGTTGGTCCGTCGCCGCCGTAGCCGACGTCAAGCATGTAGTTGGAGTTGTCTGCGAGAGTAACAATGTTCACGGCGTGTTCCCTAAAGGGTCATATTCTGAGCTTCAATCTGGGATATGGAGGGGCTTTACTTACCATCCTGACCAGCCCGGTTTAGGATTATTTGCGTCTCGAAAAAGACGAGCGCCGGTGAGGTACACTTCGAACCCTAACTGCCTCAATACATGGTATAAGAGAATGTTATTCTCCATGCAATATCCCCCTCGCTTTCTTGTCACGAGCTTGTGGAAGATGTCGTGGATATGAAGCGATATGGAAGGTGTTGGGCTGTAGTGAAGGGCAGTGTTGTCATACGGGATGTGGGAGACATGATGGGCCTGGATAGTTGCTAGAAACTCTCGGTCGAGCTTGGGGTTCTGCTCGCGCCGAAAGCGCGAAGGTAATTCAATGCGCTCGAAATACTCATCGAGATGATGAGTTGTGAAACTCGCGCTAAGTTCAGTCATGGTGAGATGTGTAGTAATTCGGTGCCCGTTTGGTTTCTCTATACAGTGGCGAATATGGTGAGTGTGGTGCGGCAAAGCTATCACATATTAATACTTTGAAGTTGGCTAAATAGGATGCGGATGATGTTAGATTGAGTAGGTCCAGCCGAGTGGAACGCTTATCAACCTGACCCCGCCTAAGGTGCTATCTGTCAGCAAATTAGTCCGTGTTTTTGCTTCTCAACCGACTAATGACTCCGCAGCTTTATTCTGCTACTACTCAATAGTACTTAAACTAAGTTTGATACTAAGCCTCGTGAGTCAGTCTGGCGGAGAATACCAACCCAGTGTAAGTCAAAGGCTCATGGCTCATGAGCTTTACATATTCATTCATGAGGGCCTTGATCTGGCTGCGCCATGCGTATTGCCGCTCAGGGGTTTTAGAAGGGTCTCGAAGAGCAATTACACGCTATACAAGACCACCATTTCTAAGTGGTTCAGGTCAAGTTGCAAACAGCGACAAGGTACCTTGGCCGAGTAGCCTCTACCCTAGCCCTTAAACCCCCATCCATCCCATATTATACTCACATAGCACCGTGAAAGATTACGGAAGCATAGATTACATCCAGAAGTGTGCCCTCAAAGACTGGGTCGTAGGGCAGATATGGTGATGGGCAAAATTTCGAATTAGTTGCAGACTGATTTATTCAAATATGTGTACTACATACATTCCGATGTTCTCAAAATGTGAAGTGGGATTTATATTCACTACTTAGTATGTTTCGCTCTCACAGTCTACGAACGAAGGGAGACTACTTAGTAGCCTTTGCCCCCACTTACCCAGTCTAGTGCACGGGAGCGATGCCCAAAGTACAGTCGACCCACTTACCTGATCTTGTGCAGTCATGACAAGATGGGATGACCATTTACTTGCAATTAAAAAATTTTTAATGAGAGTTTATGTTCTTCATCAATTATTGTGGACGCCTGATTTCAACACTTTATGGTGTACTGTCCTATAAGATTGATGCTTTAGCTAATAATGGACCGGCTTTATGCGATCATATATGCATATATCCGTCCACATAGCCAAATATGAAAGTGCATCCACCTTTTGGCATAGCTGTTCTCCTATCCAACTTATCCTGTGGAAAGCTATAGCTCGAATGTCTACAATTGCACCGCTCTGAGCAATCTTCCTAAATTGCCGCCCTGTCGCAGCAATCCACGAGAGAGCAGGATCAGCCACAAATTCTAACGGGCAACACATGTAGGCCGTGTAACGAGCAGCGCATCAAATGCCCTATAAAAATGACATTCAAAGAGATAATGCTGACTGCATCCTCCGCGAGACCAGGCGGGGCACGTATCCTACCATGCAACTACCGCAGCTGTGCAAAACCACTAACTGGAGAATACACCACCCATCGCAACAGCATATCCCATTCGGCATTATTTACTTCTCCCGATGGCGGCGAGGTCGTTGATTTGCCATCTTAACAGCTCCCTGTAGGTTCCGATGACCCGACTACATCGTATTGAGATAATTCGTCCTGTTCTAATACTTCATGAATAGTAACAAAGACGTCAGGCAACGTCGTCATCGACAAGTGCTCAATTATTCACCTAAGTTAACCATTCCCGTTGGCTATATGGTGCTTGGCGAAGTTGATGGGGGGAGGCCGGATGAAAATGCATCATCCGGGACCTCCATTTCCGGCAAAGGGTTACCAGGCAGATGATTCCGGTTCTCTGCCTGAGGACCAGGGATTCCCACGTATGAGGGAGGCGTCTGAATGTCTTTACGAAGCCCACCTGACACCCTCCTGAATGTCTTTCTCTAGACCGCGTTTATCCTTACCACCCACTCGGGGATTGCCAAGAGCTTCCCTAGCGAATACACAGGAGGATTTTGTCGTGGTTTTGACAGCGCTGGAGTCTAAGGAATCGAGGTCAAATGTTCCTTCGGTAGTGCTGTTTGAGGAGGTGGTTGAGAGGGGTGTTTCGGGAGTTGATGGAGAATTGGAGTGACCATGTCAAAGTCTTAGTCAACTCTACATCTAAAGAATGGTGGTATATGGGATTTGATTTCAGAAGATGGTTCGTTGTGGTGCTTGGGCTGCGTTAGGTGCATAGAGGCTTAAGGGCATGGCTACCTCTAGTGTCAATCTGCATCGGCTCCGGGAGTATGGATGATTAGAAAGCGACGAGGAGAAGTGCACTCCCCAATAACAAGAGGGAGCATATTTCACTAACTAGAGTAAGTCGCGATAACAAAAACAGGTTATATTAAACTATAGCTGCCTCTGCATTCGCATATAAGTGCAGGGAAAAAACCCTCTGATTGAGGAGGAAAAACCTGTACTGAGGCTTGCGAAAATCAGAAACCACCAGTACACTTAGACAGGTCCTAAATATCAAGGCCCCCAGCCAGGTTGCTTTTCCGGGCTAGTTAAAACATTTCTTCAGCTTCTGTAGAAAAAACTTGTTAGCGTTTAAAAGAACCCTCCAGGAGGATGTGCCTACTAGTAAACTCCAATAAAAGTACATAGCTTGATTATCACAAGCTCTGCATCCAGATTCCATCGCCAAAAACGCTTATATATTGGTCGATGGGCGTGTTTAGGTCACCTTTGATCTTAGAAGAGTTTGAAAAAGAGGTTTCAAAGTCTCCTGTACCAATGTGGCCATCAATATTTTGTGCGCCGGAGAGCTGGTCTTTATTATCGTAATCTAATGTTGCTGGTGCGGCGCCGAAAAATGGAACGGCTGGATTGAGTGTCATTTCGCATGATGTCTGCGTACCATCGACATCGAAGTTGGCACTTGCTCGATTTGGAGCCAGCCATAGCAAGGTTCCATTAGACGTCGGCATGGTGGCTGGCACTCAAGGATGGGTGTAAGGTAAGTAAAGTTCTGACTTGATTCGAAATGTGGTAGATCTGGTAAATGCAAAGAATCTAGATAAAAAGATATCTCAATAATTAATACTAGAGCGACGCTTTTATACGTAGAAGGGTACTGCTAGTACCATGATACTTGTACAGTAATTTCAAAACAAAGTTTCAATTCTATGCGCCAAACCTGATAGCGGGCCAATGACTGGGCTTGAGCGCGGTATCAGGGTTCCCAATACCCATTGTATGACGATGCTACTCAACCGCTTCTTAGAGTCTCTTTGGCATACTGATGACCGCAGAAGTTTCTTTACCATCTATGATGCGGCCCATGTCTGACATGGAAGTCGATGCGGCATTTTCTTGTCATTTCATTGTGCATTGGTTGCAAACGGCTAACTGCATGCAGCTTGGAAAAGCCCAGAACGCAAGCTTAGACCGCCCCCCAGCAAATAGACGCGATGACAAGGCACTTTGTTGAGACTAGCATATCAAGTCTGGTGTTGGTTGATGACTCATTAGTTCATTCCGTTGGACTGGGGTAAGAGTATCTATGCCGTTTGCAAATAAGCTTCAGTAAGTGGGCTTTCATGACGTGTGGACGCCGGGTGCTTTACAAGGAAGACTGAAAAAGCTCGTGATACAAAGTTCGACGGAGTCATTGACCGAGATTGAAACCACATGGAATGAAAGACAAAAGCTAAAACGGGTTAATATTAGTTTGAAAAATCAGCCCCAGTTCAGCAGGAAAGGGCCTTTACTAGCCCAGGATCATATAGTTGTTGGTAAGAAGGCTATGGAAATAACAGCCGCTTGGCGGCGGACCTCCTTATTAACACAAATCTTGTTTTGCAAATTGAGTTTACGCAAAGAATCTTCTAAAGCTTATTCATTGACAATCCACTTAACGATAAGTTTCCTGGATGAGTTCAATTAACAAGAGATAATTTTTTTCAGAGTCAGCGTATTAATTCTTACTACAAGGTGTTGTTAGGACTGTGCTTTTGCCACGTAGGTCATGCCGATGTGGTTTCGCTGACGGGCTGCTTGGGACAGATGGTACGACACATGAGTCAACATAATTCCATTCTACAATTAGTATCTGTTATTATTGCAGTCTAGATTCATTCTTCAGACTGCCTACTGAGCCATCTACTCCATGTCGCATCTCATGTGGGGTCAGTATCCATGGTATGCTTCTGCTCAGGCGCGGAGCCCCATGGGGTAAGTCTAGATCGGTGGTTGCAAGAAGAAAGCATGTCTCGATTTCCTTTTGGCCCATGGAACCAACCCATGCATATTTTAAGAATGTCTTTTGACAGCACAGTGTTATGTTCGTAGGATACGATGTTCCAGATATTTGAGATACTCCTCGATCATGAAGCCGCCTGTGTGGATTTCAAGAGTCCCTTGGGAGACCTTTCTATGACGGAATATATTAGAGATTCTCACCAATCACTGAGGATAATGTTCTACGTTTTACGCAGTAAGAAGATATTTGAGTTTAGTAAATGGCCTCTATAAAATGGCTGGTTGAACGAGAATGGTTAGGTCAGATGAAACATAGTGATGTAGTGAACCATGTAGTTGCTGATTCTATGGAAGTGGAAGTAGGTGTGAAATTTAAAAAATTGAGAAAGTTTGCCTTGCTTACGTGTGATGGAGATGCTAGGTATGCAGATTACTCACCGTTTGAAGCAAAGAATATGGCTCAGAATGCCTTAGAGCCCTCATACCTCGTAGTAACCATATGTAAACCACGAAGCAGTGCATGGTACGACGTAGGTAGACCGATGTCGTAGCTAGGCACAATGGAATATGCAGAAAAAGCGAAGCAAAAGCGTAACCAAAAAAAAAAAAAAAGTATGAACGAACGGTCCATCCAACTAGTTGCATGCGTGTCGCCATTCTCCTCGTTCGTCGTCCATATCTTGCTTTGAAAAATGCATCTTACTTATGCATCTGTATCCCCCGCCGCTAAATCGAACGGGGAGTATGCGGTTCCTTCTACCTAGAGTCTTCAGTATCTATCTCCATGGCCTCGGAGCCTACGGGTCCCCCAAGCCAAAAGAAGACAGAGGTTTAGGGCTCATAAGCGTTACAGATGCATCTATGAGGACCTTGGATGGGCTGCACCACGCATATTGCCGCTAAGGGGTATTGAAAGGGTTTCGAGGGGTATATCCATGCTAAAAGGCCACCATACCTAAGTCGACATCAGTGAAAAGGCTATTCCTTTGGGATTTATAGACCTCAAGATGGAAGGATCGTGCTTCCCATCGGTTATTCTGGACCCCTAATCTTATGGCTTTGCGGTGGTCTTCCCTATAACATCATCCTTTAGGCACCACTACCCGTACCAATCCGCTGAAGTAAAGAACCCGTTTCAAGAGATCATACATGCATATTCAAATACATAATCTTCAAATTTGCACCATTCTCGGGAACCTGTCGGGAATATTACAAGCACAGCCGTCTACAAGGAAACGGGAAAGGTATATAGGTAATGTAGCATGAGCGCATCAAATCTGTCGCTTAGCATTAGATGACCTTTACCAACTGTGTTCAGAGTGATAATGCCAATCGTACACTCCACAATGCCAGGGAGGGCACTTGTATTCGGATGCTGCGGCTTCGAGGGCCCCCATGTTTACCGTAACACTGAGTCGATGAAGGCTACCACAGCCTCAGTCCCTGCACCATCCGCCAAAGAACAAAGTGAGCACCCGTACGGGGTTTTCCTCGCACCGGTTGGCTTCGCAAATGAGACTGCCGTAGAGGTTATCTCGTGGATTCCGTGCTTGTAATGTGTCGTTGGATGTCGGGGCGTTTCTGGAGCCGTTAGTCATGGCATAAAATGCTTTTTTCGATGAATACATTTCAGAGTGGGTATAGCTGGAGGGCTGTTAGGGTGGTGGTTAATAAGATTAGTGAGTGGAGGAATGGATGATGTTGGGAAAGTGGTGAGGCAGGTTCATCGTGCGGTTCCGGCGGGTATGGATGCAGTGATTAAAGCTGCCAGGCACGGTGGGGATGATCAGAAGAGTCGGCCCGTGAGATACCGGTGCAGGTGCAATTGAATGGTATATTATTTCGAAAGACGACGCTGGGAGGATTGTGCTAAATACAAGAGGACTTTTATGGGGGTTTCCAGGCGCTAGACACGGCGAATTGGAGACAGAGATGATCACTTCGGTTGCGCCGTTACGGAAGGTGTTTGAAGATTGGTATGGTCATGTCGAGACCTTGATGAGCCCTACGCTTGTATATATGGTGGAGGGTGCAAGGGAGGCAGACTTTCATGGTTCGGTGTTGTTCTTGGGCTGGCTTATATAGGAAGGAAGCGGTTTTCTAAAACTCGGATAGTTTGTTGATTGCAGGCCAATGGGATTTGAGGAACGCGTGCAGTATTTGAAGGTGTGCTGCACGGCTGCCTAGTGTGTGTGTCCCTCTGAATTGGCTTTGAGAGAAGTGGCTGTGCCATTTCATTTCATTCATGCAGGGTGATCCAGCTTGTCTTCTCAGGTGACACGGAGAGCAATCGCAGTACTGACAACCCCGCTAGCCCCAGAGAGCTTCCTCTTCATTCTCTTCGCCTTTTGTTTCCTTTCCATTTCTTCCTCCAAACCCTCAACTCAAGACTTTGTCCTCCATGTGAAGCCCTTACAACTGTCTTAACGGTGTTTTCAATAAATTTGTTATTCCCTGAACAGTCGGAATGGATATCTGGAAAGATGCTTGTGACTCCTTGGTCCCTTCCCTACAGCACAGCTTGGATGAGGTCTTAGGTAAACAGAGAGAGCAACAGTCTGATACTGCTACCCCCCACCAGAGGCAGCAACAGCTCTTGACTACCATCCTCAAACAGGCAGAGGAAAAACGAAAGCTAAGTCTTCACAAGAGGTGGAAGGTGGATATTCATGGAAAAAGCATCGTTATTCGAGATGTCTTTGAAAAAATCATCACCTGGGTCAATAGATTCAAGACACTACATCCACCATCTCTTACTGTTCACCTTCCATGGGCTGGTGTCAGCTCGTTGATTGTTGTGGCCCTGACTGACAAGCAGTGTTTCGAGTACACCGTCGACGGCCTCGAAGTTGTTTCACATTACATTGTCTGCTATGCGGCTTTCGAGCCCACCTATTTGCTTCCAGGGCTTCCTTTCCAGTCGGAACTTCAGAGCGCAGTTACCAACCTTTACACCCTAATCCTCAACTTCCTGGCCAACGGGGTCAATTTCTTCGAGCAGTCGGCGTCCGACCGCATCCGGAAATGTCACTTCCAGGATTCTCAGAGAGAGGTAATTGAAAAGATTAGACAGGCAGATGCGGAAGCCATGGAGCTGGCCACTAAGGTCCACTCGGATGCACAGTGGGGAATGATGCCCGGAGTACATGAACGCTATAGGGTTCTCAAGTCTCTTCAGCACCCCATCCGTCGTCTGCTTGACGTATCCACTGTCCACGCCAAAATATTCGAGGAGGAAGATCTCCATCGCATTAATCAGTGGCTGTTGTCTCCCTTCACCAGTAGCATCATAAGCGACGTTCGGAAGAGAGAATATTCACAAGGCAGCGGCTATTAGATAATCCTGAGTATCTGGCCTGGAAGGAATTCAGCTGCTCGTCTGTCCTGCTGCTACATGGTATTCCAGAATCCGGTAAGACCTTCTTAGTCTCTGCAGTAATCGATAGCTTTCTGGAAGAAATGTCGATAAATTCTCCGAGCGCTCCATTGGCGTACTATTACTGCGGGGATAGTCGACTGGGCAGAGCTTGGGCGGATCCGGAGGACGTGCTTCGAAGTCTTACCCGACAACTCGCAATTGTCGACACAGCATCATTTACGGTCCATGGGCAGGTACCACTCGAATACCGGCGCAAAGAAGCTGAAGCCAGACTGGATGGGTTTGAACTGCCTAGTCTTGGCGGTCGCGAGTGCACTGATCTGATCCTCAACATATTAGGCACCAATTCGGCTGTGATGGTTGTTGACGGAGTGGACGAAATTGAGAATTCCCGACGGCATGAATTAATTGATGCACTGGATAGAATTCGCCGTGAATCTGCCAGCGTAGTGAAAATCTTCATCTCCAGCCGAGACAACAGCTGGATCCTGGCCGGGATGCCAGACGCTCTGCTGCTAGGAACACAGGAGGTCAATACTCGCTTTGGAATGGAGACGTACATAAGTCAACGCGTAATACATGCGACGAGAACAAAGTATCTCCTGAACGGAATTTATGTGGATAATCTCCGAGAGAAGTCTATCAACTTCTCTCGGAGGTCAGCGGACGGAACGTAAGAATATCCTATTCAACACTCTCAGGTCTCATACTAAAGTCGCTCCAGGTTTCTCTCAATTAACCTTCGATTTGAAGCTATTTGCAAACTTCAATCGATGGCCAGTGTGGAACAAGCCATCGAAAGCTTACCCGAAGTATCGCGGACCATCGACTCTTTATACTCGGACATTCTCAACCGAATCAGATGTGAAAATCCCCAAGCATATGATGTTGCAACCAGAGTCTTCTCCTGGCTTCTATGCATGTATGAGCCGCTGTCGCCTTCTGCGATAATGAAAGCCATATCAACATATTTCCCGGGTAATTTCCAATTTTTGCTTCCTAATCTATTGAAAACCTGCTCCAATCTGGTGGTTCACGACAAGAAGATAGGTACGCTGCGATTTGCCCACATTACTTTTAAAAAATACTTGGAAACGCTACCGGAATTCAATTGTTTTGTGACACATGCACGTGCAGCACATGATTGTCTGTCAGTATGCGCTCGAAATCTGCCCCTTAATGTTGGTCCCGTCGAGCAACCCGCACGTAATTTTCCACTATATGCGGCGATGTACTGGCCACGGCATGTTGAGGCTGCATTGGAAGTGGAGCAAAGTCCTAGTAGTGATCTTAGGCGAGAACTGAGATCCTTCGTGTTCAAGGCCGATGGGCGATTGGGTATCAAATTTGAACAATGGCTTCAAACTGCACAGCAAGTGGCGGACTTCGTTCCAGCTAACCACCCGTTGAAAATGAACTTGGGGCAGTAATGAGCGAGCCTAAATCGGCGGTTTTTACTGCAATGTATTTATGGACTGACGGATATCATATCTGGCGCCCAGCAAATCCCAGGATCCAATATTGATGCAAGAAACCTGCAGAGCAACACGGGCATGTATCTCGCAGCAGCTAGAGGACATTCTAAGTTGCTCGAAATTATACTTGCCCTGGAGCCAAAGTCAAGCGATCGTCAAGGAATGTACTCCGATCCATTGTCTGTGGTATTTACCAATGGCCATCTGCCGATGGTGCGGTTGGCGCTAATAAGGGGACATGGAGAGATCGCTACGCATATTTTAACTAAGCGCTTTGGTGGTGCACAACATAACACCGATGCGAGCGACGATGAATGCAATGTTGGCAATTTTATCTTTGACTCGGTGTGTCGTGGACCAACCGCCCCCGACCCTCATCTCGTCGCCGAAAGACTCCCAACTAAGCGCCCCGAAGGGCTTTCCCTCCCGGAGCTACCCACCACAGTTGCCACTACCTTGGAAGTTACCGTAGGATGCATTCCTCATGCTAGCCGTGTATAATGCCTAATAGTGTGATGTAGTCTATTTCAAGATGGATAAGAAAGGCCATATGCGGCAATGACGCAGTACCGGATAGTGGTAAATTAGTAAAACAAAAGCCACTACACTACTATTTGATTGTCTTCAGTCTCCATTCTGACCCAATCTCTGTCTACATTCACCGTGTCTAAATCTGACGCTCAGGTACCTTGGCTCGAAGAAAAGTCACTTTGCCTGACGCATGGCCCATTATGAGAAGATCATCATCAGTGGCAGCGGCACAAGTAGCATGGTAGTCATTCGGCAGCAGGATGGCTTCATTCCCAACCCGTGCCCATTCATTCTGAAATACTGCTAGATTTCGTGAGGGGGCGGACTCGGCTCCCTTGTAGAATGACCGAACGTCTACTCGGCCAACGTCCGTCATTATGCTTGTCCCATCAGCAGAGAAGCGCAGAGTTTGCCGACTAGCTGCAATTCCTCGCATACCAATAAATTTGCCGGTTTTCACGTCCCATATACCTGTTCCACCTTCAGGAGAACGCGGTTTCCAAGATGACAAGCCTCTGGTATATCCAGAGGCCAGAAGTTTGCCATCTAGTGAGAATGCTATTGCCCTTGGAGTATCCTTTTCTTCTGGCGGGAAATCTGCTATCAACCGTCTCAAAGTCCAAGTAGCTGTATCCCAGAGTAACACAGTGCCATCACTACACACAGATCCTATATGTGTGGTATCTGGGGACCACACTGTGTGAGAGATGTTGGCGTCACTGTCGGATGTCAATAGCGCTGTTATGACCTTTCCCGATGACAGACTCCAAATCGAAGTGCCTCGGTCAGGCAATGTAACAGCCAGAAGCTCTTCATCTGGGGAGAAGGCTAGACAGGATATTTTGTGTCCAGAACCCTTCAGAACCGGTCCAAGCTCCCCTGTCTTTCTGTTCCAGATGTTGATCGAGTATTCCTCCCGGTCATAGCAATGATCAGGCTGAGGAGGCTCATCCTCCAAGCCAGATTCTGACTTAGAGCGACACATCATAAAGTCCGGAAGGTAACTCATCCATACAGCTTGCGCGAAGATATCACTTTTCGGGCTGAATGTGAACTCTGAGTCCTCCCAGAACTTTTTAGGAAGCACGCACACCAGCTTCCCAGTATCCATGCTCCATACCTGATCACTAAATTTGGTGTGATTCGCAAACAAACGCCCGTCCGGAGAGAACAAAGCCTGTTCAGGGAACCAACTCTCAACCTCTATCGCTGGACTTTTGGTACGGATGATGTTCCAAACAGAAATACGCTCTCTCATTACTGCGACACTGTTGTGATCGGGAGCAAGATATAGTTGATAGACATGGGACGATGGAGACAGCTCGATCGATTCCTCGTTAACTGATTGCCCTGTGAGTTCCCACAAGCGAACACCTTCCTGAGCAGACCTTGTCGCCAGGAGAGACCCATTGTTGGAGAATTCAAAGATTTTAGCAGGACTTGTGCTATCATCCAGAACTTGTAGCAGCTCTCCGGATTTTGCATCCCAGATCTTGATTAGATTTCTGTGGTGGCTCTCATTGTCCTGCGCCGATGCCAACAGCCTGCCGCAAGGAGACAGCTGGAGCAGCTGACCACCACCATTAACCGTCTTGACAGCTGTGCCAGAAGCCCAATCCCACCATTTGATTTCTCCCTTCTGTCGCTGGTCAAATACACTGCTGATGAGAAATTTGCTTTCCTGTGAGAATATGAGATCTCTAGCGTCGTCAGCAGGAAAGGACTTGAGCTTATGGTGCGTTTTTAGGCACCAGATGGATATCTCCCTCGCCCATAGAACGGCAATTATCTCCTCAGCAGGGCAAAAGACCACCTTTCCTGTGGAGATCTTCACATACTTATCTGCTTCGAAGGAATGCTCCAACGTGGCATCCATTGTGTTCCAGATCCGAACGGTTCCCTTTGTACACAGGGTTGCCAGAAGCTCGCCATTAGGTGAAAGGGTCATAGACAATAACTTCGACTTGTGAGGCTTGAACGATTTGATCACTTTTCCTCGCTTGATATCAAAAAGTACGAGTGTGCCATCCAATGAATAAGAAGCCGTTCTGGTCTTGTCGACGGAAAATGTTTGCGCAAGAGCCCAATGGCCTCTTATCGGGGAGCTGATCTGTTTTATTGAGCGCCCGGAGGAGACATCCCAAACTTTGAGGTTTCCTTCCTTCGATAAGGATATGACTTCTTTGCCATCCTCAGAAAACGAGACAGAGCATCCAACTCCCATCGGCTTTAGGGTGTTGAGAAGTGTTCCTGTAGTTGTATCCCAGATTTCCACTTTCGGAGTTGCAAGTAGCTTGCCATCGGGCGTCAAGGCTAGACCCTTGCCTATGTGAGAGATATCACTAACAGCCTCATAACCTCCCAGCGTTTGTAATAGAGGGCTCCAGGATTTTCTCATGTCTGGTGGATTGATAATCCACTCAGGAATTGCGTACTCGTATTGCTTCCGAACTAGACTTTGTTCGGGGCTGTAAATGAGAGCTGAGGTGTAGACTTGCAAGGGTGCTCTCTCAATGATCGATCGTGTATGGCGTACAAAACGTTTCATATCGTGGACAAAATCACACATTTCAGATCGCCCAACACGCTATCGATTCAAGTTTAGTCACGCATGTTGAGAGATAAGTTTTCGGATTCCCGAGGAAGATACTGTGGGGCTGACAGTTGGTAGCAGGTAGTTATGTGACTTACAGGAAGACTAAGCAAGTACTCCGAGAGCTTTATCACAGCACGCGTTCCCTCAGATACCATCCCCATAATACTCAACGACTCGAGCCAATGTAGAAGATGCTCTCTTAGAAAAGTGTACACCGGCCCATCATCTAGAACGAGGTATGAAGCTCCACTTAAGTGCAGATGCTCCACCCAATACATGCAAGCATACTTTAGGTGCGGTGGAATTTTCTGGTCCAGCAGTTCTGAATCAATGTCGCAGTTCATGGTGGAAACGTCTCCGATTTGGCATATGTCGCGTCTCAGCGTGTTGGTGAGTGTCTCTATACAATTGAAAAATAAGTCGACATGCTTTTCCTTTCTCGATACCAGAAAGGTTCTATCGAGACATCTTTCTGGGCTTGTCAGATATTCCGGGAAGGATGGATGCACGAGACGAACTGGGAAATCCTGGCCGGCGACCAGGTGAATGACTGAGCTCAGACTTTCTAGAAGATCTTTCGTGTCAGCAATATCCTTGCGTACGAGATTGCTCAGAGTAGCCATAGACAAAGGTTCACAGAGCACGATAATGGCGCCCACGATCGCTTGAAAATTGAGACGGGTGTCATCCGTCTCCTCGGGCGTTGCGGGGTCAAGAATATCCTGGAGCACTTCTACATAAATTTTGTCCACTGTCTCACGAGGTGTTCTGTCGTCCTTCAAAAGTAAATCCAAACGTGATTTGGCCTTTTCTCGTGTCACTCTATAATCGCCTATAAACCGCCAAGCCGTCGAAGCATATATCCACAACCCATCGGCCTTCTCAGCAAGAGCATTCAATCTTTCGTCCCCAGGCCATTCTGGCTCAAGGCCATGCCTATCAGCTATTTCACGTAACTTGTGTTTGAGTGTCATTCTGATGTCGTGCCGAAATCTACCTTTATCATAGGATGATCCTTCCCCGTGAAGTCCGGCTATGCAACAGTGAGATCCTGACACATCATGTTCAAAGCTGGTGAAGATATGCTTTTGCGGCCTGCTGGTAAGGAAAAACTTGAGTCGGACAAAATTTAGCTGATGAGCTTCGTCAAATAATCGTAGGATGGCGCTGACAGGGTCATCCTCAGACATAGGCTGGCACTCGTCAAGTGCATCAATGACCACGACTAGTGTTAGAGGTAGGAGCCGGTTTCTTTTCTCCAATTTTAACAGAGGCTGAAGAATGAGATGGTTCCACTGCATCCTTAGCGAGACATGCTCCTTGCCAGCACCTGGGTGTTCCTCAAGACTTTTGCAAATTTCAGATTTGAGCTCAGGTAAACAACTTGCAAGTGATTGGCAGAGGGTGGGAAAGAGATAAGTGGCGTTGCTTTGCCGAATTTCATTCTTATCAAAGAAAAAGCTCGCACCCAAACAAATGGTGTCAGAGAGAGAGACTCGGTCACGGCATTGTACCGCAATGGTTCGTGAGATAGTTGATTTACCTCCACCGGCTACTCCATGAAGCCAAAACATGTGCTCTGGGCCAGGGGACTCAATCCAGTCCCGGATTCGCTGGATGATATTGGCCTGGGTCCCCTCGAAGCATCTATCTTTCTTGTCATACTTTTCTGCTTCAATCCCTGCTTCCGGTGCAATCTGTAATTGGTTGAATGACTGGTTGATTTTGATTGTCTTGTGCTATGGGTCAGCCAGTGCTCTAAAAGTAATTCAAAGGCGTGATTACCTCAAGATTTTTCTTCAATCCCCCTGAGGTTTCCCGGAAGCGCTTTTCTGTTTGCAGAAGCACGGTGCTATTGATTCCTAGTAAGTCTTGTCGAATTGCAGCATTGATGCTTTCAATGGTCTGGAGCATTCCTCTCCAGTCATCAGGAGCTCCCAAGTCTTCCAAAATCCTGAACAAACCCCGACGAGAATAGTGTCGAGCAAGGCGTATTTGGAAGTGGAGGATGCTAGTATATAGCTTGATTATTTGGGTCCTGACTGACTCAGCCAGAGCCTCCTCTTCCCTTGATTGATCGAGTCTTTCAGCCTTAGAAGAATATCTTTCGGTCCAATCATATTCCACGACCGAATAGAATGTCATGAGCCTTGTGATAGACTCGAACCCATTTGCAGCATCTTCATCTTGTGTGATGAATCGGGTTATGGGTCCCGCTAGGAGTACCAGCACTCCTGCCCATGCAAGAGCGGCATGAGCCTCTGAACACACTGCCGTTGTGACAATGCCTTGTACCGACGCAATTGAGTTAACTACCCGACGGATCTGTTCTTTGATGACTATTTCCTTGCCTCCTAAATGGAACTTGGTGTGGGAATCCTGGATTTCCTCCAATCTTTGGCGAATGATCGAGTGTAGATGGGGTGTGATGATGTGATCCTCTGGTCCTTCCCTGCCTTCATTCAAGAGAGCGCTTTCATAGGCTTTGACCAGACTGGCGTTCTTTGGATCGCGGATTAGTTGTTCATATGCCTCCTGCCAGAGACCCTTAAGCCCCGTAGACCTCATATGACGAGTACCCTTTATTGAAACATCGATTGGGTGTGCTAGAAGGGCCGGCTTCGCTGGTGATGACGGGCCTATGGCGAGCGGAGGACTGGATAGACCCTTCTGAGTGGGGTTGGCCCGTCCAGCCCCTTGTAAATGGTCAGTGGGCAGTGGTTGCTGTTTCCTACTGGAGAACACCCCTCGAAGCAGATTCCAGCAGCTACCAGATGAGGACCCGACATCTTTGGAACGTGTACTTTGCATTGTAGACATGGAGCGACCGTGCCTGGGAAAGCCGGCTTATCGGGAATTTCAGCGTTTAAAGTCTTTAGGGAATGCGGGGATGAATTCAGCTGCTTTTATAAATCAAATTCTTGGCCCGGTGGCTCTATGCAAACTGCAGGTTAGTGCCCATCACAATTGCACTACGGAGTGCACGGACTATAGTGCTCCTATGATGTGACAGGGGAAATGTAAGATACATAGGCGATGCACCAATCCGAACCACCTTTTAGCACTGGCCTGAAGGTCACTTTCTTGGTTGCCCTCCTGGCCTGCATTTTGCCTGCACCCGAACCTTCGAAGTGATAGACATACAAGTTTGGATTTTTGACAGCTCCTTAGGTGATTCTTGACATATTAATCTTGCGGGGCTTGTTTCGCCTTCATGTAAATACTTTTCAATGATATTTGTGGAGTTGAGTCCCACTACAGTAAGTACGCTAACTCGAAAGCCAATAATTGGTGCTTGTTAGATCAGTTGGTGGGCCTTCTGTCGTTCATTGTTGAATCAGGCCTACCCTTTGGATCAAGCTTCATTATCCTCATACCGGCTTCCCTATACCCCTCGGGAATCTTTTCCCTAGAGTTTTCATGAGACGTTTTTTTGATGATGCAACATTCTGCCTCATGTTTGCCGTCAAGGAATGCAATAACTCGAGAGGTTACACCGTCCACCTGCGTTGGAAATATGAGGTTGTTGGATCAGCTTGAGTGTTGTTGATGCATGTACATTATACTCATATCCATGATATCACACTTTCTTATTTCTCATTCCAGTTTCATTAGTCAGGCAGTATTATCATGGCTGAGCAGCGGGGCTCAATCTGACTGGAATGAGTGTGATGCATGCTAGTGCACCGGTAGTGCTTACTCCCGACGGATAACCTGCTGGATCAAGTAAAAGTCCGTCTCTAATGACAGTGAGTGTTTCCATTAGTCGGCCAAACACGCCTCCAAATATTTGTATCGAGGGCCATTGAGGATCGCATGAGAGGCAGTGGCCTTCCCATCTCACCCTTCGTCGGATCAGCACGGGCGAGGCTATACTTTATAGTGCGACGACTTACGGTGTATCTCCACCCCACTAACATTTTAGGCCCCCAACAGACGAGGCTAAGAACTTAGTACTAATTGAACCCTTCGCCTTCAATCATTTATTTAAACCATCAGCCATTATTATTCCATTGACCCCGCAACGGCCACTACACTTCTTACAATCATGCCGTGGACTACAACCGAGCAATCGCCGAACACTCTCACCCGGCCCCTTGGCCCTAACGAGGTGTTCATCAAGCTTGTCAGTGATTTTGGCCACCCACTAGGCCGTGAACACTGGGCAGTGAACTACACTATCACCATCCGTCCCCGCGGGGACTTCGCAGCCGATCTCCTCCCAGCCCTGATCCGCCACAGCTGGTTGCATCTGCGCTTCCAACACCCTAGTCTAGCCGCGCATCCAGACTCTTCCAACGCCAACCTCGTGTACACAATTCCTGACTCTGCCGATACCCTCAACCAATGGGCGTCACAAACCTTCTTCATCAAGTCGGATGCCCAATCCGCCGACGATGTGATCCGCACCATCGCACCCGCCCCTGACGCCCATCTCTATTACATCCCAAAATCCTCGCAAATCCTCCTGCACACAGCACACTGGCGCACTGACGGAGTAGGCGGCTTCCTCCTCCTCGGCCAGCTCGTCGATCTAATGTCCACTCACGCCGACACCATTCTCTCAGGGAACCTTCCCGACGCCTTCGACGCCTTCACCTGGGGAACAGAAACCACCCGACTATCCCTATCCGTCGAAGAAGCCGGCAACATGCCCCTAACCCCGACATACGAGCAAAAGGACACCGCACAGGAAGCAGTAGAGACCTTCGCCTACGCCCAAGGCGCCGTCGGAATCCCATACACGGGAGACGCCACCACCATCCCGACGGGCACCCGAGCCGCCGAGCTAACCTTCACCCCGGCGACCACCGCCGCTGCTCTCTCCGCCACGAAAGCCCGGGGCCTCGGCATCACTGCCGCCACGCACGCAAGCGTCGCAGCAGTAAACTTCCGGCATGCTATCCCCGAGCACCGTGCCCAGGGGCGTCACTACACCAGCACTATCCGGCACACGCTGCGGCCGTATATGCCCCAACCATACTCCGGTCCCGCGGGAGCCGCCACGCTGTTCACCACCGGTTGGATGTACCGCGTCGACGCCTCAAGTACCTGGGAAGAGAATGCGCGCAATTATCACGCTGAATATCGCCGGGGACTTACTGAAGAGTATGTTGTCGCTCATCGCGAATATGCGACCATGTTGGTGAAGTTGCTGCGGAACCTTCCGGCGCCGGATGAGCCGCCGAGTGATGTTGATATCAGTAGTCTAGGGGTTCTAGAGAAGTATTTGCAGAGGGAGTATGGAAGTCCCGAGAGTGGGTTTAGTATCTTGTATGCGGGGCTTGGAGTGGAGATGCTCGCAAGACAGGGAGTGGTGTATGTTTGGACGTTTCGGGATCAGTTGACGTTGAGGGTAGTGTTTAATGAGGCGTATCATACGGAGGAGCAGATGGAAGAGTTTCTGAGGGATGTTAAGGCGGATTTGTTGCGGGAGTTGGGGGTGGAAGAGTAGTGGTTGCTACATTGGGATGAGGTCAAGAAGAGGAGGGTTCTTATGATTCTTCTAATGTTTGTGATATCTGCTTGACATGACCTAACTAGAAACACACCGAAGCGTTCCATTATGGGAAACTATAGGCCTGGCAGATTTTACTATATTCCAAAATAAGAGATGCGACCGATACAAATTGCTTGGGTACCAAAACTACCACCTGTCGAGGAGAAGTAGCCGGATTCGAATCAAGGACAAGTCTATTCCGGAGCAAATTGACACTGTAAATAATTCTTGTAACTTGGAATATGCAGTACCCAATCTTCTACCGCATATTCTACGAATAAACTTCACTGACAGCGGCAATGTCGAAATGGTGGATAGCCTGTAGGAACCCGAGACGAGTACCAGCAACCTAAAAGTCAAAGCATGCCGAAGCACGAAAATTGACGCATGGTCCCAAGTTTTGTATATCCTGATTTCCTACTTTCTTTTCCAGTTTTTTTGGGGAATGCGTAGCATCATGATTCGCGCAGCCTTCATCGACAGGTTCCGATAATTTTCTTAATTCAGGATTCATGTATCTAGAAACTTGACCTTTTTATAATTTTGATTAAAGCAGCTGGGAATAAATAGGCCGATGAGCATGTCCTCTTCCTCACATCGAATGTTATCACAGACTAGTTCTATAAGGACTAAACGCTATAATTGAGCCTTAGCATGGAGCACTCGGCTTCAACTTCTCCCTGTGAACCCATCGCCATCATCGGCATAGGTAAGAAACTCTACCCCCACCGAAACCGAGATTACTTTAATACTAACGTTGGCCTAGGATGCCGCCTCCCAGGCCAAGCCTCATCCCCATCCAAACTCTGGGACCTCCTCCTCAACAACGCAACAGGTTATGGCCCCGTCCCACCCTCACGCTACAACGCCGCAGCATACTACCACCCCGACGCCGACCGACCGGGAAGCATCAACTCAACGGGCGGCTACTTTATTTAAGAAGACATCCACGCCTTCGAAAATGCCTTCTTCGGAATCAACAACCTGGAAGCGACAGCCATGGATCCGCAGCAGCGAAAGCTCCTCGAAGTGACATACGAAGCGCTTGAGAACGCTGGCGTACCACTGGAAACAGTCCGCGGGTCCAATACCGGCGTCTATGTGGGTAATTTCACAAACGACTACCTGAACATGCAGTACAAAGACCCGGAGTACGCCTCCCGATATACTGCCACAGGAACAGGCCTGGCTGTGCTAGCGAATCGTATTACACATTGCTTTGATCTGCGAGGCCCGTCGCATGTTATTGATACGGCATGTTCGTCGTTGTTGTACGCACTGCATTCGGCTTGCTTGGCGCTCGATGCTGGGGACTGTGATGCGGCTGTGGTGGCGGCTGCGAATCTGATTCAATCCCCGGGGCAGCAGATGGTCGCTGTTAAGGCGGGGGTTTTGTCGCCGGATGCGATGTGTCATACTTTTGATGAGTCGGCGAATGGGTATGCAAGGGCCGAGGGGGTGTCGGCTGTTTATTTGAAAAGGCTGGGCGATGCCCTGAGGGATGGGGATCCTGTTCGTTCGGTCATTAGGGGGACTGCTGTTAATGGGTGAGTTTCCATTTTGGTGGTAGGGCTAGTTGCTAATCATGCTGCAAAGGAATGGTCGGACACCGGGCATTTCTCAGCCAAGTGTGGAAGGGCAAAGGGCCGTTATTCGGGCGGCGTATCGTCGGGCAGGTCTGGATCCGGGAGATACGGATTATGTCGAGGTAAGCTTCCTCGAATGGTGGCAAATCTATATGCTGATAATGAAAGGCGCATGGAACTGGGACTAAAGTTGGTGACCCTACAGAAGTCGAGGCAATATCCGGTGGTTTTCAGCATCGGACAGGACGACCGACGCTTGTTGGCGGAGTCAAGCCAAATTTGGGTCACAGCGAGGGGGCGAGTGGTCTGTCGGATGTAATAAAAGTCATCCTAGCGCTCGAGAATAAGATACTTCCTGCGACGGTTGGGGTGAAGGTAGTCAATCCGAGGATCAAATGCAAAGAATGGAACGTGGACATTGTCACTGCAAATCAAGCGTGGCAAGGATCCCGGGCTCCGCGAGCGTCGATCAATTCGTTTGGTTTCGGGGGTTCAAACAGCCATGCTATTGTGGAAGCATGGGAGGCAGACCTGCTGACCAACGGCTACGGGGAGTCGTCCATAGAGGAAGATTCAGGGAGGCTCTATTTCTTGCCCCTTTCGGCTCGATCTGAGACGTCCCTCCGACAAATGGCTAGTGATTTGGCTGAATCCGTTTCCCACTCAGCTCAACCTATTCCAATCAATGATCTGTCATACACGCTGAGCTGCCGTCGCTCCAAGATGGCTACTCGTGGCTTTTTCATCGAATGTCAGGCGAGTCTGGACAAGGGACTCGATATGTCAAACCTGAATGTGCAAAGTCTCGATAATGAAGAACCATTTCCGTTGTGTTTTGTGTATACCGGACAGGGTACACAGTGGGCTGGCATGGCGAAGGAGCTTCTAAGTCTTAGCAGGGTGTTTAGAAAGGCCATAAGTTATCTTGACTCTTGCCTCCGTGCTCTTCATCCGAACGATGCCCCCGCCTGGACGCTTGAGGGTATTCTGCGCGGTGACGAAAACCGCGATATCAGCGCCGCAGAGATATCACAACCACTGTGCACTGCGGTTCAGATAGCGCTGACAGATATGCTCAAAGACTGGGGTGTTTTCCCGGAGACGGTGGTTGGCCACTCCTCTGGCGAGATAGGAGCAGCGTACGCTACCGGGGCTATCAATGCGCGGCAAGCCATCTTTGCGGCTTACTTTCGCGGAGCTGTTGTTGCTGAGGTCTCTGCTGAAGGTTCTATGGTTGCCGTAGGTCTTGCACAATATCAGGCAAAGGCGATTGTCGAGGAATGTGGGTTTACAGAATCTGTGATCGTTGCATGTGCGAATTCGCCGGAGAGTACTACCGTTAGTGGTGATGCAGACGCCATCGATTCTCTGCTCAAAGTTTTTCAAAATAGAGGTATCTGGGCACGGAAGTTGATAACTGGAGGTATAGCGTATCATTCGCACCATATGAAGGCTGTGGGGCCGAGATATGAGGCTTTACTCAAGCGCTATTGGAATTTGACTGATGGCCAGGTCAGAGGTCAAGTCAACGGTCAAGTTAATGGTCACATCAATGGATATCCTAACGGCTCTTCTGATGGCCATGTTAATGACAATGATAGTGCAAGTGTCAACGGCTACGCTAATGGTCAAGTTGATGGTCAAAGCGATACTCCCACGCCATCAGTGACCATGATTTCAACTGCGACCGGTGGCCCGATCAGTACAAGTGAAGTCGGGATACCGAAATACTGGCGCTCGAATCTCGAATCTCCAGTACAGTTTGACGCGGCCATCAAAATCATCCTGGAGCAAGGGAGTTATCATCTGATAGAACTCGGTCCGCACTCGGCCTTACAGCTACCCATGAAGCAGACTTCATCCGTCATGAAACAGAGTCGCTATACCTACAATTCTGCTCTCATACGCCACCAAGATGCCCAGCTAACCACCCTTCAACTTGTCGGTTCCTTGTTCTTGCACGGACACGATGAACTTCAGCACCACAAATTGTTCGCAGATAACCCCCAACCTCACGTCTTAGTCGACTTGCCACCTTATCCCTGGGACTACAGTTCACCCACCCTATGGACTGAGCCTCGCGCCAGTGTCGAGTTTCGTCACCGCAAATATCCAAGGCACGAGCTCCTCGGATCACAAGTATCAGGAGGGAACACCGCAGGTGTGACGTGGCGTAATATACTGGACCTCAATGAGGCTGAATGGCTGACTCACCATTGTCTGGGAGCATGGGTATTATTCCCTGCCGCGGCGTATATTGCAATGACCGTCGAAGCAATGTGCCAGGTTGCAGGGCTAGAGCTGGAAGACAGTCCTGGAGTGGAACTTCGCGATCTCAACTTCGTCAAAGCACTCGATATGGACCTCAAGAAGAAGCCATCGGTGGAGATCTTTTCCGAGATGCGCCCGATGGCTGTTTCTAGTGTGACAAATTCGGGCACTTGGTGGAAATTCAGTGTCGTCTCGATTGACGGCGATTCCCGGGCAACTTTGCATATGAATGCAGCTGTGCGGCTAGCAGATTCCTCGCCATGCATAGATCGGGAAATCAGACTTGATAGATCAAAAATGCAGAAAGATGCAGTCCGCATCTGGTACGACAGGTTCCTTCAAGTAGGGCTGAACTGGGGCCCTCGGTTCGCTGTTATGGAGGAGATTTTCCGGGATCGCGCGCGGACGGCGCCCATAGCAGCATCCACTACAAATCTTCAGCGCGGAGACCGGTTTTGTCGGTACATTGCACATCCGATTTCTATAGATGCAATGTTACAAACATCATTTATCGTGACTACTGGTGGCTGGGTGAACAAACTCCGCGCTACGGTTCCTGTTGCACTGGACTCGGTATACGTCGCGCCTCCGTCGGCCCTTGACATGGATACGAATAAGCCATGGTACGTTGACACCAAGTCAGAGGTCGTGGGTTTTGGAACGCATAGAATTGATGCAGAGTTGTTCAATTCGTCTGGAGAAGTGATGATCAGAATGAGCCAAGGTCGCTGTATTGCCTATCAAGGGAACAGACAGGCGGAAAACACTGAACAGCGCAGTCCCCTGCTAAGAGCTGCGTGGAAGCCAGATCTCACTGCATTGACTGCTTGGGGTCATGATAACTATCTGGAACATTTCACTCGGGTTTACGGCTCTAAGAAAATGACCAACGACGTGCTGTGTTTAGTCGGTGTCCTGGATTTGGCCTGTCATCAACATTGTAATAGCAACATCCTCGAACTGGGGAGTCAAACGCAGATTTCAGAGTCTGTTCGTGACGTTCTAGGTGTTGACTCCTCTTTCAGAAGGTACAAGTCCTATCATCGTGGGGTCCTAGTAAACGGCGATCTAGTCGGTGTGGGGGTGTTCCCGGAGACAAGAGATGAGCAAGATTCAAATCAAGTCCCACAAGACAAGAAGTTCGATATAGTTATAGTCCCCTCGGTATGTTTGGCTTTGCTCAATTCTGACTTACTCTGACACTAACGTGCTCCAGGTTGGCCTCTGGACGCCGGATATTGTCAGCAGACTCACGCCGGGGGCAACTGTCATAACGATAGGGGATGTTCCCACCGACGGTGTAACTTGGACAAAGACCATAAGTGGAAGTAATTCTTTCCCTGTGACAGTTGGGACTATAGACGGCCTCGTTAGCCCGAGAAAAGTCATCAAAACCCCGACAGTCGTGGTAAGGTCTTTCGGTCACCTCTGAATGCGTCTATATCTGACAAGGGTGCAGGTGACCCGAGATGAGAAAATCACACCTCTAGACATAATGCTCCAAAAGATCCTACAAGAATATCTGGGATCTCTCATCAGTATTGTTAGCTTATCCCAGGTCAGCCCCGCGACCGTTCCGGACCGTGCATTCGTCGTATCCACTTTAGAACAGCAGAAGCCGCTTCTAACCAATATCAACGAGTATGAAATGGCACTGCTGAAAAACATCACCGATCGTGTAGCAAAGATTGTATGGGTCGTCAATGGCGGTTTTATCGATGGGAAAAGGCCCGACTTCGCGCCGGTTTTAGGGCTCTCCCGTACGCTGATGCTCGAACAGCCTTCACTTCAGTTCGCGGTTTTAGATGTGGACGATGATTCAGCCTCATCTGAAGAAACCCTACGTAACATCGTCAAAGTATTGGATCGATTGATCCATAAAAAAGAGCCGGACTTCGAATTCGCGCAACGAGATGGCACCCTCCATATATCGCGCTGGGAACCTGACGTGCGTCTGAATGAAAACTTCCGCCTCAAGCAGAACAACAAAACCATGGATCTTTCCTTAGCAATGGCCGGACGATGCAAACTAGATATCAAGGACCCGGGGCACATGGACACGATCCATTTTGTACAGGAAGACTATTCCACCCCCTTGCATCCGGATTATGTGGAGGTCAGCGTGAAGAGTGTGGGTATAAACGCAAAGGTATATCTCACGCTCAGAGTTTATTAGCGTTTTCAGTAACAAAGGCTATAGGATCTGTATGTCATCAGCGCCAAGGTGGACACCAAGGATGCAACATGTTCGTGTGAATGTGCCGGTGTCATCACAGCAGTGGGCGACAATGTGTCGGAGTTCAAGATCGGTGATCGTGTAGTTGCAATGGCACCCAGTCATTTTGCAACCGTCGAGCGCTTGCCAGAATGGGCAGTGTTAGAAATACGCGATGAAGAGGACTTGACAGTAAGTGCTAAGTCCGTACCAGCGAATAGGAGCTCATCCATATATACAGACAGCCTCCACAATTCCGCTTGTATTCTCAACGGTCATTTATGCACTGCATCATCGGGCGAACTTGCAGCCAGGAGAGGTAAGCACTGTACAATCTGTTTCGCATGGCTGGACTTACCCAATTAGTCCGTTCTTATTCATTCCGCTGCTGGGGGTGTTGGAATGGCAGCGATCCAGTACGCGAAGCATCTTGGAGCCAAGGTAAGGAAACCTGCAGGTGCAGTAGTACTAAACTCCGATAAATCGGCTAAGCTAGATGATAGGTCTTTGCCACCGTCGGAAATGAATCTAAAAAGTCATATCTCGTGGAAAAGTATGGTTTACATCCAACCCATATCTTCAGCTCGCGAAATTCATCCTTCCTTCCCGCCATCATGGAAGCCACATCTGGTCAAGGAGTTGACATAGTATTGAACTCCCTGACTGGCGACCTTCTGCGCAGCAGCTTTGAAGTATGTGCCAACTTTGGCCGCTTCATCAACATTGGGAAACGTGACATCCTTGATCATGGCCTCTTGGATATGTCCACGTTCACCCGCAATGTCTCTTTCATGGCCTTTGATCTATCCAACCTCTATCTCTCGAAGAACCATAGCCATCACAGACTCTGGAAGGCCTTACTCACAGAAAGTCTTGAACTAGTGAGAGCCAAGATCTGTGAGCCCTGTTTCCCGATCAAGACATTTGAAGCGTCAGATATCACCGATGCGTTCAGGCACTTCTCCTTAGGCACACGGCTGGGCAAAGTAACTGTGTCATTCCAAGATCCGAACACCAAGATCAGGGTCATCCCGAAGAAGTATGAAACAACTTTCAGTCCCCAGAAATGCTATCTCATGGTCGGAGGCCTGGGCGGGCTAGGTCGCAGTATATCCATGTGGATGATGTCTTGCGGTGCTCGACGGTTCATATTCCTCAGTCGTTCGGGTACTGACAAACCCGAGGCGAAGGACTTGGCTGATGATCTACAAGAGCAAGGGGCCCATATCATAGTAATCCGGGGAAATGTTTGCCACTATGAGGATGTCGAACGGGTCGTAGAAGTAGCAGATCGCCCTATTGGAGGCGTGATCCAGGCATCCATGGCACTCAACGAGGCTATATGGAGTGATATGCCATATAATGCATGGCACACGACTATGGGTCCCAAGGTGCAGGGCACTTGGAATCTTCACAATGTGTTGAGGAAGTATGGTCGAGACTCCCAGCTGGACTTTTTCGTCATGACTTCATCTATCTCGGGGACCATAGGCACCGCAACTGAAAGCAACTACTGCGCAGCCAACTCATTTCTGGACGCCTTCGCCCGTTATCGCAACCACCTGGGACTGCCGGCCATTTCCATCGGCTACGGAATGATTTCAGAAGTAGGATACTTGCACGAGCACCCAGACATCGAAGCGCTCATGAAGCGTGGAGGCGTCCATCCCATCAACGAAGACGAACTAATCCAAATCATGAATATTGCTCTCGTCAACCAACGACCATGTACATGGGACTCCCGATACGATCACCTGGCAGGAAGCCACATTCTCACTGGTGTGGAATTTACCAGTCTCCAGGAGCAGCGAGAACGAGGATTCGAGGGTGACAACCATGTCCTTGCTGATCCTCGCGCGGCATTGTTCACTGCGTCCTTTGCCCGCGGCGCCGCGGGCGAGGGCAAAAGCGAAACACAGAATGCGGCGGCGCATCTCCCTGGGGATATTGCACGGGCGCTGCGCGACAACCAAAGTGTGGAGTCTAGTCTTGATGCACTTCGGGCTGTTGTGTCGAAGAAAATATCGAATCTTATTCTTCTGCCAGAGGCTGACCTTAAAGCGGATCAGCCTCTGGGTGACTCTGTGTTGGATTCTATGCTGGCTGCTGAGTTTCGGACCTTTATTTTCCGCATGTTTGAGGTTGACGTTCCATTCGTTGTACTTTTGAAGAGGAGTACTACGGTTAATCATCTGGTTGATATGATTGCCCAGGGTCTGCGAGCGAGTGCTTAGAGGCCTTTTTTGCTAGTGAGGATAAAGAGGCTATGTAGTCCACAATGATAAGAAACTGCTAGTTGGAGACAGAGTCGAGGATAGAGGTCCTTCCGAATTCGTGATATCTATCCCGAAATTCATTAGTTCAGTCTAAAGATCTTTCAGTGGATGTATTACTATAAAGAGAATGTTTGATCTCGATAGACTTATCTACTTTCCGAGTTCAAGGGAATGCGACCAGTAGAGGTACCAATCACGACCCTCGAGGCGATTAGACAACATTCTTTTTCCTGGAAGTGCAACTGGGCCAGTGTAATCATGCCATTCCAGGGTTTGAATACAGCAGCTGAATATGAAACAGTACTGGATAAAGCTCAGAAGAGCTAACCCGCAATTGTGATCTACACGGTACAATCCTCTGGTCAATATTAGCACAGTCAGGTGCGAAAGAACGGCATGCCCCCCGGTATAAATATCCGCGGAGCTGTCCTCTGGTATGGGAATGTCGGACGGAAGCGGAAATCAGAATCAGTGCAGGGAGTCGTGAAGTCATTGATATTGACCTCTATATATGAAGGGCATGCGACCTCTAGCTATAATTGCTCCCCAGGCAATAGTCTCAATCTTCAGTTTCTTGGTGGTCATTATCTCATAACGTTCCAGAGGGTCTTCAGTTGGATTCTCCCATCCCAACTTTATCTATCTCCGTGTGCTACTGCGCAGCCTAGTTGTTCTTCGACACTTCCTCCTCTCCCAAACAACTCAATCTACCGGCGATCTCCATCAGCTACAAAATGGCTTCCGAAGCGGCATACATGCACCAAGCCCCGGCCGTCGAGCCGCTCATGTAGGATACCCACGCTGCGTTCACTGAGCCCTCTGCCCGCGACGCCATTCGCGCCATCATCTCGCAGAAGATTTCCAATCTCATCCTTCTGCCGGAGACCGATTTATGCGAACCAGCTTCTGAACGAGGCTGGTATGGGTTCCATGCTGACTGCCGAGCTTCGGATCTTTATCCACCGCACTTTCGACGTTGACGTCCCCTTCGACGTGCTTTTCAAGAAGGCAACTTTGAACAGTCTGACCGATACGATCGCCCGGGATCTGCAGGCTAGTGCTTAGGCACTTCGTTGTCGCCCCTTATTGTTGGGCTGACGCGACCGGCGATGGTTCCATAATGAATAGTGATAATGTTAGTAATGATATGGAAGTTATTTACCACTTGATGGTATATTTCTTGATTCGGAAATTTTGCAGGAACGTCGTAGATACAAGAGATCAGGAAGCCAGATTGTCTGGCAAAGTGCCTTTCTGAACAAAGGGGGGAGAGCCTGAGGTCTAGATAATGGTGCTGGACCCTTTCTGCTGTCACTTCCATCCTCTCACACCATCGCTGTTTCATCCTCGCTGGCATCTCGCCCCCATTCGAAAAAGGGTCCTGCTGACATGCTATTTTCAACCCCTTGTGCAGCCATTGGGGTCCATTCCTTTCAGCTCGTATTCTAGAAAGTCCCACGGACTCCTTCCGTTACTCTTAGCGTGATGTTTGTTTTTTTTTCTCCTGGCTAAGCGAACACCATCATCGCCAATAGACTTCATACTACGCGATCATGTTCATTTCGCGTACCAAACTAACAAAAGTCAACGAGAAGAATCTTCACTGCTAGAGAAAATCGGATGAGACATTTCCAATCAGGATGCTCTTTCTGTCTTAAAAACCAAAACAATGCTGATCCTTTCCTGTTATTTCATTCAGGAACCGAAGAATGCTATCGGCCCGCTAAGTGGAGATCTTGCGAACGTGGATGACGCTCACCGACCAGCCCTAAGCCCGCCGGGTCATGCCGCCACGTACTGAGGCGCAAAACCTAATCGCACAAAAATAGACAAAACTGGCCGGATGTCTCAGGAACGGACCCATCTAACTACCGACACTTGAGGGCTGGGGCCACCATGCCATCGTCTTTCCGTGGATTGCGACACCTTCCGCTCGAAATAGTAGCCATCGTGCTGGCTAGTTACGTAACAGCTAGCTTGACCTTGTTGGTTTTGGTTTACGACCTTGTTATTCCTTGTTTATCTTGCACGGCTCTTGCGAAGGTTACTTGAAGCTTTGTGGCTTCAGCCATTGCCGCAGAGTATGATGCTGCGTAAAATGTTTCCGGCAGGCGAAGTGTTCAATATCTTGCCTTGTGCGAAAACAAATACAAGAACTGCATAATGCCTTACTGTGTATTCTGTACGCACGCTACGAAAGCTAGCTCTCGAATTGGACGGCGGAGTAGGGGCGGATCCCATAGTTTCTACGGAGTCGATCCCCTAGCCCAACTGCTCCGCAGTCTTACATAGGACATGTTTCCAGGCTGGTGGCGATTGCTGTCTGGTTCTGCGGAGGACCTGGACACGCTTCCTGTCCAACCATAGCACAATTTCAGACCCAGGTCATCACAGCCCATTGGTAAATTCGAATTGCTGATCCGCACACTTGAAGAAATCTTCTGGATGATGAGTATTACTCCGGAGGATGATTACTTGGACCGGCTTCTAGCCCGACTAGTAAAGCTTTCAGTTGGGTTCAAGTGCACATCTAAGTGGACACCGGCATTTGTTCCTGGACGCTGTACCACCGGGCTCCGGCCTTTAAAGGACGGTTCCAGCCAAAAAGTCTCGATGGCCAGATAATTCGAAAACTACAAGGGGAAATGTCACGCAAGCATGCTCGCAATTCCATGGTGGAAGATGTGGTCATTCCTGCCCATCTCCTGGCCGCCACCACCCAAGTAAATGGTCCCTGGGCAGCTCGGGATGACGAGTCCTCTGCGTCTGGACCTGGCCCTGTTCATCAGGCCATCCGTGATGAGGCATTGGAAAGACAGTTTGGTCAAATCCGCCGATCAGCCAGCGTCAACAGCTCGCACCCACAGAAGCCCAAGGATACTCGCCTCCGGCGCCAGAGTGCACCCTTGAGTGTATCTGGGATATCTACGATTGCAGAGATCGAACCGGCACAGCTCTCTCCCAACGGATCTTCTGATGTCCAGTGGCAGCATGGCCAGGACGACCTCGGAGCACACAGCAGACAATTGAGCGAGTCTATTCCGGCGACGAGGGGTGACGCGTGGCCTCTTCCACCCCGACCTCACAGTTACCGTATCTCCCGCATTGAGCCGACAGAAGAGCCTCCCCAAAGGACAAACCGGCACAGTATATACGACGTGTACGAGAAAGCCAAAGAAAGGCGTGTTGCTCTTCAGAGAAAGTACTGGGTGCAGGTCCTGTTTGAGTATACAGTCTATATCGTGCTCTTGGCCTTCATCTACTTCGTCCTCATTGGCATGCCTCTTTGGCGGGGTGCCGTGTGGTGGCTCTACTACGTAGTGCGTACCAAGTTTGTCATCCCAGGTGGATGGGGAATCACAATTGGCATTGCTATTCTGTAGGTATCACTCATCGTCTTTACGACAAGAAACTAATGACTTACTATAAAGCTACGCGTTTACTCCCCTGTTACTTCTCTTCGAGAAGAACCCTCCCCCGGTGGACAGCGATTCCAAAGAGGCCGACCTTGAGGGCAATCGAAACTCAGCGAAAAGTACAGCCCTTTTAATTCCTTGCTATAAATCTGCCAACATCATTGGCCCTACACTCGACGCGGCGCTTAAAATCTTTCCGCCTGAAAACATCTTCGTCATTGCGAACGGCAACTCTCCAGAGCCATTAGACAACACTGAAGAGGTATGCCGGCCATACGGTGTTAACCATCTTTGGTGTCCAGTTGGAAGCAAGATTATTGCCCAGTTTGTTGGCTGCTACGCGGCCAAAGACTTTCCCCATGTTCTCCTGATCGACGATGACTGCGCACTGCCTCCGAACTTCCCTGTCGTTAGCGACCGACTCAAAGGCCGTATACAATGTATCGGATATACTATTAAGAGCGTTGGGCCAGAGTCCTCACGCGGAACCCTATGTCAGCAGGCGCAGGACCTCGAGTACAAGATATCAGGCCTTCAGCGTGCATTTGCCGGTATCTTAGGCAGCGCCACATTCCCGCATGGAGCCATCTCGTTATGGAAGACCGACTTCCTCAAGCAGACTTTCCATGACCATCCAGGATTCTCTGTGTCTGAAGATTGGTTTTTCGGTGATAGTTGCCGTCGACTAGGCGGGCGCATTACCATGTGCTCTGCCGTATTTGTCGAGACAGAGACCCCATCGGCTGTCTTCTTCAGTTCAGGAGGCTCGCGAGGAGGTTTCGGTGAGATGACCATCTTCAAGCAGAGGTTTACGCGCTGGAATTTCTTCTTTGTCAACGGCATGTGGTACAACATGAAGTACATCTTGTGCAGCTGGAACCTCGGATTCTGGGAGTTGGGTGCGAAGCTGTTTGTTTTTCAAGAGGTTGGTTCTATCACTGCGGATATGTGCTATGGCACAGGAAATAAAATCTTTCTGCTTACTCACTAAAACCAGGTCTACGAAACACTATTATACCTCCTCGCGCCATTCGTCCTACCGATCTCGCTAGTTGTCCAACCAGCATTCTGCGGCATCATGTTGGGCGTCACCAACGGCTTGTATTTTCTAAATGTCATCATCTTCAACCTGGTACATCTCCGCCTGAAAAAGGAGACCGTCAGCTGGAAATGCTTGCTCCTCTACTACATGCCGTACAAAATCGTCCTCTTCATCATCAACGTCGTCAGCTGTTATTGGTCCCTCTTCAAGTACGCCCGGTACTTCGCTACGAGACATCCCAAGGTCATCGAGGATGACAAGGCTGTGGAGGTAGTGCTGCGTCTGGAAGATACCACAGAGAATAACAACGAACCCAAGCCGACGAACAAGGCACCGGGTCTTGGTCGGAGCTTCTCCGTGACCAAGGTCAGGGCTAGGAAGACTAGCAATGCCGGTGCGAAGCCATCCGGGCCTGGAGGGGTTTCTGTCGCCGGTGCTGAGGGTTCTTGGATTTGATTGAACCTTTACTTTCTTCGGTATATATTTAGGCTATCTTATTTTACCATTAATGTATATAGTTCTTGTGAAAAGTCTATAGAATCGTTCAAGCGTATGGAAAAATTAGTGATTTATTGACTCTTCTCCGAGTTGTAAGGCACTAGCAAGGGCGGGTTCCCTGGACATTCAACGGAAATCATTGAATTGTGGTGAGTGTCCTATTCAAGCATTCCCTAGTTATATCTGTGAAGTGTAGGGCCCATCACAATCAGCATATTTTCTTTGGGAGAACCTGGCCCCTGTCACCTTAGATTTGCGACTAAGTGGATGAGTATAAGGTGCTGCTATTCATTGCCAGAATGCTATTCACGTCCTTCTGCTAACCGGAAATATATTGACTTACCCGGAAAATTCCATCCACTCCTGCATTGAACAGTTTGGAAGATCTTGAGCTTGGATTACGTCCAGGGAATTTGCCGGCGCTGGATTGGAACATCCCACAAATATCAATTGATTTTGCGCGCATCTGTGCCCATATTAAAGGGCTTCCTATCTTGTACCAATTTCCTGACTCTATCCGGGTAGAAATCATGGTTTTCTTGAAAGTATGCGAAGCCTTACACGCTTCTTCTTCGCAATTGGACTACCATGGATCGCCTTCACTATCGTCTATATCTGGAGGGAATCGATGTATAACCCCCTTTAGAAAAGCCACGTATCTTCACATCCATTCTATAGTGCATACGTTGATGCCGACCTTCACTCCGATCATATGGAAGACTGGACTACTATATCCGATTCATTAGAAAAATATTCAATAAGCAGAAAGAGCATTTGAAATACCGAAGACAATCATTATAAAGATGCAGCCAACCCCCATCGGCCATCTTTCTCTTCCACACATTCGATCGATCTCAATCCTACGTAACCGGTCGGGCCTTATAAAGAGATGACCCGTCCTCCATGTTCTATTATCCATCCCATAAAACATGGCACTGCAGCATCCCATTGTCGCTCGAATTCAAAGATCTAGAGCTATTTCCATCAACTGAATGGGCTCTTGAATTATTCAGTTCTTGAGTAATCACAGAGCTTGCGAAAGCTCTTCACTATGTCTGGGAGGAAAAATGATCGAAGACATGCACGTCATGCGGGCTATAATACTCGATACATCCTCGCCTCAGGACTCCTGAATGGTAACTACATGGCTTTTGATTTTGTTTTCTACTGCGTGCTGAAAATATGATATAGATTCTATGATTGCAACCATGATACCCTACATCCTCTGCCACACTCATACCCTTCTGCCTCGACCTGGAGGCATTTTGTGGCTCCAAGTTGATTTCCTATAGCATGACGAACGAACGCCTTTTGGGATTGTCATCGAGATACGAGCAGTGACAAATTCGATACAAGACTCAAGGGACACTAGCAAAGCCACACAGTATTGCTACGACCCTGCCAATGTTTTATTGTGGCGTTCTCCAATATTCGCATATGGAGACACCAAAGAACCAGAGCTACCCTATCCGTAAGCCAAGTCTCTCATCCGTATCCAATGGAAACAGAGGAGGGAGCACAAGTACTATAAAGAGGCTGGAAAGGCCCTCGCGGTCTTAAGGAGAAAACCGAGGAGAAAATGGGCCTGCTCAATGAGCCAAGCAACGAAGGCACACATACTATACTCTCTGAAAAGGCACATGCGGAAGCCATAAGGGAGCAATATAAATGAACCTAATTCACAACATAGGGAATACCAAGAAACAACAGCTTCCAAAACCATGAGTCAAGGCACCCAACCCGTATATTCAAAGAAACGGAAGAGTTATATGGGTTGTTGGGGCTGTCGACTAGGCTCATGGGGCAGTTGAGGAAGATTGAGAAGAGCATGTGCCTAATCCATTTCTCCGTGACTTAGATATAAGACGACGACATCTCTCTAGGTCAAACACTGCCGGTCGATAACATAATAAATATTACGCCATACAACGCCCAAGGAATAGCACTGGTCAGTTTGAGAACAACCACATTCATCTTGTCACTTCTCATCCGCAGAGCATCGATCGTGTTAAGCCCCGCCCCATTAGCCTCCTGTCGTTGAAGCCACACCCGTATCACCCTTTTGCTTGAAGTTTCTTGCGGTATCCAGCAAAAGCTGGTGCCGATGTTAACCCTGACCTCGCATTCTTGATAATTTTATCGATGTATGACTGGATTACCCACTGGACTCTGTCATATCTTATGGCCCTATTCATGAGCAAGCTCGGATGCGCGCCTGTCTATGTCAAGCTTACAGATGTGGCATCGGGCCGCTCATCGAGCTTTACATGTGGGGACATACAAGAACCAGGGCTGACGCAATAGCAACTGCTCCGGTCTAAAAGCCTACACTTCTAGTTGGGCACTGCGGGCCCAAACGAAATTCGGGTAAAGACGATCGATTCATTACAAAGCGGCGAGGGCCCTGTTTTGATCCTCAATGCGACCGCGACGGATGGTCTAGGGTTCCATGAAGATCCAAGATGCATCACATTTGAATAGAAACAAGACAACACAGAGAAATAGAGCGTCCGATACATTGACAAGTGGACCAATACGCAAAAGGGAACTCAACCGCTGTCTTGAGGATATCTTGAAGGGTCTCCTGATCGAAGCCCTAGGAATGACAGTAATCAAACCGTCGGTACCTAATCACTACAAACTTCTTCCTCAAGAGAAATTGTTTCCTTCCCCACCTTCCCAATACTGCTTGCCTCGTCGTTCGGCGTTGTCATATCTATCACGACCATACTTGTTACAGATATGAGCTGGAAGGGGAAGCTCACTGCTGAGACATACATATTGTACTAAGAAGATATGGCACGCCTCAACCCCGGAGGACAATCCATACCCCATTGGTGTTGAACTCGACGCCAGCAGAGACCTAGGCCAGCAAGAGAACACCGCTGCCAGGCAGCAGACTTCAAAGGCAAAGGCGAATCTGGCGCAAGAGCAAAAATATGTCTAATAGGTTTAAGTAAACCAAGCATATTTCAGATGTCCTGCCCAATCGTGGCTGATCTGCCACCATATCTTTCGGCAGTCCAGTCATGTCTGAGCCTGTCGTACACAGAGAACACAGGGAATCTCTTGGCCCAAGTGGTCTAAGTCACTCTGTTCAAGTGCCTGTCTTGCCTCAATACATGCACAGGATTACACCTGTGTGTGCGGGGTCATACTGCAACATTCAAGTATTGAGTAAGCACTCCAATCCTGCCTGATCTTCTAGGAAAACTTTCACAGCTCAGGTCGCTGTTGGAGTTGCGGGCATAGAGCCAACCTGATATGTACATGAAGTCCGGGTGGACGGATCCAGTTACTTGATCCAGAGCATCACCAAGAAGGACCCGCTGAAACATCTAGAGGGTGAAAAACGTTTTGTTGTCACAACACTCAAATCCCTCACTTCTGAGGATCTACATATTGATCGTTCGCCCGAAGTGGGACCCAGGAACTTGCACCGAGTTAGAGTTCCTGGTGATAAAGATGAACGAAAAGTTCCACAACATCACATAATTGTCTGAAATAAAATTGGCTTGCGAGGAAGACATCATACTTGGAATAAATGAGTACGCAGCTCTACATTCTACTACTTACAAATCAGCGAATGTCTCAGGACTATCCACAAAACAGCGTCTCAGAGCTCATCAATGTGGACTTTTGGGTAATACCGACATTGTTACAGATCTTACGCTGGAAACCGCGGATGTGCCTTTATTGGGCCATCGCTATCTTCTTTTTATATCTATCACTAGGAATTACAGAGATTGTGCTATAGTGCTGATACTGCTGATTATAATACTGCTCCTGGTGCTACCGAGTGTCAGGACCATTCCTCATGACTCACACTGGACAGGGTCATCAGGTTTCCATGGTGGATTTTGATTATCAAGAACATTGAGATACGCGCAGTGTACCAGTATCAATTAGTAGGGAATAAATTATAAATTATGGGTACATAAGTTCTATTATTGGCATTTGGGGTTCTGTGTCGAATTCTTGTTGTTATGCGCAGAAAAAAGAATACATTAAGTAGGGCATTGAATCGCAAGTAATGGGGGCTGCTATTTGCGGGATCCAATTGCAAACAAAGTGGAAGAGGTATCCTCGGAGTTTTATATGAGTCAAAAGCAATGTCATTATTTCTGGTAGCTGCCTGGTACTCTTATCGTAGGCTTCTTGTCGGTTTCCAGTTTAGTTTGTGAAGCTACAAGATGCTAGGACCCGTAATGCCTGAGGTAAGTCTTGTTGCTTCAACACTGCGTACTATCGTGGATCTTATGGAAAACTTGGGTAGCAGTAACATGCTTCTAACTGACCCAGGGTTATCATAAATGCAGATTCCTTACTGAAATCTAGAACTCATAGTTACCACAGCCTTTCTACTATAATATCAATGTCCATCACTTCAGCCAAACGAGACGGCATTTAGTAAAAATGAGTCCATCCGTTCGCTCTTAATTGGAACTGCAAATCTTCTCATATTCAGGCAATTCCCATTTTACCATCCATTCCGACTCAAGGACCTGTTGAGCAAAAGGGCGATCTTCCGGCCTGAAGCGAAGCATAGAGCGTAACATCGAGATGAAAGCATCACGTTCTTTCGATTCAAAAGGTGACATTCCCTCGCGTATTCGCGACTGCTGCATGTGTTGTTCGAATCTATTCTCTCATGCCTGAGTCGAAGATGTGGGAGGTTGATGACTCGACTTACTACGATTGACTCGAATTTCTCTCCGTTTTGTGAGCCACTCGGAAGGCAGCGGGCCAAGTAGGTCAACTTGTTGGCTAGTCATATCGTCATCATTTGTAAGGAGGCCTTCAAATAGTGTTCTTTGTCCCATAATATCCCAAATGGTGCAGGCAAGTGTCCAGATATCAGACGAGAAAGTCAGAGGTTGGTATGGCTCAAACCGGGCCTCCGGGGGACGGACCAGCAGAGGTGTATGAGACTCGAATTTCCGTTCCTGCCTCGGACAGAATGCCTCGCCAAAGTCTGAAAGACATATCTTGGCTTCTAGGAGCATCACATCCTCACTTGCGGCTCCGAGCCATATAGGTACTACACCATGTTGTGGCACCTCTGGCGGAATTCCTTGACCATCTAGTCGATTGACTGGCTCGAGTACCGGTTCTCCATAAATTTCATACAGCATGTCAGTCGACAGCTCGTCAAAGTCACGGGAAAGCCGAAGTAGTATATTCCCACGGTGAAGGTCTCCATGGACAATACCTTGGGAGTGGATGTACTGAACAGCAATTATGAGCTGCGCTACTATCGCTCGTGATACCTCAAGCTGAAAGAGACTGTTCCATGATCCATTCTTTGCATCCGACAGACTCGTTCGTGCTGGCCTGGTAAGCAAACATGTGTGTTTTCCATTGGGGCCTTGTATGTTAATAATTTCTGAGATTGTAGGGATCAAATCTCGGTCTATGTGTGGCGATTTCTGGGGTTGCGACAGCCTAGACAGCACACTGTTTTCGAGGGGATTCGAATCCGCCGTACAGATTTTCAATGCAACATATCTATTGGAAACTTCATCGCGGGCCAGCCAAATGGTCGAGTACGTTCCGTGGCCAAGTTTATGAACTACCCGATAGCGATGGTGGAAACAGTCCCCGATTGTGACTGGATGATAGCCCCCAGCTTCATAATACTCCATCCTTTCCACATCTTCGATGGGTTCGTAAAGGACACGAGGGATTTCATTGGCAGGTACTGTTCCTCTGTAGCTAGTTAAAGATGATGCACGATAAATTGGATGGGGAAAAAATGGCTGGCTGGCTCTGTGAGGGAGGCCATAACAGGGGAAGGGGACGGTTAAGCGTAGGGGCTGCCTGAGCAAGAGGCATGGGTTTCTCATGTTGCTATTGCAGTATCAGCTTCTCGAAACTGAATTCATAGAATAATGTGAATATGCATCAGTCAGATGCGAGTAAAAACATGGATGGTGGGGAAATAGCGACAGTAAACGTGCAGCCAGACACACAGCGGTAGGAGAAGATACGGTGGAGCAGCAGCAGCAACACAGCATAGATCGATAAGGCACCCAAGCATTTCCGATCTGCGCCCTGATCCACCATCACATTCCAACGTTCAATGACAATAGAGCGGACAATAACTCAGCGTATCGATCAATCAAATCAAGAAGATACTCAATTTATTGTTCAGGTACAAAGTCAGTACCCAGTGTCTTACATCCTCCACGCTGATTCGCGAATCCCAGCATCGAGCCTTGCTGTCGATCGCATCCCATCCCATCATCCCAGCCACCGAATAATCCCCCAAACCCACCGTCAATGCGCTCCGCCCCATCACTTCGTCTTTTCCATCTTCTTCTTCTTTTCATCTACATTCCCTGCCTCTTAGCATTTTCTTTCTGATCGTGAGGTCATTATCCCACCACATCCATGTCTACACCACCACCACCTTCCCCTCGATGAACCATATCCATCTACTACAACTACTACTGCAACTGGATCTACCCGCCTGGATCCCCGCCTCCACAATAATCTTCATCTCCACATCCACCATCAACAAACCACAATGACTCCAATCCCGATCCCACGAATACCACGACCACCACCGAACCTCAACCTCCACATCTCACTGCCCTTCACACAAAAACCCCAACCATCCATTCTATCTCTCCGAAGCATCATCCCCTCCGCCCTCCACAAACGCTCCTCCGCCGCCTTCATCCCCGGAACCTACAACAGCCACGGCCTCTCCCCTGGCGCCGTCGCCGGCGTCATCATCGGCAGCGTCCTAGGCTTCATCTTCCTCCTATACTTAATATTCCTGGCCTTGGGTGCCGGACGGCGCTTCTCCAGCGAACCCAGCACCGCGACGTCGGCAACAATGTCGGAGGTGGTGGTGGAGGAAGAGGGAAGCTCGATTTCGCGACGACCACCGCGACGTCGGCGGCGCGAGGTTGTCGAGGAGGTCATTGAGAGTGGAGGGAGTCGGAGGAGTCGCAGGTCAAGAGCCAGTAGGGGGAGAGACTCGCGTATCGTTGTGGAGGAGTCGGTTACGTCGTCTGGTCCGTCAAATGTGGTTGAGGTCGAAGAGGAACATTCCAGTGTGGAGGGTTCCGGGGGCCATGGGCGGAGGAGACGCAGTCGGCCGGGACATTATCGGGCTGTGGATCCGTTGGCGTATGGGGGGTTGACGGAGGATGAGAGTTTGAGGTCGTAGTTGCGGGCCCCGTGTAGTGGGTGTGTTGATTGATTGCTATTGTGTTTTGTTATATAACGCTGTCGACGTGATTTGGTCCTGTCCCTTCGACGATGATTTGATACCCTGCCTTGTGATGTTTAATGATTGAGGTTAGAATTGCGAGTCAGTTTTGCACGCAAGAATGTCCATGCACACGGGACTAGAAATGAATAATGTTAATCACTACCGATATAAAAATGATTGGATTTCAACGAAAGTGACCGACTCGAGTAGTCATCCATAGACCTTGCGCCGTTAAGCGCCGACGCCAGTCAAACCTAACCTGACTTGACTGACCCGACTGAATTTAAACCAAATATAGAAACACAGACAAAAACCCCGCGCGCGAACCGTGCTCCGTGAATCCTTGCGCCCAACCAAAGAACGGCAATACAGTATCAGTATCAGTAGTAGTAGTCAATCGCATCCAATCTAGACGAGAAGAAAACGCAGACACCAAATCCAAACAGCAGTTCAAAATCACTGAAGACAGCACTCCTCTCCTCTTAAAACAGGATATCCAAGCAGCAACAGCAAGCCAATGCAGCCATTATACCCGCGCAGATACCACCTCCTGAGGATCCGCCCCGGTCTTGTCCGGCATAGTAACCTTGTTGCTGCTGCGGCGGAGGATAGTACATCGGCTGGCCTTGAGGCGGAGGAGATCCGTAGTATCCCTGCTGCGGCGGGGGACCATAGCCCTGGGGCGGATATCCCTGGTTGTAGCCTTGTTGAGGGTAACCGCCCTGCTGGTAGTAGTCTTGCGATGCGCCTTGGTGATAGGGACCGGCGTCGTGGGTGGGAGGAGGGTAGGACGGAGGAGGCTGGTCCTGTTGTTCAGTATCGGTCAGTGGTGTAGTGAGAGACGGTGAGGTTGTTGACTCAACATACAGGTTTGTTGTAAGACATCTTTTAATAAGGAGGCAGTCGGAAGTCTTCCAGACGCGATGATCAGTGATTATGCGGTCTTCCGTTGCGGTAAGGAATGCCTGACGGCGCAGGTTAGGCTTCTGATAGGAATGAGAGTCTTCTCTATAATGCGGAATGTGCGGAGAGGAAAAAGAGGGGAGGGTGATGGATGTGAGGAGAAAATGTCGGGAAAAGACGAGAAGAAGCGCCGAGCGAAACCAACGATTGATGGCAGCTTGGCGAGTGGTCCGGATTAGGCAACCGGCTATGTCGGTCTACGCGGGCGGAATTGGGGATGTTGGGGAGGACAAAGATGTCGTGCAGATGCCAACTACTTGGCTTATGTGTCTACTACAGTCTCGTGGTGCCAGACGAAACACACAAACATGGGAGTGTCTCTGTCACACAGCGTCTTGTTTCATCCGAGTTGCTGATGAAGCGTAGGCGGCCCTGAACGTGACTTCGCTACCGAATCGGTGGTTGGGGAAAGAGGGGAAAACATGACGAATATCTTATCTTGGCGTGGTGGCTGACGATGGTTGCCATTTTTAGTATTTACTCGTAATAGAGTGCTCGATATAATGGCAATACAAGTTGCAGCTTACAACAAGAACCCCCGATGGTCTAGTTGGTTATGGCGTTCGGCTGTAATGGTAATTATTGTAACCGAAAAATCACCAGTTCGATTCTGGTTCGGGGGATCATCTTTTTCGGTTTCTTTTTTTCCTTCTTTCTTGGAGACACCCACGACTTAGATAATAATGCATCAACTCTCTATTTTTGTTTCCTGATGTACGGAGACACTAGAGTAGTACCTGATACAATTTAATCTTGCAGTTGGGTGGACTTGAAACGATAGTAGTATGTGTACGCTAGTATTACTAGTGATGCTCAAATGAGCCATAGCTTACCCACGGCACTAGTATATATAGTGAAGGGTCAGTAGGAGATCCCGAACAATGAGACAGCCTGCATACTAATATCATACTTGCGGGATAGAATAGTTGGGACCAAGGGTCAAGTACATTGACCGTTTATCTGTTCTATAAGATCCTCAACTTGGCAGATGATACTCATATCCATTCTGTCCAGCGTAGGCCAGCTGGTAAAGGTGCCCGTGTACCTCCTTGCATGTTTAGCGCCAATGATCCCACATTAAGAGCCACTCAGCAGCCACAACTTTAGTCCGAGGCTGAGTTGAGGCTTTGATCCCGACCGCATTTTTATCAGACAACGAATGCGTGGTGAACATTCTCCTCTCAGCCCCTCGAGCTGAAAACCTCCGATCAGTTCCCCATCACTAATCGAGGTTCTATTGCGACTACACTACAGAACTTTGCAAGACCTCGCAGCGTCTTATGATACCTCCGTGCAAGGCTGGGTGTCTCGCGACATTGCTTGGAAGCTTCAAAAGAGACAGACATGCAGAGGCGAGACACGAGACAGACGACCAAAAAGTCGGAAAGAATGACGGGAAAACCCCTACAAATGGCTCTTCCGGCAGCAGCGACGCCCCTACAAACGTTACTCAAAACACAGAGGTTCGACAGAATGATGAAATAGCTGCTATCAGTGACACTAGTGCACATCACGAACAACAAACCATCAACCAAGCAGCTTCTATCCACAAAGCTCTCTGGGATAAGGCCTATAGCAACCTCAAGAGTGACTCGGAAAAGGCAGAATACGTCTCAAGGTACGAGGAACTGCTTGCGAAGGTATTTTTGAACCAATCCACGGCCGAGAAAGCAACGAACGAGTCCTCTCAACACCTTGGAGAAGAACAAATGAAAAAGGTGGTCGAAGAAGGCCTTGCGAGAATTGAGAAATACAAGAAAGCTATTGAGTATTCAGAGAGCACTGTCAATGTGATTAAGCAGCTCAAAGCCATTCTTGACATTCCTCTGAAGAATGTCTCTCAGACTGCACTGCCGTGGGCCGTCATCTCATCAAGCGTTGATGTAAGTGAACCAACCCTGATATTTCAATATAGACACTAAGAAAGCTACCACTATGACTAGATACTGCTCAAGCCAGTCAGTGTTGGAGCAGCTCTCTACAACGGCGTAGCATATGCGGTTTCCAGAATTGAATGGTACTCAAAGTTGACTAACAAACTCCTATGCGAGGATAGCTTAAAAGATGTAAAGTCGCTACACGGAATACGAGAGGACATAGCCGGGCGAATCACGTCGTTATACGAGTCACTGTTGTTCTACCAGATCAAGAGCGTCTGTTTCTATTACAAAAGGTATCAGCTCTTAGTGTGGGCCCGCGGATTGCTGGAGCTAGATGATTGGAGTGGCGATCTAAAACACATCCAGCAGGCAGAAGATGCTCTTGCCAGAGATTGCGCGCTGTACGACATGGAACAATTGAAAGACCAAATGAGAGCGATAATCATGGACACCAAGACAGCGGAAGACTCACAGGAATTCGAGAAGCGTCTACAGGCTATACGTCGCGTCGATCCGCAGGCTACCGTAAAAACCATCCAAAGTTTGAAAGAGAGTGTCATGGCCGATCTATATACTTGGGTCTTTGATACCAAGCAATTCAAGAGGTTTATGTGCTGGGAGGAGGACGCGCCTAGGCGGCTGTGGATTAGCGGACACGCTGGGACTGGAAAGACAATGCTTTCAATAGGCACTATCAGAGAATTGCAGACACGGCACCCCGAGGAGCCTAATCCCCCCACAATTTTGTACTTTTTCTGTCAAAACGGAGACGTGAATGTGAACAACGGGGTCGCAGTTCTTCAAAGCCTGGTGTGGATGCTTCTACAACAACAGCCCCACCTAAACTCACATCTTGATGAGCAATTCTCTCATTCAGGAGAGAAATTTATCAGTGATTCCTATTCTCTCGCTACGTGGTGCGATATTCTAACAAATATGCTGAGAGATTCAACTCGTGTCATCATTGCCATCGACGCTCTTGATGAATGTGAGGCAGGGTCGCGCAGGCAGCTATTGCGCTTTATGAACGGTATCATTACCAAGGAAAGAATGTTCCACGTCAAATGGTTCATTACCAGTCGGCCTCTACCGGAGATTCCAGACAGTCGACCTGAGACAACACTACAATACCACAGCCTTCTTACGCTGAATGACCAAAACCTCATTCCCTGGATAAACGTTTATATCGATCGAAAGGTTCAGGTGGTGCTTCGAGGCAGAGCCGAGAACCAAGAGCGTGTTGATAGGATAAGAGATCAGTTATATGAACGAGCCAGCAACACGTACATCTGGGTCTCTTTAATTTTTGGAGAGCTAGAGGATGCGCCCGAAGCCCAATGGCAGAAAATAATCGAGCATACCCCGAGAAGATTGAATGAATTATATGGTTCTCTGCTCAGACAACTGCCCTGGCCAGAATGCCAAACCGTCCTAACTGTTGCAATGGTGGCACGCCGGCCCTTGTCCTTGTGGGAGATCGAGCAACTTGCGGGACTGGAGACAGGTGTCAATGCAGGAAGGGATTACGTCACAGGGTGTAAATCGTTCCTGAGTCTCCGTGGCGAGATGGTGTATTTCATCCACCAGTCTGCTCAAGACTGGCTACTTTTGAACCAGCACCAGCTTCGTGACGGGTTTCCGCAAGACCATGGCGTGCTTGAGAAGCGCATTCATCGCGAAATCCTTGAAAACTCAATAGAAGGAATGAGGAAGACGTTGAGCGAGAACATATATCAGCTTCCTTACTATGGCATTGCTTTAGAAGAAATTGAAACTCCCTCACAAGATCCACTTGCACCGATTCGCTACGCTTGTCAATACTGGGCCTACCATCTCAAGGAAGGTGAGCTTAAGACAGATATTGACCTGCTTGGCTTTTTACGTCAGCGCTTTCTTCACTGGCTGGAGGCGTTGGCCTTGATGGGAATCATGCCCGAAACAGTGGGAATTATTGACATGTTAAGTTCCACGCCCGCAGTATGTAAAGGCTGATGATTTTTGATTTTTGTTTATGCTATGTCCCTGACACATCAAGCTTAGATGACATCAAACCCTGAAGTACGCGAATTTTTGCTGGATGCAAAGCGATTTGTCTGGAGGCACCAACAATTGATTATGACCGCACCACTCCAAGTCTACGTGTCTGCGCTTATATTTACACCAAAGGTCAGCTTAGTGCGAGAGACAGGAAGTATCCCGAAATGGATTGATCAAGTATCAAGCTTGGAAGAGGATTGGGGATCTCTATTACAAACCTTCACAATTTTCAAACGTACATATAAAATGTGTTCTGTCTCCTGGTCACCTGACGATAAATTTATTGCAGGTTTCTCAACTAAAGAGTTGAGGATATGGGATGCAAGAACAGGAAGAATGGTCAGGAAAATTGACGTCGAGGAGGATTCCAGGTTGAAGCATGATGTCATGGTGAAGAAGGATGTGCCTCGTGTTACCTTCACCCCAGACGGTCAGTTGTTGCTCTTACTAACACTGTATAAAGTGTATATGTGGGATACAGCTGCATGGGAAATCTCGCATATAGTGGAATGCCCAAGTGCTACGAAGAGATTTGCGGTATCTCCCAATAGCCGATTACTCGCGTGCTTCCAAAAGGACGAAAGAATAAATCTATGGCAGAGAAACGGCATCTTATGGACTCTGAAGTGGACATACCAGAGCCCATACGCAGGTCCGGACCGTGAGCTACCAGAGGGTCTGTCCTTCTCATTTGATAACCGCTTACTCGCTTCTACTATAGATTTGAACAGCATAGGGCTTTTGGACACTGAACTCGGCGAATTACAGGATAAAATCGTGCATGAGGGGGTGACTGCAATCAAGTTTTCTAGGGACGGCAAACTTCTGCTACAGGCAGTCAAGACTGTCGAGATATGGCGGCAAAGAGACAAGTGGGAACTGGACCGCAAAATTGATTTACCACAGTCGTTCAAGATTCTTGCAGTATCTCCCGATGGTAGGCTTATTGCAATAGCAGGAGCTCATTGGAATACAATCAAAGTGGTAGAGACAGGAAAGGGTGCGCTGGTGCAAACCCTGGGGGGTCACACATTCAGGGTTGACGATTTAGCCTTCTCTTCAGACAGCCGATTTCTTGTGTCCGGTGGTGCCGAACGTGATATCAGAAAAACGATCAAAGTATGGAAAATTGTACCTGGAAAGCTCCACGAAGCCCCATTAGAACGACGTGGAAGGATTGCAGGGGTGGCACTTTCTGCGGATGGCTCCCGGTTCGTGACAGCAAAATCTGGGGGTGTGATCGAAACATGGAATGGAGATACAGGAGAGCATCAAAGAACATTCGAAGCACCTAGTTATGATACTTTTAATTGCGACGTGACTGTTTCACCAGACAACAAGCTGGTGGCATGGCTATCTTACGACGGGCTCATCATGGTGTGGAACGCAGAGACGGGACAGATTATTGCGAAGCAAAAGAAAAGACTACTATCTCGGAACCTTTATACGGCAGTTCAGTCTCAGTTCTTTTCCAACAGTAGACTGCTGGGCTGGATAGACAGCACGAGAACTGTCCGGGTATGGAGCATACGATCATGCAGCCTTTTGAAATCGTATCGATGGAGGGGAGCTCCCAAGTATTGTACTTTTCTTCGAGAGGGACGAGAAAGATTGTCACTCATTCTACAATCTCTGCAGAATGAGACCACCATGAGTGAGGAGGTTGAATGCAGTCCAGAAGATTGTCCCTCTTACAATTATGTCGCGCATACTCCAAGAATAATCATCAGAAAAGACTGGGTGGTCTTAGGGGAGCAGAGAAGCATCTGGTTGCCCCCGGAATACCGGCCTTGGCTCCCAGGTAGAAGCTGGGATGCTCAAAGCAATGTACTAGTTGTTGGACTTGAATCTGGCAGTTGTTATTCCATCCGGTTCAATCCTCATGAGATGTCAGCTGGGCAATTGCAACATGACGATGCTGAGAAATATTCTGATGCTGGTTATCCAAATGACTCGGACCTTTACTCTATCAATGATGGATATGAAAGCGATGGTCTTATTTCTGACGCGGAAAGCGCAGTTGATGGGCAAAGGTGAAGCTCAACTTGTTCTTCGCATATCCTGCTCAAATCCAGTCGGAATGATCGCTACTGGGTCGAAATCTAGGTTTGATGTGCGTGTACGCCTATCATTCTTCAATTCTTTTGGAGCCTGATAATTTCTCAATTTACATAGATAGAGAATAGGATTGTTTGGCCACGCCTATATTCCTTGCAATCAGTGGTCTATGTCTAGTCTAGGCGCATTAAGCTTGCATTACATTTGATTCACACTGCTCTGTACTCGGTTGCTGGTGATGTAAAACCAGATTGACCGTAAGTAATTATGCGCTTTCAGTAAGCTTCTTAGTACTATCTCTTGATTGTATGGCCAATTACTCATTACTGATCCTTTAATGTCACATGAACTCACCAATAATGTATGGTTAGTAGCCTAATTTATTATATGTTACGAATTTAATCTGTTTTCATCTTTATGTATTAATGCTCTGCTGTGGCGCACTTCTAGATGCACTTGCATCTCTGCTTCACCTTGTACTGCTGTCCGGAAACTAGCAATAACAAGAAACCTCCAAAATTGATTCCAGCGAGGTTCCAGTGATTGATCAGCTTTCAGAGCTTTGAAATGACAAATCCTTCCTTATCCTTCTTTCTTCGGTCGACGAATCTTACATGCTGAATGGTGCTAAGACTATTTCACGGACAGTGGGTCACTCATCGCTCAGCCCAATCTGAAACTGCGCCGAAGCTAATATGGATCAAGCACGGAAGAGCTAGGCTAATCGCGAGCCGACGAGGGTCTGGAGTCTACTTCGCACGCTAACACAGCACCGCCACAGCAGCCTAATTGAAGGCATTCGTCATCTACAACGACACGTAAGTACGCCATTCTCTCCAATCGTGAGCTCAACTGAGGGAATGACTTTGCGAATAGGGGTTCGCGATGCTGGACAGCCTACATTCGCTGGAAACAGCAGTCTATCTCAAATAGATAGTCGCCTTTTTCCCACGTCGAAGCTCGGGAAATTGGTATACTATGAAGATTTAGACGTAATCTGGCAGTCAGGACAAGAATCCTGTTCAGTGTGATGCCTTTCTTCGTGCTGCAAACAAACAGTAATTACTCGAGACGAGCCATGGACATGTTCTGGCAACGGGTCTTGCCCGGGTCTGTCGGCTACGGAGCATACGTATGTCCCGGACAACCCTGATTCCAGAGGTCAATCAGACCCTTGGAATGTCCACCAGGTTGGGCAAGGGTCTGTATCAATGCATAATAAGACTCGACACAATTTCTCGGTCTCAGCACAATTTCAGTCCCGGCACTTCTAGCCCGCCGAGCAACAGGAACATAAAAGGCAAATCATCCGATTCCGAACAAAGTATACACACTCAAGACCGATACAAATTCAATCAATTCATCTTCGTTATCCATATCGCTCGTCCCGCTTCAGATGTTTTTGCTATGGCACAAACCCCGCGCAGCCTTGCTGACCAGCCGCTCATTCGTGGCTTACGCGCTAACTCATGGCCGCATTGCGTAAGCGCTCCACCGAGTATGTGTGGCATCGATATCAACATCTTTTCTACCGTTTGAACATGCATGAGCTGTTATGCTTAATGGCTGTATTATTTAACGGGGCCATTTGTGCACGAGTCAGAATTCGAAACCTGGTAGAAAGACGCAACCCACCCATCTTGGCCTGTAGATCCCATGCAGCTACAGCGCGTTCCCTCACAATATTAATTTCCCTTTGCTATTCTCGGCGAGCCCTACGCCTACCGGCCATAACGGTTGGTTTATCTATGCTAAGCCGAATAAGCGCTTACGTATGTCTTCATTTTTTCGGCATGACCCCTTCGGGTCGATCAAGTCATTGCAAGAGCCGGGCTCCGCGGGGGCCCGATCACGAAACCAATGGAAAGGCTTTGGTATGAATCCTGATGCTTTTACTTATGCACTAGCTGACTTTTTCTGTCTTAAGGGGCTCCATGATCCCTGGCGATCTAAGCCTATTGTATAGCTTGCCAGGTCATTGCTTGAATAAGATGGAGTGCGGACCCAGAGGGTCTTTCATCCTCCAGGGCAATTTTCCACGCGATGACTGAATCCCAAAACATGTCCTACAGAAACCTATCCAGTTTAGACGTCTCCGATAGGACAGGTCTCCCGGACTACGAGTTACACAATGTCCCTGTGGCACCGCCATATACAGCCACTGCATCGGCCCCTGCAGCTGCAGGAGCAGCAGAAACAGCACAGAAAGGACCTGTTGCAAAAGGCGCCGGAGGACCGTGGTATGACCCGCGCTCATGGTCAGTGTTAACGAAATCGCTCGTTGCCGGAGGTGTGGTGGTTATCATTGTTGCGCTCGTCGTGGGCATCTATGAGGGCACGAAATCATCCTCATATCCCGATTACTCTGCCTTGAGCTATAAGCTCGCAGACACATACTCGGGCTCTTCATTCTTCGATGAATTCGAATACTACACAGCCACCGACACAACCGACGGATTCGTAGAGTATGTGCAATTCGTGCACACATCTCCCTCCATATACACATACAAAAGAACACAACTAACCCTACACCAGCTACGTCGACAGCACCACCGCCTCATCAATGAACCTAACCTACGCCTCCAGCTCGCGCGCCGTCCTGCGCGTCGACACCAGCACCTCCAACCAAACCAGCGGCCGGAAATCCGTGCGCATCACCTCCAAGAAAACCTACAACGACGGGCTTTTCATCTTCGACATCACCCACACGCCCTACGGATGCGCCACCTGGCCCGCCCTCTGGCTCACCGACCCATCCAACTGGCCTGAACACGGCGAAATCGACGTGCTGGAATCCAACAACAAAGCCACCCACGGCAACGCCATGACCCTCCACACCTCAAGCGGATGCAAAATGAACGTCAAGCGGAAAGAAACCGGCACAGCCAAATACACCAACTGCCTCAACACCGCCAACGATAACGCAGGCTGCAGCGTAACAGGCGCAAAAGCAACCTACGGCGAGAAATTCAACACAAACGGTGGCGGCGTGCGTTCTTTCCCCATCCCCAAATCCATCCCCAATCCCCAACCCACACATCTAATATAAATTACCAGATCTACGCCATGGAACTCCGCCCCGCCGGGATCCGCGTGTGGATGTTCTCTCGCGACTCCATCCCCAACGACATCTCGAACAGCAGCAACACCCCGGACCCGTCGAGCTGGGGCGAAGCACTCGCCGACTTCCCCAACACGAACTGCGACATCAGCTCGCATTTCAAGAACCAGAGTATTATCGTCAATATCGATATCTGTGGTGATTTGGCGGGGGCGAGTACCTACTACACGGATCTGTATGATTGTCCGTCGACGTGCACGAAATGGGCGGCGGAGAATGGGGCGAACTTTACCAATGCGTATTGGGAGTTTAAGAGCTTTAAGGTTTATCAAACGAGTTCGAGTGGGAATAGTTCGAGTAGTAGTACTAGTACGGCGGCGGGGGCGTCGTCGACGGCGGGGTGGTATGGGAGTGAGACGAGTACGACGACGACAACGACGGCGGCTGGGGCGGGGAGTACGACGGGGCAGGATGGAGGGGAAGGGAGTCAGAGTGGTGGGCAGGATGGGCAGACGGGGAGTCAAGGGGGTGGAGGGCAGGAGGGGGGTAGTAGTAGTAGTGGGAGTCAGAAGGAGCAGGGGGGTCAGGGAGGGTATTAATGATGATGATAGTAAAAATAGTAATATCACTTGACTACTCTTTTGGTTTCTTGGCTGGATTTCACTTTCTATGGATATATTGTGAGATTGGTGAGATGGTATTCGGCTAAAGATCAGTGTCAATAGCATGAAGCATCATAGAGATGATGGCATGTACAAGATTAGCACTAGGACAAAGATAATGTACAAGTCTACATTCAATTCTGGTATGTCATCATAATGAAAATCGCTCAACGTCCTACATTCGATCCGTACAACTTGCTTTTCCAATCGCTCATTCGTTACTTACACGACACGCTGCTAAACAAATCGCTGACTGAATGCTCCTGGCTGTCGCCAGTCTCAGGACTGGGAAAGATAAGAGAGGAGAATATGGTAAGACATGAAATAAGAAAAGCATAGGTAGTAAGGTAAAGGTAAGAGGAAAAAGTCAATTACACAGAAGGAAAAAAGAGGAACCCAGCCCGGGCTTGGTCCGTAGACCAAACAACCGACGCTGGTAGCACGGTGATCACGCAAGAAAACCAATACCCGTGCATATTGATTTCTGTTTTCGTAAGACAAAATGGGCATATCTCGGTAGAGGAAAGAGGAGTTGGTAGGGATAGATGGGTAGGGGTCGGGGTACACGACTCCTGGATGCAGAGAACCAAAGGATCACGCAGGGTGTAAGTGTGTCAAATGCGAGTCTCGAGCTTTTGCAAATCTAACAATGAGCATGGCTGATGCAAGATGCAGATGCAATGCGATGCAACACTCTATGCTTGGCGGTTGATTTAGGCCTTCTCCTCGAGGCTGGCCTTCTGGAGCTCTTCCGACACGTCGGCAGCAGCGTCCTTCTCCTGCTTCAGCTCGGCGTCAGCGGAAACCTCGCCGTTCACACCGCTGTTCTTGAGAGCGGGCTTCTTGGCGGAGTCAGTGGCACCGTTGGCGGCGGTCTCTTCCGCCTCGAGGCGGTCAATCTCCTCCTGGGCCTTCTTGATGTTCTGGACAGGTATTAGCATTGAATATCGAGTAAAGAAAAGGCGTTTAACTCACCTCCTCGGTCTTCGAGGCCTGGTTCTTCTTCCACTCGGTGATCTTGGCAGCAAGCTTCTCGATCACAGCAGGAACATCCGACTGGTTCATGGGAGGGTCAATCTTGACCTTGGCGAAGTCCTCGATCACACCAACGTTGAGGTTGAACTTGGCCTCAGTCGGGGTACCGGGGGCGGGGCTGCCGTTGGCGCCCTTCTTGCCCTTCTTACCCTTCTTGCCGCCAGTACCAACGAAGTAGTCCTCCTCGCGGTCCTCCTTCTTAAGAACCTTCATACCCTTGAGGTTGGAGTCATCCACGGTACGACCGACATCAGCACGGAAGCTGGAGCCCTCGTCCTTCTTCTCATCCAGACCCAGAGAAACGAAGTCGTAGGAGGGGTTGAAGTGGCGGATCAGACCCTGAGCAGTGAGGATCTCGTCGGTGTAAGCAAGACGAGAAGCCTCCTCCAACTTCTTGTCAGCGATCTTCTTGCGCTTCTCGCGCTCGAAGGCATCGCGCTGGGCCTTCTGCTTCTCACGGCGGACTCTCCAGGCCTCATCCTCGTATTCCTTGTAGGCCTTGCGGGCCTTGTAGTAGTTGTCCTTGATTTCACGGATGGCGGTCCACTTCTTCTGCTGCTCGCCGTGGAGCTTGGTGCGCTCGTCCCTCAGGGCGTTGAGGTTCTTGAAGGCACTGTCCTGCTCGGCCTTGATGGCATCGAGCTCCTTCTGAATCTCAGAGTACTTGTCGCTAAGAGCCTTGGCCTCGGGGTTGTCGAGGGTCTTCTTGAGGGAAGCGATCTGGGTCTTAAGGTCGTTGATGACCTTCTGGGCCTCCTCCAGACCGGCAAAGTTCTTGCGCTGCTTGCGCAAGTTGGAGACGTCGGACAGAATCTTGCGCTCATCAACCAGGCGGAGAGTGCCGGAGTCGACCTGCTTCTCGAGGCGGGCAATTTCGCGGTCGAGTTCCTCGACATTCTTGAAGGACATGCGCGTACGGGAGTTGTTCTGTTCGGAAATGCGAGCCTTGAGGGTAGCATCGAGGGCATTGATCTTCTCCTGGGTGCTGGACCGAGAAGCCTTGAAACCCTGCTGCTTCTGACGGATCGAAGACAGCTCAGCGCGGAGTTCCTGCTGCTTCTTCGCGGTGGGCGAGTCCTGGTTGTTGGGCTTGGCGGTCTCGATCTTGGCCTTGATCTCGGTCTTTGATATAAAGTTAGTCTTCTGAGATGACGGATAGATGGTATGTTGCATTTGTCTTGCGATTGGATGAAAGGCGGAACAGCAAAGATGCAGTGTAGCGCAAGGCAGTCCGAATGGATAATTGGGCAGAGAAAAGGCCACGGAGCGGTAATAAGTCACCGCATCCAAGACGAGAAATGCGATTGTACAATGCCAATTAAAGCAGAAAGAGATCCTCACATACCAATTTGGCCTGAACAGCGGCATGCTCCTTCTCAGCCTGAGCGAGATCGGCCTTGAAGGCCTCCTCGTTGGGCTTAGTAGGCTTCACCTTGTGCTCCGTGGCAGGAGCGGATTTGGCGTCAACGGCCATGGTAAGAGGTGGAGAAAAGCAATAATATGACAACACTCGACAAAATGAGCGCGATTGACCGAAATCAACCGGGAAAAAAAAGAAAGCTCCAACGAGCGGGAAGAAGGGAAAGGGGGAGGAGGGGGGGGGGGTTGAGAGAGGGGGGAAATAGAAAGAGAACGCTGGAGAAGGAGAAAGTCGATGCTCTTTTTCTTGGTCTGGCCTTTGCTGGTCCAAAAGGCGGCGCTTACCGTTTGGCGCTTTTAGCGCTGGCCCGCCGATTTTTCGAGAACCGCATTTTGCTTCCATCATCGCCTCTCTCCCCTCCAGTCTAGACAGCTTCCTGCTCCGCATTCTCCGGGCTTGATCGGTTTATCTGCCCGATTATTGCTCTTCTTCTACCTTTCCACTTAATCTCTTCCATTTTCGAGTTTCGCGCCGCGGTGTGCCATCCCCCTTCAACCATGGACGAGGACTACTCTGCAGGCTCCGTGGACGCCGACCGCGAGATGACCAGACTCTGGCGCACATGGAGGACAGTCTTTGAGATGCTTCTGGATCGTGTAAGGATTTTTTCCAGCTTCAAGTGAAGCGAAGAGCTTCCAATAACCACCCCCGCGATCATCCCACTGACCAAGTTCAACAAATCCGCAGGGCTACGAGGTGACAGAAGATGAAGTGCAAATGCCTCTCCACGAATTCAAGCAGAAATATTCCGACCCTCTAGGATACCCCGAGTATGCGCGCCTTTCATCCCAATACATATTTCAATCAACTCCCATCTAACCCAAAATCCCCTCAAACAGCCGCAACAAGATGAAAATCAGCGCCCGGCCCACGGAAGCCATGCAAGCGAAATACACGCCCCTGCCTAGCAAATCGAACCCGAACCCCCAGCCTGACTGCGGCACCATCTACGTCGAATTCTGCCCGGACTCGACCGGCGTCGGTACCAAGCAAGTTCGTACCTTCAACCACTTCGTCGACGAGAACAACTTCCACACCGGCGTGTTCATCACCCAGACTCCCATCTCGCCGTCCGCGGTGCGCCTGCTGAGCAGCATGCCCGGCCGCATCTGCGAGCATTTCCAGGAGCAGGATCTGCTGGTCAACATTACCCGTCACGAACTGGTCCCGAAACACGTTTTGCTTAGCCCCGATGAGAAGGCCCGTTTGTTGGAACGTTATCGTCTGAAGGAGTCGCAGTTGCCTCGTATACAGGTGTCTGATCCTGTTGCTAGATACCTCGGTCTGCGCAGAGGTCAGGTCGTCAAGATTATTCGCAGAAGTGAGACGGCTGGTCGGTATGCTAGTTATCGGTGGGTTATATAATTGGTGGACTGTTTCTATCGGGGTTCCTTTACCCGATGCAGGTCCAGCAAAATGGCCCAATCTGCCCTCCGGAAGGAGTCTATCACAAGACACAAGAATAAAGAACATGAAGAAGACAAAAGAGGCTGGGTGGAGAGAAAAATTGGAGGGGTGGAGGGAAAAGAAAGAAAAAAGAAAAAGAAAAATTTACCGAATACAGGCATCGGGCAGCATGGCGTAACGGCGAAAAATCTTCTCGAAAGTGTGTGTTTCTTAACGGGTGGTGTATGTGTGTATGTATGTCTATGCTATGTCTTATTTTTATTTTAGGTGTGTGCTTCGGTTTCACCTCTATTAGTTTTAAACTACAAATCTATCGATCTACTTAAATCATACAATGGCTGTGCAAGAATGATTTGGGTTGGATGGTATTAAGCTATAATTAAGTGTTACATAGCCACAATAAATATCCTACATATGTAACTTCCATCATCAGCTGCAAGGCTGAGCGTGGCACACATACCATGTCTCGGTACCCTCCAAGACATACAACCCATAAGTAAGAATCTACAAGTCATATACTCATCCATATACGTAGCACGTCGTGATCAATCGTTAAATCATTCCGAGCATCCCAGATCAGTCGCAATAGATCACCGTCTGGACAACAATCTCCCCACGTCCTGGAGCTCGACCTCGTTCCCTTCAAGGATAGGCGCCGAGACATCAGCCTGCGAGCGGTAAGAAGGAACCGGTGAGTCCGGAAGATCACTGAAGTGGACACTGGAGCCGCGACGGCGATTGGAAGACGAATGGGAGTTACTGCGCAGGCCTCCGGGGCGGGAGAAGTTGGGCGATGAGGGTAAAGGGAATTGGTGGGACGGGAGGGATGAGGAAGTGGTGTTACTAAGATGAAGTGTTCGGGCTGATCCTCCACTGTCCTGTGTGGAGGCGTTGCTTGCCCTGCTGGCATAGCGTGAATATTGCGGAGTTGAGGCACTGGTGGGGGAGATCGGCGTGGGATTGTTTAGAAGGCTACCGACGTCGAAGATACGGAGGTTGGTGGTGTCTGTTGAGGATGATTTGCGCGGTGTCTTGTTGGTTTCGATGTACTCGTGCGGACTGACTTTGATGTCTAAGCTGCCCGTGCTGGAGGCCCGGTCGTCTTCACTGCCGCCGGAGCGCTGGTTGAAGGACCAGTTGGGGTCTAAGGTACCGGCGCGGGCTGTCAGTGGATGGATGGGCATCGCGATGGGTGCAGGACGGGGTGCCTTGGTATCTGCAGAGCAGAGTGACGGGTCCAGTCGGATACCCAGATCTGCAGCGAGATCGGAATCACTTCCCCATTGATGGTGGGTGATCGTTTGACGACGCACGGAGCTGTGATCCATGCTTTCGCTGACGGAGGCTGATCCTTGAGCCTTTTTGAACTTGTTTTTCTTGGCTCCCCTGTCACGCACGAATGAGCCTATGATGACAGCGTTCGAGACCGCCGTGGCGGCTAAGATTTCCAAAGACGCGACGAGCGATCGGTATTGTTGTGAGCCATCGTTCCAGATGACTGAGGGCACTCGATAGCATGTGATTCCGACTAGGATCAGAGACAGAGCGAACAGGATCACGAGGGAGATTTTGCGTTTCAGAGGCATGTGAGTCATGACGATGAATGGAATCGGGAAGGAGACGAGAAGCAAATCGGTCATCACATCGCAGGATCCCATTGTAATCAGGTTGGCATAGCCGAGGCGACATTTTGGACCTGGGTCCGGTACAACTTGCCAGTAATGGTCGAAGGGCTGGCATTCAGCGAGAGTGGCAATAATCACTGCCAACAATGTCGATGCCAAGAAGTAATAGATGAATTTGAGGAATATTCGGAGGGATCGTCGCCAGATCTTGCCTGCCACACGCTTGAGGAACTCGCATACTGTGAACTTGGCTATCCAGATGCTATTCGGATGGGAACGGTTAGCGCTGACCCTGGACACACCTAGCGCGAAGAGGGACAACTTACAAGATAGCATAGAAGATGCGCGCAACAAGAACGAACTTACTGCCAATGACTCGATGATCGATGTCTTCGGCAGACAAGCCCACGGTCTTGGTGTTATTGGTACCCCAGATCAATACGACATGCACGCATGCCATGCGAATTAATAACGGGATGACACTCGCCATCATCACCTTATCTTCGCGGAAGAAACGCTCGGTCCGCACATAGCGACCACAAACCCGGACAACGATGATGGCTACCGAAAAAGCAGTAGCCCACCAGCTCACGAGCAGAGTAGGATTGTTTTGCTCCTTGGTCCGGGCATCCGGAGGAATATCGGAAAAGAGCCCACGAGATTCAAGCATCCACTGTACATTCATAGCCGCTGTGCCACCTCCGAAGAGGGGCCAGTGAAGTGGAAGCAATCCCCAAAATCAAGTAGAGATGTCCGAGTAGTTTCAGCAGCAGTTGATATCAAGCCGTGACGTTCTTTTGTATATTCACATCGTTCACTACCTGGATCGGTGCCTGATAGGCACGTGCCCTACTCCGGATCTGGTGTGGGGAAGCCAGCTCAAAGAGGAGCCGGAAAGTTACGATGGTCGCTGTCAAGGACACCCCGAGACCAGGTGGAGATGGCGATCGGCAAACGGTGCTGCTAGTTAAAGGTGACAAGAGCTTTTCTCCTTACGCTGGACGTAAGTTGTGTCCTTGCTGGTAAGAATGTAATAACGACGACAGTAGCAGTAGTAAGAAGCTCGGACGCGTTCTGTGGATTTGCGGGGGAGGCTTGAGACTTCTCGCCAACCAGTTCTGTCCGGGAGAGTAGTATCAATGTAGAAGAGGTGCCAAGTACACCGCCGTTCTGACGTCGACTGTAAGTAATTATAAGAAGTAAGCAAGACTTGAACAGCAAGTCACATCAGCGGAGAAGTAAGTATTTTTGCAACCAGATTGCGCGATGAGCGCCGCGTCAAACAAGGGGGTTAGAGATAACAACACGGGGACCTCTACCACTGACACTTATACCTTAACGGTGAAGCATAATATATTAAAGCTCGCATGGCGAGAATCCGCTAGACTTGGGATAGGCCTACGGGTCATGGCGCGCTCGATAAACTTCGCGCTGGGGGGAAAGCGGAAGATAACGTAGACGGGAACGGTGGGCGCCGGATGTAGCCATGGAGGCTTGGGAAACCAGGTTGCGCGAAATGATGGGGGGGAAATCCCGGAGAAAATGAACCAAGATAACTTGAGAGCGTGGACCAGCCAGAGAGGAGCGATAGAGCAGGGGAAGAAAGCTAGTAACTGGTGCCTAGCTCACTCATCCATGGCGTCTAAAACAGCCAATGAACAGGGAATGGTTGGATGGACGGATACGAAGCCATCGTCCAGCTCACGAGATTGCTTGTGATATGGGAGTTTGCCACATGATTTGCAGCTGATTTCGGGCACGATCGTGTGGGTGGACAGTTCTTGCCAGCGTCATTATTCCTGCGAGGTGGAGATTATCGTTCCATACAGAGAGCAAACTGGGCCATTGTGATCGGTGAAAAGAACAGGAGGTTATCCGCGGCGATAGGCCGATGATCAGTCGATGCGCCGGGAACCAACGCCAATCACCGAATTTCTCATTTCTCATCCATGGGAAGGTCGGTCCTGTGGACAAGCAACAGCAGCAGCAAATGACAGCAGTAGTAGCTGTGGCAGCAGCTAGGGAGATGATAAGCCCCTGATAGGGCGAGTGGCCAGGCCCGCTTACTGACAGCGTACATTAGTATTAGCTGGGCGGAGCTAAACATGGGGGTGGTTGGAGTGGACACACGACGAACCTTGGGTAGTTAGTTACTAGTTACTTCTTACTCCCCTCGCAGGAGGGAGCTAAGCAGGAACCACAACCAACAAACAAAACAAAGATTAAGAGTTAAGAGCGAGCGAGTGATGGAGTGGAAGAGGAAACAGACGGAGACTGTCCGAGCGGCAAATCTTAAAACAAAATCAAAACAAAGCAATGTCCAAAGTGTCTGTTTTGTCTCCACTACTGCCTGGCTGCCTTCCACTCAGTTGGCCATGGTTTGATTCAAATCCCTCACTTATTCCCTCTCAGTTGGGTTCTCTACCCCAGAATAACCCTACAGCATATTCCGAATCCATCAGGCATTCGTTGGACTGATCATTCGTTACACGTGAGATACTTCTTAGTACTGGACATAAACATATGCGCAGAACCGAAGAAAAGCAAAGTTATCAAGGCACTGGTTTATCTCCGTCATAAAATGATTCGTTCTCTCCTCATGGCCAAACCAGGGATTCCCTGAAACTTTGGACACAGAGATAAGGCGTACTACTTTCTACTTACTTTTGCCTACGGTCGGAACCGATACGCACTTGGCGATATGTCGGTGTCCCGACCGGTCGATGCCGAGGACACACGCCTAACTGCCAGGGGAGCAACTCTCTCGTGGCCCATAAGCAGCCCAGATCCATGCAATCAAACTAAGTACTCAGGCTCGGAACGTTCTCCTCCTCGAATGATAAGGGGATTCTCGACCTTTCCATTGTCCTGATCTATCTATGTGTCTAAAATAATCCAGTAGTGCTCAAAATGTACAATATCACCAAACGGTCATGAAAAGTCTAGACGCGACGAATGCTGATAAGCCTAGTTCTGGCTCACCTACTTACTCCCTCAGCGACTGGATGTCAGCCCCCTTGAGGATGCCGTCCAGGACCACCCGCAGTTCTTGCAAGAACTTGGTGACCTCCTGCTCGGTTCCCACGGTGATTCGCAGGCAACCTTCGCAGCCAAGTTCCTTGCCACGGAACCGCACCACCACTCCCCTCTTCTCCGCCATGGCCTCGTAAGCAGCCAGCGCTGTCTTGTTGCTAGGCTTGCCGCCCTCGCTAGCCGGCTTATCTAGCATCTCGACCAGGAGGAAATTGGCCTCTTGGCCGCCAAGGAACCGGCCGACACCGGGGATCTTGGGCAGCTCCTGCACCAGCCGATCCCGCTGCACAATAATCTGCTCCCGGTACTTCTTCATCACGGTCATGTTGGTCTGCGAGAGAGCAGCCGTGGCAATGGCACTGGTAGGGCTAGAGATGTTGTACGGGGCCTTGAGGCTGTTGAGGAGAGTTGCAATCGGGGGACTGGTGAACGCAACACCCAGGCGGATACCCGCCAGACCAAATGCCTTGCTCAGCGTTTGCATGACCACCAGGTTGGGCCACTCAGTCACCCATTCAGCCAAACTCGAGCCCTCAGGAGCAAAGTCAATGTACGCCTCGTCGACAACCACCACTCCGTTCCACGTCGGGTGCTCCAGCACCTTCTGAATGTCGGCCTTCTTGATCAGGTTCGCCGTGGGGTTTCCGGGAGAGCAGATATAAGCCATCTTAATCGAGGAGTCTGCCGCTAGTGCCTCATTGATCTTCTCCGGCTGCAGTTGGAAGCCATTGTCCACATCCAAAGGCACCTTCACAATCTCGATATCGTTCACCTGCGCACTAACCCCATACATGCCATATGTGGGAGGGCAAGTGAGGATCTTATCCTTGCCCGGAACACAGAAACATCTCAAAAGCGCATCGATGGCCTCATCCGATCCGACACCGACGAAGAGGTTCTCAGGCCCAAGGTCCTTCTGGGTGTGGGTGTGGGTGTTGCGCAGCTGGCAGAAAAGCTTCTTCAACTCAACCTGGTGACTGACACATTGACTTCTTTTAGCAATCCCAACAGCAACAATTATATCACACAATACATGAAGCGACAGGTGTTTAGTGAAGGAAGGACCTTGTGCGATCGGGGCAATGAGCGGAGCGAGACTTACGGATCCGGATAGCGGTTCAGACCCAAGAAATCAATTTCTGGCTTGGAAGAACCTGTCGACGATCCCGTTACAGTGGACTCTTGCAGAGCGCCTTCAGGATTGAGGGCAAGACCGGGACCGTAGGCGTTCTCGTTGGCGTCGAGCAGGACGTTCGTTCCATCATCTTTGTAGTCACTGACTCATTAGTGCCTTCGTCACACAGGGTAGCGGGGATGTGGGGAGGGGGAACACACTCTCTGGCGCAACGGTAAGGCTGCAATTTGAGGATGTTAGGGCGCGCGCACTTGGCGAGATCGAATGGAGCCATTTTCAATGGGATTGGATGTGTGATGAGCGAGAGTATGGTGGTGGGGAGAGGAAGAAAGAATGGCCAGGCGGGGAGGGGAGTCACCGGTGGCGGGGAAGTTGATCGGCGGAACTCCCGGTGTCGGCGGGAGGGTAGCTCCAGGTACTGCGGCAATTGTTCGGAGTATGAAATACAAAAAAGGTGATACGGACAAGTCTTAATCCAACTATTGTACAGTTTGTTATTCATCTATCTATCTTTCTCTTATGTAATGCTCCAGGCCTTCTATATACTGTCGGCAGTCCTTGATTTCTGGATCATTCAGGACTCTCAAGATGATATACTAGATACACACATGACTACCAATGCCGTACAAGCAACAACGCCTCAAATGCCTTCAGACAAATGTCATCTAGGGTTGCCCATGTCCCTTAAGGATCGAGCGCGCAATCATGCTTTAGTCATAAGTTTCTATTCTTTAGTTGCGTCGGAAGTCTTGGCCTTTTTGCCAGACTTCTTGTACTTATCTTGCTTCTCGCGCAAGTATCGCCAGGTTCGGCTGACTCCCGAGGTGAGGAGCCCCTTCGCCGATTGCACCGTACTGGGCCAGCGGATGGTCTTTGCAATGGTAGTCTGTACTTCTTTCGTGAGATTCTTGTCATCGGCGATCCGCTGTTCGAATGGACCTCCTTGTCTCCGACGCACCAAGTCGGAGTCGTTGTTGTTGCTCTCCTTCATCATCTGGTTGAACTCGACCCGCGGGATTTGATAACGGGTCTGGTACTGGAAGTAGAGCTTCTCACGGAAGGAGTCGGGCAGACGGCGAACCATGTTGCCACGCTTGACTGGATCCATATCCTGTGTAAGGCGCACATTGGCTTCGGGATCATCGATCCAATCGCCCTCCGTGCAACGCTTGTCGTTGAACGTGACGTTGGGCAAGTTCTCAATCAGGGGCGCGTATAGTCGCCGGAAGTTAGCCATCTGCGACGACACAATGTTGTTCACCTTGCGGGGATCTTCCGCTGGCAGTGCCATGCGCAGATCACCCATGTAGCTCATACTTGCAATGGTACTGTACAGTTGGAACTCGGTAAACTCAGCCGGAAGCAGCAGTAGAGCTACTCGGACGGCGGATAGCAAGTTCATTTGATTCGCCAGTCGCACCTTCGGGTGGTCACGCAAGATCTTGACCGGCTTTTGCAGCCGTCCAGCAAGATACAAGGTATCCCATTGGGTGAGATCCCGGCATAGTGTATCAAGGTTCACGACCCCATATTTGATCAGTGTGCCATTGACGGTTATGTAGGGGTTGAAGTAGACCCCGGCGCCGATACGATCCTGCACTTGGGATACCATATAAGAGCCCAACGAGCCCAGGCCAGAGTAATGGTCTCGGTGCTGGCTCAGATTCAAGGAGTGCCAATGTTGGGAGTATGATACTCCAAAAATAAAGTCAATCATTTTTCCTTGCCCCTGCTGCATGTTCTTGATGGCCGCTGGGGCCGACGGGTGGCATTGACTGGAGCCAGGCGCACTGCCTGTCTGTTGGAAGACACCGGATCCATAGGCAAACGCATATCGAATGGGGGCTCGGAATTGCCAAAGAATCTGACGCAAGGCTTCTTTGAACTCCTGGTTGATTACCATATGCTGATTGACCCCGAAGTCTTTGGAAGGTAGCTCCGAAAATGCCGAAATCGATAGGTCCGGATTCGCATCCCAGTCGCCGGGATCCGACCGCTGTGAGGAGGTAGAGAAGGAGGCTGAAGACGAGGGCAGCAGGAGTCCACGGTCAGTAGAGGTGGACTGCGAGGTTATGACACCATGGGAAGAGGATCGGTTCGAAGGGGAGGAGATGCCATGAGATGATGAAGTCGAGTAGGGGTCAACCGAGAAGGAGCGAAAAGAACCCGGGATGCGCGCATGCCGCGGGAGACACGGGTTGATTGAACGCAGGCGCACATAACCTGAGTTCGTGTTCAAAAGGAAAGTCTAGCAAGATAGCTGTTAGTCTCTAGCGGGTGGTGTACTCCGAGGTTCTAGGCATCCCGGTGTCTTTTCTTACAGTAGCTTGGCGCATTGTCGCGATTCCACCAAGGGAAGGGAAAGTTGAGCACAGCGAGGGCTGTAATTAGAAATCAAGTCAAGAATCATCTGAGAATGACCGCCTTAGACCATACTTCCAAATCGGCACAGATTGGGAGGAAGGTAAACAGAAGGCGAAGAAGAGTGGAGAGTAGATCTGGGGGGAAGGAGACGACAACAAATGTTCACAATAATGAGAATAATGAGGGTCTGACGTACTCTTCGGCAGGTGTTCTCGGCCTGTTCGATTGCAGCCCGGATGAGGAAAGTGCCCGACTTCGCCACGATCCCGACCCCAGACACTCCCAAAACCAGTCAAGCCACATCTTGGAGGTCACGTGGGGTCGTTCCTCCGCGGCGCGTTTCGGAGACCCAAACAACGCCGTAAACAAGAGCTGTGACGGCGGGCGCAGGCCTCGAACATCAACAACTCTCGCGCTTTAGTCGATTCCAGCTCGATTTTGACCCCCAATTTCACCAATCCCCATGTCCTGAATCTCTCGCAGCAATGGCCCAGGAAATGGAGACCTTTGCAGCTCGCCTCGCCAGTTTCGATCGGGTGTTGTATCCCGAGAAACGGAGGTCATCCAGCGCGAAGTCTGCGAAACCGATCGCTTGGCCGCATAGCCGGCCGTCTCCCGCTGAGGTATGGTGTTTGCATCTGCAACTTGAGGAAAAGCACACTGGCTGATATGTCACACGGTCATAGCTTGCGCATGCAGGTTTCTTCTATAACCCTTACGAAACAAACCCCGATAACACAACATGTTTCCTGTGCCGCAGAGCACTAGATGGTTGGGAGGAAGACGACAACCCCATTACAGAGCATCTCAAGCACACGCGGGATTGTGGCTGGGCCATCATGATGGACATTCAACAGCACAGCTCCAATCCTGCGGAGATTGAAGATCCCACAAGCGAGCGGATAGCGCAAGCCAGGCAAGCCACATTTGGCGAGTCATGGCCACATGACGGGAAGCGAGGCTGGTACTGCCAATCCGATAAGGTATGTTGAGTGTTGCTGCTGTACCTGCTGTGTCAGTTCCGCTTTGGCAGTCTAACTGTGGCAATGCATTACAGATGGTCGAAGGTGGATGGTACTTCTGTCCGAACGAGGAGAGCAACGACTTGGCCACCTGCCCGTATTGTAAACTGTCTCTGGATGGTTGGGAACCCAAGGATGATCCATTGTGAGTTTGTGTTGCTCCTTCCCTCCTGGCTATCGCTAAATAGATCAGTGATGAACATTACCGTCGCTCATCAGATTGCTCCTTCTTTGTCTTTGCCAAACCTTCTGGAAAGAAAGGAAAAAGCTCCCGGTCCAAAAAGTCTCGTGTTTCGAAGGCTTCCCGTCTATCCACACAATCCACCGCATCGGAAGCGCCAGTGTCTGAGCTAGACGACCCAGTAGACCAGAGTACTCTGTCCCAATCAACTACAAAAACGAAATCCTCGAAGAAGTCATCCAAATCCAAATCGAAGACAAAGTCAAAGAAGGAAGAGGTAGTGGACGCTGACAGTCAGATGGATATCGATACCACGGATTACAGCCAGCCTGAACCCAAAAAGACGAAACGGACCCGGGGAAAAAAGAGAACTAGTGATGAACTCAATGACGATGCCGAACTTGTCGACTCAGAGACGGTGGAAAAGCCTGAACGACCGGCCAAAAAGAGAGCTACCAAGTCACGCGACAGCACACAGCAGGAATACGACAGCAGTCTGGAGGCCGTCAAGGAAGATGTACAGGTAGACGACCCTCCTGTCGAAGAAGAGAAGCCAAAGAAGAGTCGTGGAACAAAGAAGAAAACGACATCCAAAAGCCGGAAGGTCTCCACAGATTCAGCCGTCTCGAGAGCCGCATCGGAGATCCCTCCCACCCAGGAGCATGATGCAGCAATGGATGTCGATCAAGATCTGGAGAAGCCTGATGAAGGGCCAAGCGAGGAGCCTCAACCTAAGCCATTGAAGAAGTCCAAGTCTAAATCGAAAAAGAAGGCCAAGGCGGATCCGGAGCCGTCGAAGGAAGTGGTAGAGCAGCGCACAGAACCAGAGTCGCAGGAGGAGATGATTCCAGAGCCCGAGAAAGCTCCAGAACCAGAACCGGAACCACCAGTCGAAGAGGTTCAGCAGACCCGCCGCACAAGCAGACGGCAGAGCGCAAGAGTCTCCGATAAGCTTCGGCAAAGCAGCCATGATCAAGAGTCTCCCCAGCCCGTCACACAGCCAGAGCCTGAACCTACGACTGACGCTGGGGCCGACTCGCAGCAACATGAGTCATTCGTTTCTGTAGAAATTCCAGCAAGGAACTCAGAGCAGGGCGTTGGTGCAGCTCAGAAGGACAAGGAATCTAAGAAGACGAAGAAAAAGGCTTCGGCGGAGAAGCAGCGAGCTTCCAAACAGGCAGAGCAGAAGGTTGATGTAGAACTTGACCACGAAGAAAGCCACGCCAAGGCTGTGAACAAGGCGACGGACGAGCCGAAACAACAGCCTGACACCCCGCAACAACTTGAGCAAGGAAAGCCTCAGAGTCAGACCCCAGATCAGCCATCTGCTCGACGCAGATCGTCGAGGGTTCCTCCAAAGACGGTGGAAAGATACAGCGATATTCCCAGGGAGAAGCAATATGCCAGGTCACTAGCCGAGTCTCGAAACTCCCACGTCGACCCAGCGCCGGAAGACAACCATCAGCCGGGAGAACGACCTGAGCCAGCTACAGTGTCGCCTCTTCCCTCGCCTTCGAAGAGCACTCTGTCACTGTCGCCGCAATCATCTGACGCCGAGAATCAGCCACCGTCCCTGAAACCGTCTGTGAACCGGGCGCCAGTAGCGTCACCCTCCAAGCAGGTTCGAATTCCACTTGCGGCCAGCACTCCTTCCCCCTCCAAGCGAGGGGCGAATACAAATTCCCTGAAGACATCCCATCCGTGGACTCCCATTGACATTGATGGAATAATTCTGGCTGGAGGTGACAAAGAGAACATCGACTTTGGCGGTTTACATAGTGGCAAGGGTGACTTGACAAGCCCCGAGAAGAAGATGACCGTCGAGGAATGGATCAAGTGGAACGCAAAGAACGGAGAGGAGAAACTCAAGCAGGAGTGCGAGAGGCTAGTCAGCCAGTTCGAACGAGAGGGTGCTCGAGCTATGCGGGTCTTGGAAGGCATAGAATGCATAGATTGAGTGGATCACTTGGGTATCATCGGTTAGGAGTATGCGGGTCGGGTAATGGGCATTGGATAGGTACTTGGGTTCATCTTGTTTTTCAGTGGTACAATATTTTCGCCGCAATCTCTGTTGATAACGGTGCAGTCGGTATATGCTTATGGGATTTCTGCGCTTTCTCATGCGACAATGATATTCTCCTTGTTTGGATAAACGGAAGTCTGCGAATAATAAATGCTCAAGCTCCAAACGCCATGGGTATACTGCAGCTTTTAGCCCTGATAAACCATCCCATCTATGACCACGATTCTCAAAACAGACCATGCACATGCCCAAGCTCAACCACACGAGCTTACGCAATAATCCCCAACCTGCCCTCCCAGCTCTCATCCTCCTGCTTGATCCCATCGCCTCCCTTACGACGCTTCTCATTCCTTTTCCTCCTCTTCTCCTCCCTCTCCTTAGCATCCTGTTCCTCCCGCTCCTTCAGCCTCTCGCCTAGATCCAACTGCCAAGCCCTTCTTTCTTCCTCCTCGCGCACCCGCTTCCGATACGCCAACATCCTCAACCGCTCCCGCACATCCTCCACCGTAGCCCTCGTCACCTCCCCGCTCTGTCCCGTCGCAATCAGATGCTGCTTGCTATTCAAATGCTCCACCAGCTGCAAGTTATCCTTGAACGTCAAATCACAGTCCGAACAGTAGAATCCCGCACCCCGACCTCTCTTTCCGATCGCAGATCCCGATGCAACAATGGTCGTCTTGCCAACCATCGAAGCGACATCGAGTCGCTCTTTGCGCGATGTCGTGGCTTCAAGTTGGCTGTAATCCACGGGCGCGTGCCATTTCTTGCCTAGTAGTTTGGCCTCATACCGGGCTTTGGATTCTTCTTTGCGCTTGGCTTCGTCGTCGGCGGCTTTTTTGGCGTATTCTTCGCGGTCCCAGGTTTTGCGGAAAGCCGTGTCTGAGGAGGGCGTGCCGTAGGCGGAGGAGGATTGCTTGTTGTTGGTGCTCATTGTGGTTGTGGGGGTACCCTGTTGGGTACTGTTGATGAAAGATGTGGTTTGGTGTTGTGGTGTGTGTGTATGTGTTGATTGATTGGAGTTGGTAGCTCGATATTTAGTTGATGTCGATGGTTATCGGAGGCGAAAAGAAGCTGGCCGGCAGAACGGGCAGGCGGTGGGTAAAGCGGGGTGGACGGATCTGCAGGACATCTCCGGATCTTACTTCTTGTTGTTGTGGTGTTCCTTACCCTTACCCATCTCTTCTTAATCTTGGTGTATATTGGGAGTGTCCACTCGAAGTCTAGACTTTTCTATTTAAAGAATTACTTGATGGATTGGGTATTCAGGACAGTCGTTCTCTGCCTCCATCCTATCTCCACTTTACTCATTTAACCTTCCGAGTGCTTGCTTTGAAGCAGCTCAATTCTTTGCCGCCTAGTCTCGTATAGCCACAATCAGGCATCTTATTTTCGGCGCCTAGGCAACAATTAAGCTGCCTCAATAATTCCCCAAGGCAACCAAATATCCGATGATATTAAGGTGTCTAGAGCATCCAAACAATAGGAGGATATTCATTCAGCATTCACAGCTTGGTTACAATTCATATCTCCATAGACTACATCTGCTGCTTCCATCTTACATCTCCACATCTCACTACCCTCCACACAAACAATAACAAACACACAATGGACTCATCATCACTCCAAGAAACCCCAGCTATTCCTTCCCTCAATTTGATGGACCTCCCCACAGAACTCCATCTACACATCTCCACATTTCTTCCATACCCAGATGCACTAGCATTGAAACACACCTGTCGTCATTTCTACTCTCTCGTCTACACCGGGGTCCACCTCAAAGTCGACTGGTTTGTCGAGCGCTTTTCCCAGAAACTCGATTGTCCCATGGAGAAATGCTCGTTCCGTACGGATGAGGCGTTCTGTAATAAGACGATTCGAATGATCATGGAGCGCAGAAGACGGCATCTGGAGTGTAGGGCACAGCCGGGTGGGTGTCTGGTTATTGAGGGGAGAACTTGTCAGAAGGATCTGATTCCATTGTGGATGAAGAAACGCGGTCGTTGGGAGATGATCAGATCTTTTGGAAATGAAGGTTGGTTTGCATCTGACTTTATTGCTTGGGAGATGAGCTAACGTGCGTGCAGCTTTGATTCATGGGCTTATCTTCCTCTGTGTCTTTTTGCTTTGGAATATGAGTGCAAGGTGTGTTCTCTTATCAACATAAGAATAAGCGTGGGCCAAACTAACTCATACAGGCTATTAAACCGCGCGATGGTGACAGTATAACGGCAGCCATTCACACGTTCATCGCTCTTCAACTGCACAACACGGTGCAACTGATTGGATAATGAACGGGAAACCATGTCAGTAGCAGCTGGCTGCTACATCTACGATGCACTGATACGACATCTACGTTGATACGACGACACGAACATACATCTACAGCTGGATACAGCTGTATCAATCATGTAATAATATCTAGTGATTTGAAAGCAATATACAAGATCCATTTACCATCATCCCATACCATAGCAGATCTATGATCGAGATAACTCCGTAGTAAGCAGTCCAAACACCATAGCCATGGTCCAAAGCAAGCAGCAGCAAATTCGCCACCCATCTATCCTCAATCAAAACCAAACCTAGAACCCCAAGCAAAAGCACGCTAAACAGCCACATTCATAGCCATATACATATCCATCATCAACACCATCCCCCAAACCTCAAAGAATCCCAATCACGAACTCCCTAAAAACCACAACGAATAACCACCCACCAACGCGCAACCCCATCGCTCATCCCCAACCCATAAAACCAAGCATAGCAGAGCAGAGCAAAGCAAAGCAGGAAATTCACCCCCCAATCGAACAACAAACCCTCATCGCCCCACTCACACCCTCCACCCTCTCCACACATCTCGTCCTCGTCCTCCTCCGTCCTCTCCCAGTTCCAGCTCCAGTTCCAGTTCCACCAACCCTCCCCCTCCGCCCTGCTTCGCCCAGTTCCTCGATCATAGCTTCGAGGGTCGCGAGATCGGTTTCGATGCTTTGTTGTGAGCGGGGGAGGGTTATTGATCCTGTGTCTGAATCCGATCTTGATCTTGAGGTGGGTGTTGGTGAGGGTGGTGGGGATGGGAGTTGGAGGGTCATGGTTGTTGGTTTTGGTATATAGTATAGTATAGTTGTGGAAGGAGATGTAGATGTGGATGTAGTTGCAGTATAGTATAGTATAGTATATTTGTGGTAGAGGTAGTAAAGAATGTCAGGTCAGTTAGAGTTGATGGTTGACAGTGAGTGAGTGGCGAGTTTGCGGGGGTAACCAGTATGTATAAGTATGATCAATAGGTGTGGTATGTAGATCAAGGCTATTGGGTATATAAGTAGTAAAAGTAGTGGCTGGGCGGTTCTTATGTTTCATCTCCTTTGCCTCATTTGACTATTGGTTAAGGCTCCAGAATGGGGCTGGATGAGTCAGATAGTTGTCACGCTGATTCTACGGTGACTTTATTGATGGGGTTTGTTGGTTGTTGGTGGTCGCGGTTACCTAAACTAACTGGGTGGTTCTGACTTGTCTGCCTAAATTCTGTCTGTCTACCCGTGATGGTTAACTAAGTTGTTGGTAACATCTGACAAAAACTAAAATGATTCTTCTGCCCAACGGGAGATGCCCCCCCAACTACTCTGCAATGAAATCATGCATGATCTGACAAAACATTATCGATCAGCCATGCAAGGAACTCATCTGTTCAAAACTTCACCTGACTGAGTTCTGCCGCGTGACCCTCTTCCCACGGATACTTGATCTCCAACTCCTTCAGCAGCGCCTCGTGCTGCTTACTCCTGGGCTTAATGCCCACCTCGAACGGCGCCACGTGACTGATCACCCCGTTCAAGAATTTCGGCTCTACGTTCACTTCCTTACCATTCTTGATGGGCTTAGTGAAACTATATACAGCCAGCGACTGCGCAATGCTCAGGTAGATGTTGGAGTCTGCCAATGTGCGGCCGGGACAGATGCGACGACCGAATCCGAAGGCGAGAAGGTGAGGGTCGCGCTCGGGGGCGTGGTTCTCGGTTGCTAGAAATCGTTCGGGTTTAAAGGCCATAGGGTCCGGGTAAACATCTGGGTCGTGGGTGAAGGCCCTAATGAGATATTAGACATAGACTTCGACATTGACTGGGAAAGGGCTAGGTCTCACCATTGATTCGGCAGGATCTGGGAACCCTTTGGGATAAAGTAGCCTTCGTACATGTCATCCTCCGACGAGCTGTGTACAACCCCCATCGGGGTTACGGAATGCCAACGGAGGGCCTCTTTGACCATGGCGTCGATATATGGCAGGTTCTCGCGATCGCTGAAGCTGGGAAGACGGTCTGTCCCGACAACTCGGTCAATTTCTTCCTGTGCCTTTCGCTGTACGTCCGGGTAGAGAACCATCGCGAGGAAAAGTCCGCCCAAGGTGGATATGGTCTGCACATGATTAGATACGGTTTACGGAGTTCAGAGTGGTGGACTTGCCGTGTCAGATCCTCCACCGTACATTGCTGCGGCAGACCATTTCATGACGATTTCATCAAAGGAGCCTGGCTCTGGAACTCCCTTCGCCTCGAGTAAACCGGATAAATAGGATGGCGCGTGCTTGTTTTGCGACATCTGATGCCGGACAAACTCGTACGGTTGACAGTTCCAGGCTCGGGCGCTTTCTCTGAAGGTCTCTGCAACGCGTACGAAGGCGGCACCTGGAAACCAGGCCGGGATGTGCCTCACTAGTCATCCAGTCAGCCATTTTCTCCCTTTGGGTGAGCTACAGTGCATACAGAATGGAATAAAATCCACTATCCACACCCCGGGAACAAGGGCCGCGCCGAGATTTCCCATCGCCCGGGCTATAAGATCCACCAGTGGGTCATCCCCATGTGGTACAACGCTGTATCCATATGCTACCTTCAGGATGATTGCCGCTGCTTGCCTTTATATAACCGTTAGCGCCGGTGCATTTCCAAGACCTAACATGGCAGGCATACTTCCGGATGTGGTCCTGCAGACCTTCGGGGTTATCACGCACTCGAAGCAGGGTACGACCAACTTCGGCCTCTTGGATATGATTGAACCGCGCAACAGAATTGTTTGAACCAATTTGCTGATAGAATAGCTTCCGCTCAGTCCGGACACGCGGGTCGTTGTTGTTCCTCAGACTGAATAAATCCTTGAATCCACACCTAGCCACCTGTTAGCAGCGAACTTACGGTCCTGGGGGGGCGGTGGTTGCAAACATCTCGATAAATGTCAAGCTAGGTCGGTCTGAGTGTGTAGCTGAACGCTTCTCCAACAACTCAACTGCAATCCGGGCATCGTTAACGATTATGAGGGTCTCTCCAAAGACCTGTACCGAGCTGATGGGACCTACAGATATCGTTAGCCGTGAACAGGCACATTGGTGTCAGTACTATACGTACCATAGGTCTTCTTGTGCTTGTACCAATGCAGCCAATCTGCTTCTCCATTGGCTGGTAGGTCGAACAGGTTCCCGATGATCGGCTTTGGCTTCGGGCCCGGGGGGAGTGGGGCCGGAAACCTTTTGCGAGTCAAGAAGGACTTGAGAATGACAAGGCCAAGCAGGCCAACAATGGCTCTCACTAGCAGGGACATGATTCAGCAGTCCGTCGGTGTGCTGGTCTTGTTGGAAGCAGCAAAACTGGGTCCTTTGGACGGGGATGCTCTCATAAGTATATTGAGGAATGCAAGCGCATCCTTGTCGCTGCACGATATATTGCATTTCATATGTTGCGGGGTCAAGAGGGGGTCGTGCATACACTTGTGCTCCTCATTCCAGCCGTATCAGCATCGGAGGTGGTAGAAGACGCATAGCTGAGCGTCAACTAGCTGCACAGCTGCCGAAGACCCCATCTATGACAGGGTATACATTGGCTGATATGGTCTGTCGTGATGATATTTGCCATCCATGAAGGTCATGACTCGGTGATCGGCGTGGAGAGGGAGGTGAGGGCGAGCTGATCCAGGCCGGTCGCCGTTAGAACGTCTATGCACGATGCCATAGTTTTGCTCGGCGCATCTGCTGTAACGGCTGGTGAGACCGTGGCACTCCTTGGTGCATTTCTCTCAGCCCCTAAGAGAGAGGCGAAAATTCATCAACAGTAACTCATCATCGTCACCTTTAATCGTCGCCGGTTGCCTGCACTAACGGGAGTGGCTGCAGTCGTAGGAGAATTATTCGCCAGTGACATGCTAAACAACGCCATCATCTAGTATTGGGCGGGGAGAAGACAGACCGGCGAGGATTAGCATACTCCCCAGCTGTTGTAGGGAGAGGTGCAGACAAATCAGGCTTCTCTGATAGTAAGAAAGATGCATCTACGACCCGCTCAGCGGGCCGCTGGAGCTGCGAAGGTGGAGACGAGACGGCCACCAACCACCATCTAAACTACTAGTAGTTCACTGTAGCGCGTGAAGCCGTTGGGAGGGGTCGGAAATGAAAGGACTGATATTATTGGCAATTGATTTGTCTCGCTCACATCCTGCAGCATGATGCGTGCAGAGGCTGGCTGACGGAACGGCCTCACAGGATACATTGACAACCTTCGTCAGGCATCACTCATCACGCACACGAGTCAGTATGCAGCGCATGCGCATATGTAGGGTCTAGGGGAAAAAAAGAAAACCTTTGTGCAGAATTGACACGAGTCATACCCATACCCCATGCACCGTTTGACAGCGATAGACTTGAAAGGTGTGATGATGGTACGGTCGGGAACACCAAGCTGGTGGAGTTATGGAGAGGGGAAAGAGTGGCCGAGGTGTATATAGAATAAATAGACTATAGATGGCAGACTGTGAGTGAGTGGGAAGGAAAATAAAAAAGCAAAAAGAAATGACCTACGCAGGACTCGAACCTGCAATCTCTTGATCCGTAGTCAAGCGCCTTACCATTGGGCCAGCAGGCCAGCTGTTGAAGAATAGTGTACAATATTTGTAATATGAGGCTGGCTAATTGCCTGCCCCACAGTTTGAACCATCGAGGAGAATCGATTCTTTGAATGATCCATTTTCGTGGCAAACATGCGAGTTTGCTTTTCTTTGGGTCACTGTGGCCCTGCAGTGTGTAAAGGCATATGTATCTTAACCTGTCTTGGTACTTTTATGCAGTATTCTGTCCTTGTGGTCTGTATTGGAAAGGTACTGTAGGTGGCGAATGAAGGTATATATATCCACTGTGTAGTTTCTCTTGTATTCCTCAAGTAACACTACTAGCTCCTGTCTATTCGAATTACTATTGGTGTCCGCAGAAGACGTGAAATAGTATCAGTACAGTGTACACTAGTCTAGTCAATACTACAATATACAATAGTTACCAGGTAGATAATCAGGCAGAGAAAAAAAAAAAAAAAAAAAAGAGAAAAAGAGCCCGAAGGCCCAGAGCGTCTGAATAACCGCAGCACCACTCGAGAACATCTCACAACCGATTAATAACCATGAAAAATTGTACCAGCCCCTGCCAGATAATAGATCAATAGATATAAATAGATCATAAGTCAAGGCGTTATTCGTATGCACACTACATTAAGTTACATCACCCATCCTGCCCTGCAGCTGAAAAGCCTCGCCAACGAAGGGAAAACTATCCCATACCGGCAGCTGCATACCGTCGAGGCCAGTATACGCTGCATCAATCTCCAAAGAGTCCATAAAGCCCAGGCGTTGGATGCCAGCCCATGGATCCGAGATGCCGGCCCCAGGGGACATAGCAGAAACGCCATTTAACAATGGCGTGTCTAGCCCTTCCTGTAGCTCCACCGAGGGCCTGCGATCATCCAGACTAAAAAGTTTACTGACATATCGTCCCTTACTCTGGCGGGAATGCTGTACAAGTCGTCGACGCTGCTCAGTAACAGCATTGCCCAGGCAGCTAAGTATCTCATGGTAATGGCCTGCCTGGGCGGACTGCTCCGAAAGCACACGGAGAATCTCCAGGGCATCCCCGTAAGCCTGTTCATGTGAGGGCTCCGCCTCTTTCCGAGAGAACATCGAGAACCCGAGAACCAAGGCGGCAGCGAATACAAAAGCCTTCAGTATGCACATGTTTCCTAGCATTAGTTTAGAGCGGTGCACCTCAGAACATGTCTGTATCATGTACAAGGCTGAATCAATGCAAGCAGTTGCAAGATTGGAATGTGCTGCATCCTCATGCAACAAATCACTCGATGTGCCATCCGTAGAGTCATTGTGCAACCTTGCCAGTCGCACGCCCAGAACTGAAACCAGAAAGGGTCGCGTCGCCGTGATTACCGCGAAATGGTAAATGCAAGCAACGTGAAGATTGTTGATGATATGGGTTCGCGCAGCGGGTTCGTCGAAGTCAAGATTAGGAGGCTCCACCAATGGCCCCGGTAGTTCATCGCTCCATTGTTTGAGTTTGGCTAAAAGCGAGTCCGCGAGCTCAGCCGAGGCTCCGTCCTTGCTGTACATAGACGAGATAATATCCTCCAAGATCCTCGAGACCCCATAGGAGGCAACCAAGCCCATCGACATATGGCCCTCCAGGAGTGCGTAACGGATAGGACCATCCTCTGTTTCCGAACGCAGAGCAGCTGTCGCAGCTGGTCTCCCAAGGATAGAGCTTACTAGAAGGTCCAGGTTATAAACACTCATCCACACCCTTACTCTCTGGTGTTGCTCAGGGCTAGGCACGGCATCCGCGAGCTCGGTAAGATGAAGACCCAATGCCACAGCAGCTCGAACAGCCACGCCAAGATACATGAAGGCGGCATTCCGACGACAAGCACCGAGCATGTAGAAGGACATCAACAGGAATAAACGTATCAGAGTCAAGCTGGGGTTTTCCAACATCCCCTCAAAGGCGCTGCGTTGAGCACGGGAGAAGAAATAGCGCTCGGCTTGCTCGGTAGAAACAGTGCGTTTGCTGGCCTGTGCCCCGATGGCAATTATCATACCTGCGACTGCCATTTCTGTCCTATCTGGATGTGTGCTGGGCTCAATTAAAGCATCAAGAACTTCCATAGCCTCTGCACTTGACAAGACGTGGATGAAGCCACTCGTAGCTGAGCTATATGTCTGATAGTACTGGAGTAGCTGATATGAGTCCAGACTACTCTCTAGCGTTGGTGGTGTCCCGTGTGGTGTCTCCGTCTCTAGCATATCTTCGCTTTTCACATTGTGCGAGAATTGCGACGGCCCAATATACTGTGATACAGTGTCCCGGACTAGTTGCAGAAAGGACAAGGAGGCAGCCTTTCCCACATAGACTGCCGAATGCGACTAATTAGCTACAGACCTCGATACAGTCCTTTTAGTGCTATATTACCTCGTTCGCCACGTAGATTGCGGAGCATCCGTGGATGAGTCCTATGTAATGTTTCTGGGGACATAGGCTGAGTATCTACTGTCGATCGACTCGGCTCCGAAGCCTCGAAGCTAGCGGAATCTGCCCGACCTGCCAAGCTATTTGCACCAAGAGTTGTGGCTGGTCGACGCCCAGAATCATAGCGGCGCAGGATCCGGGTGTTTGCAGTCGGCCGTTGAGCAGCGGACCGTGGTCTAGGCACGCATGTATCGGCGCGTCCGAGTCTGATGCACTTCGAGCATGGAAATGTCCCACTGCATCGCTTTTTCGTTGACCTGCATGCATTGCAAGCTTCGTAGGCTCTTAAACGGTTGGCTGGGTGTACTTTAGGGCGGGGCATGGTACCGAGGATGGCATGCCGACATGCTCAGTGGATCCGTCTGGGGTGCCCTTGATGCCACTGATGTTCGGTGAAGTAGATACAATTTCAGAGGGGTTCTTTCGGGGGCTGGCAAGGGTGCTTTCTGCAAGGAGATAGACTGGAAACACCCCGCATTGTGTCACGACAGTCTGAAGGGGAATGGAAAGAGTGTGTGGAGATTGTTATTTGATGAAGTTGGTAAGGGAACACTATCGGATGAAGTTATCGGATGGAGATAAGCAGCAGTTCGGAAGCCGCCGCGGATGATCCTCAGGCACGTGAGCGCCAGGGGTTCAACCCCGAATTTCAGGCACCAGCAAATTACGATCGACAATATCACTGCAGGTACAGAAAAGCAAGAAAATATCACATTTCACAATCTAAACTAGAGTACCTGACGGAAAACCTTTCGATGTCAGGCACACTTAATGACATTCCTCATTGCGATTCGACGCGTCCAAAGGAGCGACGGCAAGCATCCCAGATGCTGCAACAGCGTCAGACTAAATCCAAAAAGCCAAAGATTCCCGATCTCCTAACACTATACGTCCCTGCGACATAGCAAGCTTCTATCACCCAAGATTTGGTCTCGCGAACCTTGGTGATAACAGTTAGCAGTGCTTTGCATTGGATCGGCAAACTGCCTTACCTCTAGTTCGACTTCTCGCTCTCACACTCCTGAGCGAACTTGTCAATGTAACCGGGCAGGGTCTTCTGCCAGACAGTCGCATCAGAGTCGATCTGCTTGATCTTGGTGCAGTCGGCGTCGGTGATGTTCATGGAGCCCTGGAGCTGGCCAATGTTGTTCATGATGATGGGCTGGCTAGCCTTGAGCGCACAGAGGCCGTAGTTGGCCAGACCCTCGAGGTCATTGCACAGGGGCTTGTCGCCTTCAGACTTGCAGTCCTTCTCGATGGCGGCGTTGATCTGAGTCTGGATCTTCTGGAAAGAGGCCTGCTCGGAGGCGGGCACGTCCAGCTTCTGGTCCAGATCCTTCATGATCTGGGGGAAGACCGACTCCTGGAGGTACTGGTTGTGCTGGTTGATGGTGGCAGTGCAGTTCTTCTCACAGACCTCCTTGTGGAAGTAGGAGAGCAGCTGGAGAGGCTTGTTGCCAATGACCTGGGGGATCTCCAAGCAGGTCTCGGGGATGTTGGGGATGGAGGGGAAAGCGGCGTTCGCAGCGGAGAGGAAGGTGGTAGCCACCATAGCAGAACCGACAGTGAACTTCATTTTGCTGGATAAGAAGCTGATTTGCTTTTAGATGTTGAGAATTTGAGAGTATGAGAGTGTGAGATACGATGGGATGCGATGCTGATGATGATAGAAAATATTCAGTGGGAATGGGAGAGGTTTATATACCTTTGGCTCCTCGGGCCATCAAGGCTGGCATGGATTCGGAAGACATTGATAGCCTATCGATGATGCACCTGTTCAGTCTCTGAAACAATGTGATGTAGCGCCTGGTTGATTGTAGGTTCATTCGGGATCTGGAAAATTCCAACCCGCCTCGAATTTTGGTCGAAACATCGGATGAGATGCTCTCTTTGGTGGGAAGATTGGCCGCTGGAGCCCGACGGAAGTATAAGCATCAGGGACTGCTGATCACCAGGACCCTGCTCGACCGATTCTTGGGTAAAGGTGGAGCAGGAATGGAGACGATCATGATGGATGAACGAACAAGAAGATGTCTGTGCCTTGTTCACCCCGGGGGGTCGATCGTGAAACGGGCTTTAAAACGCCTAATTCGAACTTTATTGCCAGTGCAGTTTGCACGAATAACAATGTTAGCCTTACTCTACATCGGAAACTCGTACCCGCGTAACTCTGTCGATACTCTCTAGTTAGTCCTTGGAAGTAACTTTTTCCGGACGCCTGCATTTTATGCTAAGTAAGACCTTTAACACATCATGAGTTTTTTCCATTCTTCATCAATCTCGTAGAATATAAGGTAATGCCTGCAGCTTATGGTTAGAGTAGTTCTAAGGATATACACTAGACCTTCATCCAGAAGAATGCAAAATAATTCCTGCAAGCAACTGCAAAAAGGAGCTGTCAACTAGGTTGCTCCCTTCTTGACTAGAAATTTCCCGATAAATATAGCCGAGCGATGACTTGGTGTTCCATGGCAGGATAAACCTCGGAACTTGTTACATCAATTCTCCAAGAAGCAGATCCTCTAGCACAAGGACCCTGGTGCCCGGAAGGTCAGACCCTGTGCCGGCAGTATAAACATGGCAGAACCTGTGCTGTGGGGGTGAGCTGGCCATCAGTCCCAAACGGTCATGGCTGTAGGGGGTTTGGTCCTGATACGCTCATCGGAGCACCATGTAGACTGAAAAATGAGCCATACTAAGCTACCCGGCAGGGTAGCCGACAGTCAATCTAGTAGAAACAGACTGTTTCGGGTAGCAGATTTCAATCATGTATACATCATGTGTAAAGTAGATGAATTTTTCTAGGTCTTTTGTCCGCAGAGGTAGCATCGTCTCAGGATGAATGCCGTATTGACCCATATAGGGTCTACTTTTCCAAGCTGAGACCCAGGCCGAATTTTGCGCTGAAGTCAGATGCAGCCGGGGCACGTATCGCGTATTCGCTTAAAAAAATCGCTATAGTTTTACTCGTTGGGGAACGGAGAGGCTTGGAGTAGGCTGTAGATCTGTTGGTGTTGTTGGAGTGTCTATTGTATACAAGCATAATTTATGAAAGTGGTTGTGCCGAACTGATTCATAGATATACTTCCCGTCCTCAGGCACCAAATGCGTCGGCTTTACTGCGGCACAACCATGAAGGCAAGTTCCGTCCGGGACTAACTAATAGTTGAGAATAATAATTGTTAGTCAAAGAATCAGGCATGGAAGCTTCATGAAGCAGTAACACGCGAATTCTACCTCCAAGTGACGGTCTGGCCGGTAGAAGGAAAGAGTTTTTCGCGGGCGCTGATTGGGCGATCCAGTCCCACAGCAAGGAAAAACGGGCAAAACACATGACCTCGCTAGTGGCTAGCGTAAGCGAGCGTCCACCGCGCAGATATAAAAGGCTCGTTCCCCCCATTCATTTAGAAAATTAAGCGACTCTACGTTAGTCTCCCTCCCCCCTAACATTGGGAAGAGCCTTTCAGCCTTCCACAATGCAACTTTGGAGAATCATCAGCTAACCACTTTCTGCCTACAGTTCAAAGAATCACTTTAGAGTAGACGTCCCACCTCTGAGCTCTTCTAAAGAGCCACAGAATCTCCACCCTTGCTGATGACTGCTATGTCCTCGATGCCCTAAAGTGAAGCCGTTTTACTTCCGACTCGACTTTGCATTTGCACGCTCTGTTACAATCTATCTCGGTAGACTTGTTTCGGGTGTCGGTGCAATGGTCCAGGGAGTGGTGATGATCTTTACCTTGTCATGATGTCTTGACTTCGGTCGGTCGGACTTGGTGGGTGTCGAGGAGGTCTGAAAGGTGTCCCCTCTTACACTTTAATGTTGGTGTACAAGAGTATGGAGTTGCTCAATCTTGTTTTCCTTTGCAAATTCTTAGCATAGCCAAATGATACCCAATTCTTCGTCAAACCATATCTACTTTCGCTCGTAGCATTGATATCTGTACACCCGAACATTCCCTCTGAAATAGTACGATTAAGCGCTCTCGAATGCAGAGTGAAAGCGAACAGACGAATGGATCTGTTTTGGACCAGTCCTGCACTTTCCCCACGTGATTGCTATCTGTTACGAGTTGTCAAATCCCCTGTGACTGGTTCTGTACTAGTACCTATATAAACTATAACCATGGCCTAACGCCAACATCAACCATATTGAGAACCTTATGGATTCCTCTTCAGCTTTTCAAGTAACTCCACAGAGTAACAACACGGCCCAGTATTGATATGGCTGTTGCTCTGTCTTACCTTGAGTCCTCCGCAGAAGGTATAGATTCAAGCAAATCAACGCGTATAAAGGGTGCTCTCGAAGGTTTCGCTGAATATAGGCTAATGCGATTAAACTTCGCAATATCATGAAAATTATGATTTAACTATTATGCTTTTTGACACGCTAGATTTCTCCGACCCTCTTTTGTAATGAAGTACATTGCCGAACATGCGAGGATTTGCGTGAGTAGTACTTATCAATGTCGGTCTGCGGCAGTCGGTATTTGTAGCTTTTTAGAGGACGGGAATCCTTTCCATCAATGATCATATCGTAGATAAAGTCAGTGCCTGCTATTGGCCATCATCATAGGACAGGCGGTTGAAACGATCGATGATACGGTACGATCTTCCGAACTTACTGGTAGAGTATATTCCGAAAGTATATAGCCCTTCCAGGAAACCGGTGTACTATCATGTGATAGCGCTCAATCTCACCGATATTCTCCGGCCCAACATTCTGCATTTATCTACTGACTATCTTAAGGACAGTTGCAGTTGGAACTCGCAATGTAGGCCAGCATAGCACAGCACCGTCATGGCCATCACAGTGGAAGATGTCACCAAAGTACCCTTCTACAATTTCCATGACCCTATTCCATCACCACCATCCCCCTTAACACGTAAACTTCCAACTTTCAAACCAACACTTCCTAGTCTTTACTCATCTACTATACTCCTAGAATATCCAGAGCCAGCTGCAGTTCCAGCTCCAACTGAACTTAACCACCCAACATCACCACCACCAAAACCAAACCTCTTCTTAACTCTTCCCCCAGAACTCCGTCTCCTCATCTACACCCACCTCCTAACCAACCACGACCACGACCACCGAGCCCTCTCCGTCACCAACAACATCGCCAACAACCGACCACAATTCTCAACCCAGAACCCAATCCACCTATACCACCCACACCACCACAGCAACAAGAAAAACAACCTCCACCCTTCAATCCTCCTAACCTGCAAACAAATCCACGCCGAAGCCCTCCCCATCCTCTACACGCACAACACCTTCTCAACAACGCACCCAACCCAACTCCACCACCACATCACTTCCATCGGACCGCTCAACACCTCCCTCCTCCGCTCCCTCCACATCTTCGTTCCTTGGAGTAACTCCAGCTCCACCATCTGGTCATGGATCGTCCTCCTCCACAACCTCTCCGAGCACGCGACCGGTCTAAGATATCTGGAAATAGGATGGGACACGAACATCCCCTGGCTCACGCACATGGAACCAGGCGATGAGGCGAGAGGCCTCGGGGATAATATCCTCTTTGTGCATGCGTTGGCGAGGCTGAGGCAGTTGCGGAAGTTGAGGATCTATGGGTTTTTTGGGGTGGAGTGGCCGGGGTATTTGAGGAGGGAGTTGGGAGGTGGTGGGACGGTCGTGGAGGTTGAGTGTGGGTTACTTAGGCCGGTGGTGTTGGAGCACTTGGATGGGGGAGGAGATGAGGTGGGTGGTAGTAGTAATAGTATGGGTAGGGGGGCTTTGGAGAAGGCGAGGGTGGAGTGGAAGGAGAATATGAAGGCTTTTGGGCTGTTTCAGAGGGGGACGGTGGGGATTGTGCCGTAGGGAAGGTGCTTAATTATTGTGTAATTTGGGAAGTTAATATAGTGTACTAGGTAGTAATGTTTAATACGATAGATTGGAGATATTATTGGTATGCTGCGATGATGAAGGCTCGACTGTATGTAAGTGATCTAGATGGTACATAGTGGTATAGTATGGAGTGGGGCGCCGTTTCTCGGCCCCACAGATGCCCCTGCAGGGTGTACCTTTGAACAAAGTATAAAAAGAACAGTTGTATAGTGTGTGTGGAGTATTCATTTATGCATTGGCATTAGGCTTGGTTTTCATATCCTTGTTCATTCCGAGGTGACTTACATCAATACCCGTGGTTGTCTAGTATGTACTGTTTCATCATCCGAAGCTAACTTTGTAGTTACTATTATTCTGTGGGATATCAATAGTTATCTCATAAAAGCTGGCATATTCATGGAGGCGACTGCTGGTATTATCATCACTACAAGTATCATCATAACGGCTCATTTACTATCGGAATTCCCCTTGCTCTCGGGGTGATTCCCATTCGCAGCCCCGGCATTGCCACCACTGTTTCCTCCTCCGCCGCCGCCGCCTCCCTTGGGACCTCCTTTACTCTTAGAACCTCGTCCTCCGCGTGGTCCGCGAGACGAGTTGCCCCCTGAGCCGCTTTCATTGGACTTATTTCCCCGGCTATTGTTACCACCACCACCACCACCACCGCCGCCGCCGCCGCCGCCTCCAGACGATGCTTGGGCTTCACCACGGCCTTTGCCGCGCCTCTTCTCTCCGCCAGGGTTGGCCTTTCTCTCTAGAACGACAACTTGACTCTGCGCGACCGAGACAGGACTAGCAGCGATGGCTTTTTGAAGTCCGTCGGGTTCTGCAAAGTCAATGTAGCCAAATCCTTTCTTCTTATCGATTTCCACTTTAAGAACCTTTCCGAACGGAGCGAATGCTGCTTCTAGGAGCGGCTCGGTAACGCCCTGAGATGGATTGGCGTGCTTAAGGAATGCTTGGGTAGCGGTCGCCGCCGGTCCTGCCGATGCTTGCTTCCCCTTCCCAGACTTTGCCGGTTTAGGTGTAGTACTGACTGGGGTACTCGCTTCGGATGGCTCACTGGGTGGTTGTGTGTTGCTGCCCTTTGACTTGTCCCGAGTCGACCCCTTAGATGGTCTGGACGGCGTCTCCTTCTTGTTCGTATCTGGGGTCGCAGTACCGCTCTGATCAGACTTTGGCGTATCTCCATCGGCGGCAGCGGCTTTGCCCCTGCGGCGACCGGACGGTGCGAGTCCAAGGTCGCGCTGCAGGATCTTGGCAGCAGCTGCGACACTTCCTCGTTCGCGTTTCCGCTCTGTAGATGTCTGTGGTGTATCCTTAGGGGAGTTCTGCGCGGGTGACGATTTCGCGGCTTGCTTGGCAGCAACACTAGCAGCCTGCTTGTTCGCGGCCTTCACAGCTTCCTTAGTAGCCTTGTCCGACTTGGATTTCTTCTCTGGTTTCTCTGAAGAAGCAGAGTCCTTGGTATCCCTGTCAGGGCGTTGTAGCAGCTTCTTCGCCTGGACCTTCTCCCCCTTGGAGTCCTTGTCCGACTTGTGTTTAGATTTGCTGGACTCCTTCGCCTTGTTGGCCTTCTTTTCTCGAATGTATTGCACCAAAGGTGTGACTGTCACTGTCTCCTTCTTATCCTCACCATCAGCGCCAGAATCGACAGGAGGCGGTTTAGCAAGTGGCTGCGTGAGGCTCTCGAGGAAGGCGATAAACTCAGGGTCCTGATCAATAGTTCCTTGACGGGCATCTTTGCGCGACCGATTTCCGGCAATCTTGGCATAAGGTGCGAATTCCAGAGACGGGGGTCCCAGAAGGACAGGGTCATTGGAAGTATTACGGGCGTCTATGAAGGACGTTTGACGGACTTTGTTCGAGAGCGGGATAGTGTGGTCGCTGGACATGACATGGATATACGCACGCGAGGGTCGAGAAGGTTTGGCCGGACTATACAGCATACTGTTAGCGGAAGTCTTCACAGAATGCAATGCTGGCTTACTCTTTAGAAACCTTTCCTGGCTTGTATTGGAACCAGTCGACCTTCCCACCGCCAACCCTCCATTCTGAGCCCAACGCTGTCTCGAATTCCGCTTGTGTTAGTCCGGGTGGGAGACGTCTGACGAGGAGCTTCAATCGGGGCGCAGCTGGCTTTGGAGCCTTCTTTGGTGTCGCAGAGGCATTCTTCTGAGTGGCAGCTGCGGGAATCTGGAGAACACCTCCTGTAGACTTGCCCGCAGGGATCTGCGTCATGATCGATATGATGATGTGTTGGGACTTCCGCCCAAACTAGAGGATGGGAATATCGCTGAGGGAGTGGGACGAGAATGTTGAACTGAAAAGATAGATATACAGTATGCTGTAAGGCGAAAGAAAGCAGAAAGATAGTCACTCCGCAGCCGCAATCACATGTGGCGCTGTGCCTGAATGAGTGATGAAGCTGTTATCGTGCATGAGATTCCGCCCGCACCACGTGACCGAGCCCGGGAATTGGCGTGAGCATCTTCACTGACCCAAAGCCAACATCCCCTGCGGGGAAAGACCGCCGGCGCGCATCCCGCTAAGCAACCCGTGTGCTCTGGTGTATGCGAGCGACTTTCCTTGGAAAGATTAGTTCATTCATTACTACTACTTTTATTTCTGCCTTTTACTGCACGGGTCCCACTCTGTTCACTCAAACCGCACAAGTTCATCATGGTGGACAGTAAGGTCCCTCAGCCGGGACCGGCCAAGTTGAAGCGCAATGCCGGCCCTGATGAGTGGCTGGAGGCCGCAAAGGACTGCAAATACCTCTCGGAGTCCCATATGAAACAGCTTTGTGAGATCGTCAAGGAGTTTATGATGGAAGGTGGGCTTTAGTTCGAGCAGGTGGCGACCGATTCACTAGAGACTGACGGGTCGCATTTTCCAGAGTCGAACATTCAGCCGGTGTCAACACCTGTGACCATCTGTGGAGATATTCACGGTCAATTTTACGATTTGTTAGAGCTGTTCCGGGTCTCTGGAGGCATGCCCGATGAACCAGACGTCGAGCCGCCTAAAACGTCGCCTTCCGTCATCACCTCGGAGGACATCGAACCCCCTTCCACCATTACCGACCCCAAGCTGCGCAAGAAATTGAGGAACTCCGGAAACTCGGATGACCTCGCCGACGAGACGGGCTCGAATAACAGCCAGCGCGGTCGGTCTTCCAGCGCAGGCTCGAATGAGGTTACATTGAATCGAAACTTTGTATTCCTTGGTGACTACGTGGACAGAGGGTATTTCAGTTTGGAGACCCTTACGTTACTGCTGTGCCTCAAGGCAAAGTGAGTTATACTTACTGGAAGGGCTGCACCGATTCTAATAGTATATGTAGGTATCCTGATCGTGTTACGCTGGTACGCGGTAACCACGAGTCTCGCCAGATCACTCAAGTCTACGGTTTCTACGAGGAGTGCTTTCAGAAGTATGGCAATGCGTCCGTATGGAAGGCTTGCTGCCAGGTTTTCGATTTCATGACATTGGGCGCCATCATCGATGGTAGGGTGCTCTGTGTGCACGGTGGACTGAGCCCAGAGATTAGAACACTGGATCAAGTGCGGGTGGTCGCGAGAGCCCAAGAGATTCCGCACGAAGGTGCTTTTTGTGACCTGGTCTGGTCTGACCCCGATGATGTGGAGACATGGGCAGTGAGTCCCAGAGGAGCCGGTACGTATTCGTCCACAAGATGCGCTATTTTCCTCACTGACCCTTCTAGGCTGGCTGTTCGGAGACAAGGTTGCAGACGAGTTCTGCCATGTCAATGATTTGACCCTGATCGCCCGAGCCCATCAATTGGTCAACGAGGGTTACAAGTATCACTTTGCCAACCAGAACGTGGTCACCGTGTGGAGTGCTCCCAATTACTGCTACCGATGCGGCAACCTCGCCTCCGTGTGCGAGATCGACGACGATCTAAAACCGACGTTCAAGCTCTTCAGCGCGGTCAGTGACGATCAACGACACGTGCCGACGTCGCGGCCGGGCCGCAGTGAGTACTTCCTGTAAGATATCGCATGGATACGCTTTTTATTCTCTCGTCCGCTTGCATTTCGCAAGACATGAGGCGTTTACTGCACCGGCGCTGGCGTTGGGAGTGGATACAGATGGCGCCTACCCACTGTGGGTGAAGACGGGTTACGAGCATCATATATTACGATTTGGGACACAGTTAATGAGGGCACCTTTATGCATACTGGTACAGCTTGGTCCAGAGGGTTTGTTTAGTCGAACTATGACGAATCAGATGATTGTTATGAACATTGCTCCTTTCCACTGTAGCTGAGGTCAGCGCCTTCCACACGTTGGTGGCCATCTAGAAACCCAATGGTGGGTTTCTGGCAATCAACAACGTACTTCATATCCTTGCTTTCCAGAGATATCATAGAAGTCATGGAACAATAAAAGCTCGGACAGAGTCCGAAGGATCATGATGTAGCGTTTCGTCGACAAATGACCGAGGATCATTCGCTAACATAGCTTTGACACAATGGCCCTGGTCTAATATTTTAAATTAGAGTCCTCCACAATTAAAATGTGCTACTTCTCCGCAGTGAATCATGATATGTATCAAAGCTGCGAGTCTCGGCATCTCAACCGTTCGCATACCTTCCCCATTCGGCCTAGCGCCATATACTCCGCCGGTCACTCCAAGGCATGGCATGAGCACAGTTGTTTATCCTCTCAATCTCAGACACCAACTTGCACGCCGGTATAATGTACTGCCACCGGTATCTCCGGACCCCGGATTGCGGAGAAGATGGTCACTGAGTACACTGAAGATCATTGGTGCAGACAGTGCCCGAGGCACGGACACACATGCCGCGCAGGTGCCGACCCCGGGATCGATTCCGGGGTAGCTCGGAATCCATCCCGGAGGCAATTGAAGTATGACCAGTCAGGCGCATTCCAGCTTATCATATATAGGATACTCTTCACCTTCTTTGACTGCCTCTTATAGACAAAATCTAGACACAAAGGAAAATAACTCACAACATGACACAAAAAGTTGACGTCTTAATCTGTGGCAGCGGCTCCGCAGGTCTCTGCGCAGCTACCTGGCTGGCTCGCTATGGCATTACCTGCAAAGTGCTAGAGCGGCGGGATGGCCCCATGACGATGGGCCAAGCAGATGGTGTGCAATGCCGCACGGTGGAAATCTTTGAGAGCTTCGGCATTGGCGAGGAGCTATTGCGCGAGTCGTACCATGTGGTGGAGGTCGTGTTTTGGGCCGATGATAGTGGCTCGGGAGTTATACGTCGCACGGGCAAGACGGCAGATACGCAGCCCGGATTGTCTCATCAGCCACATGTCATTCTGAACCAGGCGCGCATCAACGGGCTTCTCATTGAGCTGATGAAGAAGCATAACAACCAGGAGATCGATTACGGGTATACTGTTAAGGATGTTCGGGTTGATGAGAGTCAGCTTTCGGCGGGGCCGGAAGCTTATCCGGTTAAAGTCACGGCGGAGAAGGATGGGAAGGTGGAGAGTTTCGAGGCAAAGTATGCTTTGGTATGTTATCTCTTACTCTTTGAGAGGGTTATTGCTGATGCTATCAGGCATGTGATGGCGCACATAGTACGGTGCGCAAAGCGCTAGGATACAATATGATTGGAGATAGCACCGATGCTGTCTGGGGTGTCATGGACATGGTTCCACGAACGGACTTCCCCGATATTCGGAAGAAATCCAGCATCCGGTCCAAGGCAGGCAATTTGTTGATTATACCCCGAGAAGGAGACAGCTACAATCTGACCCGATTCTACATTGAGCTTCCGACTGGCACTAAGGCGAAGGATGTCAGATTGGAAGATCTGCAAAACGCCGCGAAGCGGATTTTTACTCCGTATCAGATTGAGTTTGTTGAGACGGTCTGGTGGTCTGCTTACGCCATTGGGCAGCGCCATGCCGATTTCTTCCACAAGGATTACCGTGTCTTTCTTGCGGGCGATGCCTGTCATACGCACTCGCCAAAGGCGGGCCAAGGCATGAACGTCAGCTTACAAGATGGTTACAATATGGGCTGGAAGCTTGCTTCAGTGCTAAAGGGCTTGGCGCATCCCTCATTGCTGGAGACGTATGTGCTTGAGCGGCAGAAGGTGGCTATTGATTTGATTAACTTTGATCGGTATTTCGCCAAGTTGTTCTCCTCTCAGGGGAGTGCAACACCCCAGGAATTCCAAGAGGGATTTATCAAGTCTGGGAAATATACTGCAGGTTTGACGGCCAAGTATGATGAATCGCCTATTACTTCCGATACGGGCGTGTCGACCGAACTTGCCACAAACGTCGTGGTGGGAATGAGGTTGCCTAGTGCGCAGGTAGTGCGATTCTGTGACGCCAAACCGCTGCAGCTTGCTGCATCGCTCAAGTCCGATGGCCGCTGGAGGGTGATGGCGTTTGTGGGCGATCTCAGCGTGTCACAGAATATGGCCGCACTGCAATCTGTACGTTAGAAGGATAATCCTTGCCAAAATGAAGCAGTATACTGACCGAGTACAGGTTGGAGAGTATCTCGGCTCCGAGGACAGCCCTCTTCAGAAATTCCGCTCGAGAAGTGGCGAACCTGACAGCCTTATCGAGCCAATCCTCGTGGCACATGGTAAACGGCATGGCGTCGAACTGGAGCAGATTCCGCAGAGCTTCTATCCATTCACCGGGAAGAACCATATCAGAGGTGAGTTTACTGGCCTCGGAAAACGATTCATCTAACAGGGATGTAGATCTTCACAAAATATTCTTCGATGACGAGAGCTACAACAGAGGTCATGGACATCTTTACGAGCACCTCGGTATCAGCCCTGACAAGGGTGCTATCGTCATTGTCCGTCCAGATCAATGTAAGCCTCCGTCGTCACTAGCCTTGGGATGATCTACTGACAAACTTTAGACGTATCTGCTGTGTTCAGTCTAGATGACTATAGACGAATCGGCCGATTCTTTGAGGGATTTATGATCCCGCAGGAGAGGTCGGAGTCGTTGACGGGAAGCAAGCTGTAGCCGCTGTACGCAGAACGCGCGTGCTCTGATGAGCCTCAGAATCGGCATGCTTATCGTGTTGAAGCGAGGCAGAGGGAGATACAGGCAAGGATAACCTGCCACCAAGCGGGGTTGGATTTATCAGCTAGATACTTTGGAAACTATTTAAGCAGCATGACGACACATCAATATCTAAACAGCATAGACAGCTTCTAAATCTCATTATTCATTATCAACATACTGCAAAGCAAGATGGCTCCCCATGTTCTAGAGGGCAATGGTCAGGCTATTGAGCCAACACTCAAGTCAATCCCTGCAAAGGATGTGCCAGTGGCCACCATTGAGTCTCCCAGCACTGTACAAAACCTAGCTCAGCTCCTAGCCAAAGCAGCCAGCTCCAAAGCCGGGCTCACCTTCTACACGCCTGGAGCAGAAGCCTCGCGTGTTTCGTACTCCGACCTTGAGAGAAAAGCCACAGAGAAAGCTCGGCTCTTAGGCCAAATCAATAGCAACTCCGCATCCTCTATTATCCTGCTGCACTTTGAGAACCATCACGACACAATTCTATGGTTCTGGGCCGCCACTCTTGCAGGCTTCCTTCCGGCCATTTCAACCCCCTTTGTTCATGATCCTGCGCAGCGCATGAAGCATCTGCGTCACCTTAAAACGCTGCTGCAGGAACCCGTCGTTCTCACTACGGAGCGGCTTGTCCCGGACTTTCTGGACACAGATGAGCTTCGTGTGCTTCCGGTCGAGGTGCTCGACAAAGCTGCTAACTCGAATGGCCTATCTGGCACTATGCCACTCTGTGGAACAGAAAAGCAAGCACAAGACCCAGCGGTTCTCATGTTAACGTCTGGAAGTACTGGAAGCGCCAAGGCGGTTTCACTCCGCCATGGACAGCTTCTCACGGCATTGCAGGGCAAGAAGGATCACCATGGAACCGAGCCTGGGGATGTATTCCTCACCTGGGTTGGATTGGACCATGTTGCTAGTCTTTGTGAGATTCATTTGCATGCAAGTATGTTCTTCATTTCTACCTTTATAACATAACGGCAGCTAACAAATCCACAGTGATTCTGGGCGCCGATCAAGTGCTCATCCCAGCCTCAGAGCTGCTACGCGATCCGATACGCTTCATCCAGCTGCTTGATTTTCATAAAATTGCCTACACATTCGCGCCCAACTTCTTTTTGACGCAGGTGCGGGACGCCCTCGCTGCCAATCCAACTTTCCAAGCGGATCTGTCTCGTCTCAAGAGCATCAACTCGGGTGGCGAGGCCAATGTCGTCGCCACTATCGACGGGCTGACCCGTGAACTGCGCCGCTTTAATATCCAGCGCGAGGTGATTAGTCCTGGCTTTGGGATGACAGAGACATGTGCCGGATGCGTGCATGCACGGGCATCGCCATCCTACGATCTATCCAGAGGCCTTGAATTTGCCTGTCTTGGACCATGTACTCCTGGCATCAAGATGCGCGTGATGCGTCCCACGGCTGGAGATGAGCCCGCTGCGCCTGGTGAAGTTGGCGAGCTTCAACTGTCTGGCCCTGCCGTGTTCAAGGGATACTTCAACAACCCGGAGGCCACGGCTGCCGCGTTCACAGAAGACGGGTGGTTCATCACAGGCGATCTCGCCTGGCTGGATGACTCGGGGTATCTGAACCTAGCAGGACGGACTAGAGACACTATTATCGTGAACGGAGTCAAATGGAGTGCCACAGAGATCGAAGTGGCTATCGAAGAAGAGAACATCCCTGGGGTCGTGCCCTCGTATACCGTGGCCTTCCCCTGTCGTGCCCCAGGCTCCGCTAGCGAGGATATCGCCATTGTCTACTCCCCTGCTTATACTGCCGACGACGCCGCAACGCGCTTTGAGACTGCTACGGCCATTGCAAAGACCGTTGCACTCCTAACGGGGCGAAAACCCGCCCATTTGATCCCGTTGCCGGCGGAGATGCTAGACAAGTCCTCGCTGGGCAAGATCTCACGGACCAAGGTGCGGACCGCATTCGAAAAGGGCGAGTATGCTTCCTTCGAGGAGGAAGACCTCAAGATCGTCCAAATGTACCGCGACTCCACACAGCGACCCGCTCGAACCGAGACCGAGAAGCGAGTGCAAAGCACCATAGCAGGACTCCTCAAGATCCCCATCGAAGACATCAACGTGGACATGTCAATTTTCGATCTCGGAATCACCTCGTTCAACCTGATCCTCCTCAAAGCCATGATTCAAGAAGCCGTCGATGCACCCGTAGAAATTCCCATGTCTGTCCTAATGACCGAGTAAGCCACCCCCTCGCCCATTTTTAACCCTATCAAATACCCCACATATTAACATATTCTATCCAGTCCAACAACAACCGCCATCTCCGCCTCCATCGACAAACTCCTCTCCCAACCACCAACCTACAACCCCATCGTGCCCCTACAACCCCACGGCACCAAAATCCCCCTCTTCTGCATCCACCCCGGCAGCGGCGACATTCTCGTATTCATCGCTTTAGCAGCCCAATTCCCCACGAGGCCCGTCTACGCCCTCCGCACACGCGGCTACAACAGCAACGAGCGCTTCTTCCACTCCATCCAAGAAACAGCCGACACCTACGCCCACTATATCCGCCAGACCCAGCCCGAGGGCCCCTACGCCATAGCGGGCTACTCGCTCGGCTCGACCCTCGCCTTCGAAGTGGGCAAAGTGCTCGAGTCCCAGGGCCAGGAAGTCCGCTTCCTGGCGAGTATCGACTACCCGCCGCATATCCGGCAGTACGTGCGCGGGCAGAACTGGGTTGATGTGTTGCTGCACATTGCATTTTTCCTAGAATTGATTGATCTAGATGTGATGGGCGAAGCCGGTAAATATCTGCATAGCCTTGAGAAGGAGAATGGAGGGGAGGGGTTAACTCGCAACGATGCCCTCGTGCATGTCTTGAACATCTCTGATAAAGAGAGAGTGCGCGCACTAGCTCTCAATCCAGAGAGATTGGAACGAATCACAGACATCGGAGAGAATTTCCGAGTTCACGGCGAGACATACGAACCGAAGGGAACGGTCGAGACATTGGACGTGTTTGTAGCGGATCCGCCGAGCTATGCAGCGTTGGATAGACAGGATTGGGAAGAGAATAAGTTAGGGGCGTGGAGGGATTTCGCACGCACTGAAGTCGGGTTTTACAATTGTCCGGGCATTCATGCAACCATGTTGAATCCGGTACATGTACCGGAGTTTGTGAGGGGGTTTAAGTTGGCCATGAAGAGGAGGGGCGTTTGACCCGCCATCCTATTTGATATGTCTGGACGATAAGTAGTGATAGTATAGTCTGACATTCAGGACGTATCTTTCCCTTTCTATTCCCTTTCCTCCGGTGTTGTTGAAGTATACCACCGACGATACACCTCAAAAGCCTTGAGTAAATTCCCCCCCTGATCCCCAATAAACTTCATCCCCTCTTCTCCACCCCCGGTAACAGCATCCCTAACATCTCCCTCATCCACCCACTTAAACGCACAATGCTCCTCCGGATTCAACGTCACTTCCTCTACCGAAGCAGTTTCAACTAAAAACCCCCACTTAATCACCTTCTTCTCTCCCTGACGACCCCCCAGGAGCGGTTTCTTCCACTCGTCAACAGCCACTAAATCCACTACTTTGGTCACCTGCAGCCCTGTCTCTTCGAGTACCTCGCGACATAGTGCCCGGAGGAGCGTGTCGTCGAGGGCAAAGTCTGCTCCGCCGCCCGGGGATTCCCAGTGCAGGGGGTAGCTGTCTGTGGGGGAGCGGTGGAGGAGGAGAAGGTATGGTTTTGGGTTTTGTTGGTGGGTGGTGAAGATGTAGGCGCCCACGCCAAAGTCGGTGTAGGTGGGGTAGTGGGTGGTGGGGAGGGAGGAGAGAGGGTGAATGAGGAAGGGATGGTTATGGAGGAGGTGAGGGGATATTTCTATTTCTTGTTTGTGGGTGGTGGTGGTGGGATTCATGGTTGGGGGAGGATAATGGAGTTCATATGAGGGTTGGGAGATGATGAGAGAGTGAAGAAGTTGATGTTGATGTTGATGTGGTGGTTGTGGGGCAGCAGCGGGTGGGGGAGATTAACTACAACTACACACCCTAAGTTGAGAGCACAACATAACTGAATACCGCTATTGATGAAGAAGTTGTTCGTTGGATACCATTAATAGTTCCCAGTGATCTTTGATGCCATGCTAGTGCTGTATGTATTTTATATCTGCTATACTGGTGGTTTTTCTTGGCTGTGCTGAGAAGAACCCAGCGGCTTGTTACTATTAGCTAAATCTGCAACAATGATCAGCACCTAAATCTACCGTAGATGTGTATCGGTACGGCTGTAGGATATCTTTCTCCTTTCAGAAAGATTGATAGTAATGTGTCCCAATAAAGTTTAAGCTGGTTGGTAACGGCATCTTAGGGTAGGGGCTGTTGTAGATTACCTTGAATATTCACTAAGATCTGTGGATCTCCAGAATGTAGGCTACTTTTCAACTAGCTAAAACCCAATTTAGAAATCACTAATACGAACTTTAATTCGACTGCTAATGTCTTGTTTCCTGTGGGAGCATCTCTACGGTGCTGATCTTGCGAGATCGCAATCAAACTAAACTCTCTGGGCTGGCTGTTTCATCGGGTGCTATGCTGACTGGGGAGATCTCAATGAATTGAGTGCATGATGGAACATTGTGTCTCGAATCTACTTTCAAGATACATTGCTATTAAGGAAGCACGTTGATGTCAGAAATCACCACCAGTGCACTTTAGAATTGAGTGTTCCAGTTGTTGCAGACGAACCAACAATCTACCATTGCATCATTTACACACCCACCCACGCTCTCACACGCTCAGAAAGATACTCTATCATATTGCTTCAGAAACCCAAGGCATAGCTAAAGACATACACACGCTATTAGATAACGCGGCAATGCGCCCAGTCTGTACCTACGCGTTCCGCCTCCCCCCTAACTGCATGCAAGGAGATCAGACAGGGGGGCATAACAGCCGATATTGCTTAATTCCCCCATGGAGGCGCCACAACACAAGGATTCTTCTCGGTATCTTTTTCCTCTTGTTAGCCTACTTCTTTTCTCTGGTTTTTCTTCTGTTCTGAGCATTCAATCTATTATCTGTCAGCAGAATTGGCATCCTGACCAATCAATCGAAATGGTTGGTAAGGTTGTGACCGCACCATGTCGATTTCCCAGTCTCTCTCCCTCTCCCTCTCCCCAGAAAGGTCGAGATGACGATGCGGTGCATACCATCGAGATCCCCCAAGGAGACAACAGTATCTCTCAATGGGGCCCTGACCTGGGACCTAGGCTCCGTGTCATCTGGGCCATCATCCTCTCTGTATTTGTCCACGATGACAGTGTGGTGATGGGCTACGAAGAATGTGCTGATTCTCAGGACTCGGCATATCTCCTGCAGCATTGCTCGTCCGTCTACGCTACAACAATTGACCGTGAAGATGACCTGAACGACCTAGTTGAATCAGGACATCTTCTGGAGATTGATAGTCATGACCCTCGGGCTTATAACACTGGAGTACTATTGCTCGACGGAAGGAATGGGAGGAGTGACCTGGCGACCAAGAATGGTTCTTCGCCAACAGATGCTAAGAGAGTAAGTAATCCAGCCCCCGTACCCAATTGAAGACCATCTTGCTCATAATACCACCCACTCTAGTGCGATCTCATCCTTGGCGCAAACTGGGACCCCGCAGGACTGCGTCTCTTCCTGCGCTTCCGCACCGCATACATATTAGAAAAAATGGCCGGACATATCGCCGACGCTATCCAGGAGGCATTATCTTCTGTCCATCACGGCTGGCAAGGCAAGGTCAAAGACCTGAATCTTCTTTCCCGAGCGAGTCGCGACCAGATTCTATCCTGGAACACTCAATCGCTGGAGGTGAGCCAGCAATGCCTTCCGGACCTGATCGACAATGCCAGTAGCATGTACCCCGACGCCATTGCCTGCTGCAGCATCAACGAGCGAATAACCTACCGCGAGCTTCACCACCTCTCCACAGCATTGTCAGCCCACCTACTCGCCGCCGGCGTGCGTCCCCATACCTACGTCGGGCTGATTCTCGACAAGACCATCTGGTCCGTGGTCATCATGCTAGCCGTACTGCGAACAGGAGCAGCCTGCATGCCTCTGGATAGCGCATTACCTCCCGCCCAAGCTTCATCCATGCTCCGTGAGGCCAATACATCCGTCGTCCTCACCACCACTACTCCCTCCAAGCTCGAACCCCACTGGGTAGCCACGGCGCCCCAGATGCTGGAAATTTCCGGACCGCTAATCCACCAACTGCCCAAGAAGTCACCCCCTGCGCCATCCGGACATATATCCCCCACTCAACCAGCCTTCCTCATGTACACATCAGGCAGCACCGGAGCCCCAAAGGGCGTGGTCCAGCCACATCAAGACATCGTAACATGCGTACAACAGATGGCTCAAGCGCTGCAACTACACTCCGGCACCCGATTCCTCCAATTCGCCGCATTCAGCTTCGACCTCAGCTGCGTAGAAACCCTGTGCACCTTATCCCGTGGCGGATGTGTCTGCATCCCAGGGAACGACGACCGACTACACCGACTCGCCGAGACAGGCACAGCACTCCGCATCAACACCGCGTTCCTCACTGCCGCCGTGCTAGCCCAGGTCCACCCGGACGAGATGCCCACGCTAAAGACCCTCACAGTAGGCGGGGACGTCCTAACCGCAGAGCAAGTAGCCCTCTGGGCACCCCGAGTCGACCACCTCAACGTCAGCTACGGCACCACCGAAGGCATCATGTTCGACACGCTGCACGCGGACCTCACTTCCCTTTCCGACCCCCGGAACATCGGCCGCTCGTTCGGCCCACGCACCTGGATCGTCGACCCAGCAAACCACAACCGACTACTCCCCATTGGTGCCGTCGGCGAACTAGTCGTCCAAGGCGGACGTCTATCTCAAGGCTACCTCCAGAAACCAGAGAAAACCGGCGCCGTCTTCATTGACCCCCCCGTCTGGGCACCAGCACCAGTACCAACTACATCGCGGTGCTACAAAACCGGAGATCTAGCCCGGTATCTCCCCGACGGCTCAATCTATCTCCTCGGCCGCAAAGACCGACAAGTCAAACTCCGCGGCCAGCGGGTAGAGCTAGACGATCTAGAAGCTCGTCTAAAGCACGCTGTAGACCTACCGCGAGGCATGGTCGTAGCCGATGTGATCATCTTGCCGGATCAAACGAAGCAGCTCGTGGGCTTTGTCTACGATGACCGGCTCACTAAGCACTCTGCTGCTGCTGCTGATACTGCCGGGGCGCTTTTTGGACTTCCTACAACAGATTTCCAAACCCTGATGCGCACCATGGTCCAGAAGCTCAAACAATCCCTCTCTTGGCTCTTCATCCCAACGTTCATGTTCCCACTCCTCTACGTGCCGAAAACGCGTACGGGCAAGATCGATCGCACGCGGCTCCGACAGGCTGCGGCTGGGCTGGCGCAGCAGGATCGTCTGGTGTATGCGGTGCCGTTGGACGAGGGGAGAGTTGGTGAGGACGATGCACTTGTGCAGGGGGTATGCGGTGAGCAGGTGGACTTGGTGTGTAAGTGGTACGCGGAGAGTTTGGGTGTTGCGCTCGGTCTTGTTCTACCGAAGAGTAATTTCTTTCATTTGGGAGGGGACTCGATCAAAGCTATGCGGATCACGCGACTGGCGAAGGACGATGGTTATGATGTTACGTTTCGTGATATTTTTAATCATCCTCAGCCGGTGAGGCTTGTTGCTAATGTGCTGGTGACTGGTTCGGGGACGGGTGGTGAGAAGATGACGAGAGCAACAGCAATGGTTGGGGATGATTGATGAATATGAACTTGTTAGCTTATACCATAGATTGTTTGAGTAGAATTAGACAAGTACTAATATACAATTTTGCTGCTACTAGTGATAGCCTAGTATCTAGTAGGGCTTGACGCGATTCGCACATAGGAATACTCTATACACGAGAGTACCGCACCATTTCTCTGGCCAACTCCAACACATTCCACCCCGACTTCTCCTCTGCTCTCACCTCCACCTCCATCACCTCCTTACACATCCCCGCTGTATGAGTGACAGCCCTCTGCCGCTGCTGTTGCACCTTCCACCCACGCACCACCCATAGACACAACGCTGCCGCTACAAACACCATTCCCGCGAAGATCTGCACCTGCCGATACGCATCCATCCCCTGGTCCGGTCGTCGCAGTGCTTGCGCAATAGCCTCTCCCGCTGCTCCGGGTCCTACCAGCACCAACCACAGGATGCTGAGAGCCCCGGGTAGATCCTGCAACCCGATCACCTCCACAAACACGGGGGCCACTGTAGCAAAGAATGTTCCCGAGACCATGCCTCCCATTACTGCGAACAGACAGCACACGGCCATACTTCGCGCCGGAATCCAGATAGCGAAGCAGAACACCGCACATACCAGGGACAGGGCTGTGGCTACGTTCAACCGACCTAGTCTGTCACTGAATAAGCCGATAAGAGGCCGGCCGATCCCCTGTCCCAGGTTATGCAGCGCGCCGACCACACTGCTCTGGCGCGCGGTCAACCCGATCGAGATGGCAAAGTTGGGTAGACTGAAGTTGATGGAGACGAAGCCAAAGGTGCTGAAAATGGCCCAGCCGATAAGGAGTAGAACTTCGAATTTCTTCAGCAAGGGAAAGTTGAATGCGACATGACGGCTGGCGGTGGCTTTGTTGCGGTCGCGGAGGAAGGCCGCGCACACGAGGTTCACGACCAAAGAGATGATGGCTAATGTTCGGAATGTCCAGGGGAGGCCGAGGTTCTCGATCATCGCTTCAATGCCAAGGGAGTAAATGAGACCACCAGTTCCGGCGCCAGCGGCGGGAATGGCGTTTGCAACGCTGCTCTTCTTGTCGAACCATTGGGGTGGAACGCCAAGGTAGGTCATGTAGATGATGCCC